TTCTCTAGATTCATTAGGTTTCGTGTATACTCTAGATTGATTAGATTTAGTATATACTCTAGATTGAATAGGTTTCGTATGTGCTCTAGACTCATTAGGTTTAGTATATACTCTGGATTCATTAGGTTTCGTGTATACTCTAGATTCACAAGGTTTCGTATATACTCTGGATTCATTAGGTTTCGTGTATACTCTAGATTCATTAGGTTTCTTGTATACTCTCGATTCATAAGGTTTCGTATATACTCTGGATTCATTAGGTTTTGTGTATACTCTAGATTCATTAGGTTTCGTGTATACTCTAGATTCATTAGGTTTCCTGTATACTCTAGATTCATAAAGTTTCGTATATACTCTAGATTCATTAGGTTTCGTGTATACTCTAGATAAATACATTAGCAGATTTTAATTTTTCGACAACTTATAAATATACATTGACCATAAAATGTTATGTAACAATTAATCTAGTTTGAAATACATTTATTTTTATTATTATTAGATTCATTAGTTTTCGTATATGCTCTAGATTCATTAGGTTTCGTATATACTCTAGATTGATTAGGTTTCGTATATACTCTAGATTCATAAAGTTTTGTATGGTTTCGTATATACTCCACACACTACACTTTGCACTCTACACTTTACACAATACTCAACACTCTATTATTAGATTCATTAGTTTTCGTATATGCTCTAGATTCATTAGGTTTCGTATATACTCCAGATTGATTAGGTTTCGTATATACTCTAGATTCATAAAGTTTCGTATGGTTTCGTATATACTCCACACACTACACTCTACACTCTACACTCTAGACTCTACACTCTACACTCTACACTCTGCACTCTACACTCTACACTCTACAATCTACACTCTACACTTTACATATACTCTGCACTCCACACTCTAAACTCTACACTCTACACTCTACACTCTACACTCTACACTCTACACTCTACACTCTACACTCTACACTCTTCTGTCTATGCTCTACATATACTATACAATTTACCTACTAGACAATTTATAATTTATTATGATTTAAACTCTATACTCTACACTCTACACTCTACACTCTACACTCTACACTCTACACTCTATACTCTGCACTATACACTCTACTCAATCTAAATCTTTACTCTACAGGAAAACTTCCAAATGTTTAAATTAACAAAATGCTTCAAAATGGCCAAGGGCTCCTAAAATAACAATACTTTTGCACACTGCCCCCGCCCCCCTCAACTGAACAGTGTACATACGTAACCCCCCCTGTTTTGTCACCCCTCCCCTCCAACACTCCACATTATTTTTCTTGGCTTTTAAGCAGCATTCTTCCTTTCTAATTATCTCTCGTTTGAAAAGAAACATAAAAACAGAGATTTAAAAGAATTTATGTCTTAGCTAGGGTGTATGCATGCTGATCCTTCCTAAGGATAATTTGCTAATATCCCCTTTTCCTCCAGGCACCCCTCCCCCCATGTTCCCCTACTTCCACTTCCCCCCCCCCCCACATTCCCCTACTTTCCTCCCCTCCAAAACTCCTTTACCCGTTCCCCTCTTAATCCTTTCCCCTAACATAACCTCACTTACCCTCACTTACCCTCATACCCTCACTTACCCTCACTTACCCTCATACCCTCACTTACCCTCTTATACCCTCTCATAACCTCATAACCTCTCATAACCACTCATACATTCTCATACCCTCACAAACCATCTCATACTCACTCATAACCTCTCACACCCTCTCATACCCTGTAAGTACCTCTCATAACCTCTCATACCCTCTCATAACCTCTCATAACCTCTTATAACGTCTCATACCTTCTCATCCCCTCTCATAACCTCTCATAACCTCTCATAACCTTGCATACCCTCTCACACCCTATCAGAAACTCACATACCTTCTCATACCCTCTCATAATACCCCCTATTACCTTCTCATTTCCTCTCATACAAGAGAAGATAGGACAGGTAGAAAAGATAGGATAGGTATAGAAGATAGGATAGGTAGAGAAGATAGGATAGGTATAGAAGATAGGATAGGTAGAGAAGATAGGATAGGTATAGAAGATAGGATAGGTAGAGAAGATAGGATAGGTAGAGAAGATCGATAGGATAGGAAGAGAAGATAAGTAGGTAGAGAAGATAGAATAGGTAGAGAAAATAGGATAGGTATAGAAGATCGATAGGATATGAAGAGAAGAAAGGATAGGTAGAGAAGATAGGATAGGTAGAGAAAATAGGATAGGTATAGAAGATCGATAGGATAAGAAGAGAAGAAAGGATAGGTAGAGAAGATAGGATAGGTATAGAAGATCGATAGGATAGGTAGAGAAAATAGGATAGGTATAGAAGATCGATAGGATAGGAAGAGAAGATAAGTAGGTAGAGAAGATAGGATAGATAGAGAAGATAGGATAGGTAGAGAAAATAGGATAGGTATAGAAGATCGATAGGATAGGTAGAGAAGATAAGTAGGTAGAGAAGATAGGATAGGTAGAAAAGATAGAATGGGTAGAGAAAATAGGATAGGTAGAGAAGATCGATAGGATAGGTAGAGAAGATAGGATAGGTAGAGAAGATAGGTAGGTAGAGAAGATAGGATTTGTCAAAAACTATCACAAAGTCGTCTATATATACATACTACATGCGAATACATACAAAATAACTGATGAGTGCCCCCTGAAAATCTGGAAAAGATTCCTGGATGATTGTTTTGTAATCTGGACATATTCTATTGAGAAATTAAATCAATTCCAGGATGAAATCAAAATATTCAACCTACAATCAAGTTTACTCTAGAACATAGTTCTCCATTTTATTGTGGTTTAAAGGATGAACATGACTGTTGGTGTCACAGAACAAAAAGTATTCCATTCCTTGACACAAAACTGTACATTGAAGATGGAAAAATCACAACAGATCTCTACAGAAAACCCACAGATAGATGTACTTCCATCATCTTGCCACCCAACACATATCTCTAACAACATACCTTATTTACATAAAAAATTGTACAGCAGCAAACCAGAAGTTAAGGATGCACAATTCTTAAAATTAAGGGATTTTCTTCTCAGCAGGGATTAAAATTCATCAATTGTGGACTCTGCTATAGCTATATCACGAGAAGTTGCTTTAAAGAAAGGGGATATTAATCAAAAACCAGATCGAGTTTTAATCTCTATCTCATTTAATCCTCAGCTGTCAGCTGCCTTGTATCTCCTCCATCATACAGAAACATTGGAGAACCATGGTCAGGATCCTTGGATTAAGTAGGTTTTTTAATATCCACCTATGGTTACCTATAAGAGACCTCCCAATCTCAGGATAAACTCATCCGAACCAGAATTCCAGATCCTCCTAGAATGAGGCCTAAGAGACTAATACCTGGTATGAAACCTTGTGGTTTAAATTACCAAACTTGTCCCTACATAGAGCCTGGAACAGTTATACAATCCTCTAATACCAGTAAGAAGATTGAGATTAATGAAACTTTCAACTGCAAGACCAGAAATGTAGTTTATTATTTCTTACATATGAGAAGTGTAAACTCCAAACAAACCAGCCTACAGGAGAAATTTTAACCTTCCTGGACATGAACTCTACCATCTAAAAGTTAGCGTATATACGTATACGTATACGCGTATACTAGAGAAGGTTCAATTGAAACCTTGGGAGAAGTTTACTTGCAGTACGCCAATCTAAATACATTAGAGAAATACTAAGAGGAATGAACAGAAAACATAGTTTTTATTTAATTGTAAACTGTAATTCAGTATTTAAAAAAAGAGTATTTTTTATGTCGATTTCGTTAAAAGGTTTGAATACTCCACTATAAACAAGCCCCCCCGATTTACGTAAAATTTCGTTAATTAGATCGACCACCACCACCTCTTTCAACTCATTTAAAAAAAGATTGGTTTTAAATCTTCCTGACAGAAACAATCTCAAGGAATAATTTAATTGTCTTTAAAAATTCTTTGAAAAGTTAATATTTGCAAATTATCTTTTTTCAATATCATAATCTGAGTTCGTTTCCCTTTTGTCCGCTGAAGGCCCATTTTTATAAATAAGGGTCAACCCAGACGAAATATATTTTCAATAAAATGTGGAACTAACATCTAGTTTATTTACTCTGCAGAGGTTTGGTCCATCCCCATTACCGAACTATAAATCTATTAAAAAATTCATACTACATACAGGGTTACGCCCACACAAGATTGACTGTAAAGACGACCTGAAACTCTTGAAATATGAAGATACCAAGGTTAAATGAAATCTTATGTTTTTCAATATAGTCTTTGGAATATAAGGAAACAGACATTAAAAATACCTTTTAGTTGTCTCATCCTTTGAAGAAAAATCTTGGGTTTCCAAAAATTCAGTGAAAAATTTAAGTCTAGTTTCTAAGCACCCTAGATTTGCTTGTTGTGCAAAATTGTTCTGCTTGAGTAACATGCAAATCATCAGCGAGTGCAATTAGTTTTTTTTTCAGACAAAAGGATGGAGGAAGAAGAATGAGATGATTGCATCTTTTCCACGTGCTAGCCCAGCCATCATAATTTAGATTCCAACTCTTTTTTGATCTGTGTAGAGTGAAAAAGTGAATTAGCCGGGTTGAGCGGAGAAGGACGGAAAATAAATACATATATATTATCCAGTATAAGACCTTCCTATTCTCCCAGCTTGAAGTTCCAGCCAATTGTATGAGAATTGACCGGCGTGCTGTTGACCAGTTCCAGCTCCAGGGGAAGGAGGGGGAGGTTCAGGCCCCTGTAAACAGGTGGAAAGCTGAGGGTCATCCTCGTGACGTCATGATTTGTGAGTCCTGTGTCCTGTGAAGTATATTCTCAAATAAAATACCGTCCCAGGCCTAAAACAGGTGACATACTCGAGGATACTGACCAGCTCTAGAATGTACCGGCCCACCACATCCGCCTATTCAGCCAGGTAGAGGCTCGCCTAGGCTGGCCGGACAGGTAGAAAGTTACCTGACCCGGCCGCGCGCGGAGGCTAGGAGGCCAGGGGTTGAGGACAAAAGAACTGTTACTCCACGGCAGTGTAGGATGCAACACAACCTCGCATCTCATTAAGGTTTTTTATACGCAACTTGTTAAATAAGTGAAAATAGTGATTCTGCACTTTTACTTCTGCAGTAGGTAATTTCCTGGAGACCTACCCCCCATTCGGAAATAAAAATAAATTTTTATCATTTACAACAAGATATTGATGGGCGCGGTTAAATAAAAAGAAATTAAAGAAAAACGTACGAGCTTTGAACAAAAAGGTGATATAAATAAAGAAAGTTCAAATATTTCCTCATAAAATCTATCTTCGTTTTAGAAATAAAGGAAAAATGGTTACAGCCCTTTATATCATTAATGCAACTTTTTTAATGAGAAACCACTTAAAGGGACTGTAAGCGTAATTACAAGTGACTCTCCTTGCTAAGATAACAATGCCCGATTTACAACGGTATCTAAAAAGCTGTGTTTCGTCAAGTATGAATATAATATATATCTATATATATACTATATAATTTTTTTAAAAATTTTATTTGCTTTTGTGGTTTCTCTGCAAAAGTGACTTGCGCATTCGATTCTTGCAACAATGAAGAAATTCACAGAAATAAACTCATTGTGAAATATAAAAATAGCGTTATCTTCCAGATTTTTTATTAAATTAATGTTTATAGGGTACTAATGTAAATCGGACATTGCCATCTTTCCATGAAGGGTCGCCTACAGTAGATCCCATAAATTTATTAAAAGCATAAATACTGATTTAAGTATATTGAGTCGCTTTTGCTAATTTTAGGTGAGAATAATAGCTAATTAATCTTCAGTAAATGGAATATTATACTTCACTATTGATATAGCTTCACTATGGGGAATTATGTAAAATATCTAATTATAGGTAATTTCTGACACAGCACATTTCAGATATGTTTTTTAGGATATTTACAGAAGTTTAACTTAGTTATTTTGTTATTTAGGAAGTAGTTAAAGGAATTTACAGTTTACTAGAGGTTTGAAGTTTACATGAGGTTTACAGGAGGTGTTTAAAGAGGTTTACAGGAGGTGTTTAAGGAGGTTTACAGTAGGTATGTAAAAAAATTTACAGGTATTTAAAGAGGTTTACAGGAGGTGTTTAAAGAGGTTTCCAGAAAGTGTTTAAAGAGGTTTACAGTAGGTATGTAAAACGGTTTACAGGTATTTAAAGAGATTTACAGGAGGTGTTTAAAGAGGTTTACAGGAGGTGTTTAAAGAGGTTTAGGTGTTTAAAGAGGTTTACAGGAGGTGTTTAAAGAGTTTTACAGAATGTATTTAAAGAGATTTACAGTAGGTATTTAAAGAGGTTTACAGGAGGTTTTAAAATGAGTTTACGGTACGTATTTAAAAAGGTTTACAGTAGGTATTTTCAGAGATTTACAGGAGGTATTTAAAGAGGATTACATAGGTTTTTAAAGATGTTTAAAGTAGGTATTTAAAGAAGTTTACAGTAGGTATTTTAAGAGAATTACATAGGTGTTTAAAGACTCGAGGTTTACTGTAGGTATTTTAAGAGGTTTACATAGGTGTTTAAAGAGGTTTACAATAGGTATTTAAAGAGGTTTTCAGAAGGGAATTAAAGAGGTTTACAGTATGTTTTTAAAGAAGTTTACAGTAGGTATTTTAAGAGGATTACAGGAGGTATTTTAAGAGAATTACATAGGTGTTTAACGAGGTTTACAATAGGTATTTAAAGAGAATTACAGTAGGTATTTTAAGAGGTTTACAATAGGTGCTTAAAGAAGTTTACAATAGGTATTTTAAGAGGATTACAGGAAGTATTTTAAGAGGATTACAGTAGGTATTTAAAGAGGTTTACAGTAGGTATTTAAAGAAGTTTAAAGTAGGTATTTTAAAAGGATTACAGTAGGCATTTTAAGAGGTTTACGGAAGGTGTTTAAAGAGGTTTACAGTAGGTATTTAAAGAGGTTAACAGTAGGTATTTAAAGAAGTTTACAGTAGGTATTTTAAGAGGATTACAGTAGGTATTTTAAGAGGTTTACGGAAGGTGTTGAAAAGGGTTTACATAAGGTATTTTAAAAGGTTTACAGTAGGTATTTTTAGAAGTTTAAAGAACTTATTTAAAGAGGTTTACAAGAGGTATTTAAAGAGGTTTATAGTAGGTATTTAAAGAGGTTACTTTCGGTATTTTAAGAGGTTTACAGACGTCATTTAAAGAGGTTTAAGTAGGTATTTAAAGAGGTTTGCAGAAGGTATTTAAAAAGGTTTACAGTGGGTATCTAGAGAGGTTTCAGGGCACATAAAGGAGGTTTACTGGGCCTATTAGTTAAGTTTACAGAATGTATTTAAAGAGAGAATTTGACTTTTAGAAATGATACAAGCAATTAAACTTCAAACTTTATTCCTGTTTTCTATTTTCTCAAACATGTTTTCTTTTCCCATCATTCTACACTTTATTTTCCCCCTAATTTCCCCCTCTCACTCATCTAATTCATGCCTCCCCCCTTATCTACAGTTTTCCCCCTTTCCCTTTCATGTTTAGTTCTTTTACTTTTCATTGATTTCTGCCGAAAATAATATTATTATGAAAAAATAAATATTTTTTTTCCAAAATCATGTTTATTAAATTTCAAACTTAGTTTGTTGAAAGCCCTTGTTTTAATTGTTTTTTGATAATTTCATACATAATCTTATTCCATGGATTGAAAAATGCATTTTATGTACTCTGCCTGCCTTATATTCCCGAGTAGGATTATCTATAGGGCTTCTTTCCACCACAATATTTGCAAATTGCTCTCAAGCCAAACCTTTTATTAAGGCCTAGTCAAATACATGCTTTGAAATGCAAAAACATTTAATCATAATTTTTTTAAATTTAAATTTCTGAATACAAATGTAAGTTTGAAGATTTTTGTATTTACTGATAAAATTGCAAATATCCAAGTAATTAAAAATATATTAAGCTACTCAAATTTAACGGAAAAATATGAAAAAATCATTTTTTTTACATAAATTGAATCAATATGACGAATATGAAAATAGAAAAAAAATACGGAAATCGAATTTATTTTATATATAAATATCCTATTAAATACAGTATGAGTGAATAAACATGAAAATAACAACTCGAAAAATAAAACCATTTTTACCCATATCTTCACACAAATTAGACTAAAAAGAAATTATGGAAATGATTAATATAGACTTTTGTTCTTTTTTTGTATCCAGCTTTTATCAAACATTGAAATAAAGATGGCTATTGAGATTGAAATTTATGATTTTACTGTTAAAAAACAGCTGGGCAACTTTTTAATGGTTCATTTGTTTACTGGTAATAAACTAGTTTTACGTAAACCCATTTTTTTTGTCGTATTCTCTTCTGTTTCTGTCTTTAATAAACCCAGTTTAGTTTTGTCGTATTTTCTTCAGTTTCCGTCTCCTTATAAACTTCAGTTTCCGTCTCCTATAAACTTCAGTTTCCGTCTCCTATAAACTTCAGTTTCCATCTCCTATAAACGTCAGTTTCCGTCTCCTATAAACTTCAGTTTCTGTCTCCTATAAATTTCAGTTTCCTTATCCTATATACTTCAGTTTCCGTCTCCTACAAATTTCAGTTTCCTTATCCTATAAACTTCAGTTTCCGTCTCCTACAAATTTCAGTTTCCTTATCCTATAAACTTCAGTTTCCGTCTCCTACAAATTTCAGTTTCCTTATCCTATAAATTTTAGTTTCCGTCTCCTATAAACTTCAGTTTCCGTCTCCCATAAACTTCAGTTTCCGTCTCCTAAATGATGATCATGATAAGCATAATACTAAATTTGCAGATCACAAATAATTAAAAAAAATGATGATAGCGAAATGATGATTTGAACTTAATAGCGAGGCAAACAATTAGGACAAAAAATGGTTAATGTGAAAGCATGAAAGTTAATTAACAATTTTGTTTTTGTAAAATTATTTTTTGAAATTTTTTTTTTACCAAACCCTTCTTGGAGAGTCTTTGTAGAGAGATACACATGAATGTTTAAAGAGTAGTGTTTAGAGAAAATGTGGGCAATTGTTGCTTGTTTTCTGGCATAGGTCCAGGATAGAAGTGCACTGGGAGAGGGGGAAAGCAAATCAGTTTGACAAGAGCATGTTGAAAATTAAAATAGTTCCATTTGTCTGGAAAAACCGGGGAAAGGGTTAAGCAAAAATGTGTGAAAACCTTTAAATAATGTTGGTTTTAAGTAAATAAATCCCAAATATTTTCATTCTGTGAACGCTTCAGTATTTATTGGTTTATAGGTTTTTTTACTTATTAGACCATTTTGAAAAATTAATGTCAAAGATTAAAAAAAGACAAGTTGCGTATATAGGAGGAAATAAGATCTGGAGTACCAAACGTGCCTGAGTGAGAGTGAGTGTAGGTAAAATAAATCAATAAAATTATGAAAGAGGATTTTCTATTAACCATACAATTTTCAATTGATAGCTATGATAATATCAAACCATCCATTTACGTTTCAAAGAGTTTTTCATAAAGAAACTTCAGAAAAATTAAACTGTTCAAAACTTAATCTAAGCTCTTTTTCTAGGGAGTGTTTGGTCACCCCCTTAGAGAAGCAAAATGGCAGCCCACCTGCGGCATGCCGCAATCTTTTTTGCCCTTCTGGCGTGCGCGACACAAGTGTCCTGTTCCGCAGAAGGAGATGAGGTTGATATCAGCAGTGAGGGTATCAATTGTGAAGATGGACTTATTGTACCCCTGTGGCCTGGAACAGATGATATGAGTTTAGGAGATAGGTAAGTTTACTCAAACTCATTGAGGTTCAAAACTTCTCGTACTGATTTATTGCTATCTTTAGATTTGGACGAGGATTGTTGTATTCAGTTCTTATGATCTACCTTTTCATTGGTGTTGCTATTGCTTCTGACAAGTTCATGGAGTCTATTGAAATGATCACTGCTCAGGAAAAGGAGGTTTCTGTAAAGGATCCTCGCACAGGTAAAACCCAGGTTATCATTGTAAAAGTTTGGAATGAAACTGTCGCCAACTTGACTTTGATGGCTCTTGGATCCTCTGCACCGGAGATCATGTTGTCTGTTATTGAGATCTGGGCTAAAGGATTCCACGCTGGTGATCTTGGACCTGGAACAATTGTTGGTTCTGCTGCTTTTAATTTGTTCATGATTATTGGTCTCTGCCAATATGTTATCCCTGATGATGAAGTCAGAAAGATCAAACATCTGCGTGTGTTCTTTATCACAGCCACTTGGTCTGTGTTTGCTTACGTTTGGCTGTACATGATCCTTGGACTCTTCTCCTATGGTGTTGTTGAGATCTGGGAGGGTGTTCTTACTTTCCTTTTCTTCCCTGCTACTGTGTACACTGCCTTTGTTGCTGACAGACGTATGTTCTTCTACAAATATTTTGACAAAAAGTACAGAGCCAAGAATGGTGTCATTGTCCAATCTGAAAAGGGAGACATTGAAAACCGTGCAACTGAAAAGTTCAGGGAATTTGAAGATCTTGATGATATGGACCCTGCCTTGGCCGAGTTCGAGCGTAACCGTCGTGAATACATTAATGCCATGAAGAGGATTCGTCTGGAAAACCCCAACATCAGCCTCATTGATCTTGAAACTAAGGCTAGAGAAGAAGTTATGGCTAAGGGCCCCAAGTCTCGTGCCTATTACCGTGCTCAGGCTACCCGTAAATTGGCTGGTAAGGAAGATGCCATGAAAGCTATGTCCAAGACAATCCAGGCTGAAGCTGAAGCAGAAAAGGCAGCTATGGAAGCTTCTGCAGCTGCTGAGTTGGGACTGAATGAGAAGAAGGACGATGGCATTACCAGAGTCATGTTTGACCCCCCTCATTACACCGTTATGGAGAGTGTCGGAACCTTTGAAGTTACCATTGTCCGTGAGGGTGGAGATCTAAACTCCACTATCCAGGTTGACTACAAGACTGAGGATGGTTCTGCTTCCTCTGATGGAGACTACATTGAAGCTATTGGTACTCTTACTTTTGGACCTGGAGAAACCCAAAAGATGGTTACTCTTGAAGTTCTTGATGACGATGTATTTGAGGAGGATGAACATTTCTATATCAGGATCAGCAATCTCCGCCGCAAGGATGGAAAAGATTTTTCTGAAATTGACGTAGTAGATAACAATGGAAAGAAGACTAAACAGCCCTCAGTTCAACTTGGTACTCCACATATGGCAACTATTATGATTCTTGATGATGATCACGGAGGTATCTTTGGCTTTGAAGATTCTGAGGCTGAAATTGTTGAATCTGTTGGAATCTATGAGTTGAAGGTTCAGCGTATTTCTGGAGCTCGTGGCAAGGTTAGTCGAATTTATTTTAATATTAAATATCTTTTGTCATATTTTTTAAAATATTAATTTAAATCAGTCTTTAACTTCAATATTTATTGAGGTTGCTGTCTCCTATAGCTCTGAGGACGGAACTGCTAAAGCCGGAACTCATTACGAAGCCGTTGAAGGCGAACTGCTCTTTGAAAATGAAGAAACAGAGTAAGTTATTTTTTTGAATCTATTTGTATTTTAAATATTCTACTCATATCTTGCTTATGTGCGTAAACTTCTTCACATCTGTGTCTGTATAAAATAAACATTATAATCTGCACTGTGAGCCCGCCTCTGTTCTTATCTAAGCGGCAACTCTATGTCGGAATCTTGTTTTCTACTTAAATTGATTTTAAATTGTACAAAATGTTCAATGTATAGGTTCATCACGTACTGTTTTGTTTTAATTTCATTTAATCATTGGTTTCTACAGTGGAACCAAAAACTGTGAAAAAAGACTGTCAGACTCAAGTTATGATTTAAAACAGTCCAATGAACATGTTGCACAGCAGTTTTAGTGTACACAGACCCATTTTTCTAAATAGGTAGCCTTTTAAGCCACTGGGTGTACTTTTTGCTTTAACAATATCAAATACACTAATTTCTTAAATGTTGTCTTCCTAGTCCACTGTTTAATGGGCCCCTCTGTATGTTGTTATTCTGTCCTTATTCATGATTTAATCTGTTCAGAAAGATTATTGAACTGCCAGTCCTTGATGAAGAAAGCTACGAGAAGAGTTTGATCATGTATGTCAACCTCGGAGAACCAAGACAGATCGCAGGTGGGTCATCTTTCCTTTAGGGTCATCCTTTAAATGGGCTGAATTATTTATTAGCCAGGGGGTTTCAAATCATAATTCAAAATAAGGTACAATAGACTAGACTTAAACTGGCATTAAAGAAACTATGGGTGAGGTATAATTTCAAACAGGAAATACCCAGTTCATAACAATTATATTCTTTCAAATGTTGGTAACGCGCGGTCTATAACTCGGTTTTGGATTTCCAGAAGGCAAAGAAGGAGGTATATAAACACTTGGTTGTAAACCTGTTAATGTGTGATTATTGTCAAAGCTGATTCCTTCCATCCTTTTCTCCATGTCCCTCTCATGGGACTGGGGTTTCTTTGGAAAAATTAGTGTTGGAATCAGCTTTTAATTGTTCCCTTAAGTTCTAGGGCAAACCCCTCGCAAAGCAGGGTACCCTTATGCTAATGTATTCATTAGATCCCCCTTGATCCCTCTTTTCACTTCTTTCAAACCGTCAATGCGTTATTAAAGTATCCATCGCAAGTGTCTCCAAATGACAAAACAAATGGCCCTTGTGTACTGCATTTGTATGAATGTTATTTTTCCCCGCCAGATGACTCTCCTGCCCGCACAAGCCGAGGACATTCATTTGATAAAAGTTTTTATCTTTCTATGGATGGTTCAGGACAAAGAGGAGGTGAATATATTTAAACGGTTCTCCTGAACTTAGATAGATTTAGAGATTCAAAGATCAGAAAAGATTTTCGATCATTTACATCATTTTCGAGCTAATGACAGTGGCAACTTTAAAAATCTAACATATACCGCTAGAGATATGAGATAGCAGAATGGTTTAACATGATCTCATGAAACTGTGAAATTGGAAGACGATATTTTAGAAATGGTTCTGTGTACAGTACGTACTACGTACTGTACACTGTACACTCGAGTCGTACAGTCGTCTTTCTATTCCACAGTTTTACGGGTCTTATTGCATAAGTAAAATTTCAAAATTTAAATATTTCTTATCAGATATTTGTTTCTGCCATTAGCTAAATATAAAGACATTGTTAATTTTGTCATATCTCATTAGCTTTGATTAGAATATTCCTTAGCATAGAAAACTATTCGTTCCATGACTTGGAGATTTAAAAGATTCTTAAATCTTCCCTATATAGAGCCCCCAAAACACTCCTTCATGTTCATTCTTGAGGGTTTACGGACCGCGAGAGAAAGCTGAAAAAATTCTTAAGTTTTATCTAAATATAGGCAAAACAAAGTTTTAACTATAAATTTGAAAATGCTTTCTTGTAGATTTGTGGTCAGTTTTACGATTGAAAAAAATAACTAAAAATAAATTTAGTTTACTATATAACAAGAAACATTAGAATATCAGTAAATCCCTAAAAAATTTCCTATCTCAATTTTTTCCATTGTTAGCGAGCACCACAAAGTTCTTCAGTAAAACAGAACCTGGTGCAGATGATATAACCTCAGTAGTATAGATTAGTTAGTAAAAAAACTGTTCACTAACTTTTTTTAAATTCATAATTTTTCATGTAGACGAAAAGGAAATATTTGTCGAAGTCAAGAAATTATTTACTTTTTTCTCTCTCTCTCTCGCGTTAATTTCTTGTCAAGATTTGACGTATGCAAAAGCCCACCTGGAGTAAACGTCCTTGAGTTAGTTTTAGCTCTGTGTATATCGGAGAACTTTGTTTTTACTTCAAAGGAGGCGCAAACAAATATTTTCATTTTGGTAAATTTGTTGAATTAACTGTAATGTTTATTGTGTTTGTAGATTTATATTCGGAAACTGTTGAACTTTGATTTTCTAAAAACTATTTGAACCCAATTTTTATTCTTAAAAAGTTTAAGACTAAACGTTATTTATCAAGTTTTTGTTATTTTCAACAATTTCTGTAATTACATGTTTACTTGTCCTTGTTATATTCTTAGACCTTATGGAAAAGTAATTAATGCTAGAATTAAAAATAATAAAAGTGTTAATAATGGTATAATGATGATATTGATAATAATTATATAATGATAATGATTATAATAAGTAATAATGGCATTCACTAGTAAAATATTAAAATTTCACTAATACAAAGGATAAAAAAGTAAGTAACCTTACAATTAAAAATATAATTTTAAAAATGACATTTTAAAAGATAACACTGATGAGTGATATAAATGATTCAAATGATCACAATCGATTAATCAAAATGATGATAACGACATTTGAAATTGATATTAATGATGATCATGATAAGCATAATACTAAATCTGCTGATCACAATTATTTAATCAAAATGATGATAACGATATTTGAAATTGATAATAATAATGATCATGATAAGCATAATACTAAAGCTGATGATCACAAATAATTAAAAAAATGATGATAACGACATTTGAAATTGATAATAATGATCAACATGATACTAAAGCTGCTGATCACAATTTATTAATCAAAAAGATGATAACAACATTTGAGCTTAATGATGATAATCATGATAAGCATGATGCTAAAGCTGCTGATAACAATTAATTAATCAAAATGGTGATGACGAAATTTGAAATTGATAATAATGATGATCATGATAAGCATAATACTAAACCTGCTGATCACAAATAATTTNGCTAAAGCTGCTGATTAAAGTTAATGAATCAAGATGATGATGACGATATTTGAGATTGATAATAATGATGATCATGATAAGCAAGATGCTAAAGCTGCTGATTAAAGTTAATGAATCAAGATGATGATAACGATATTTGAAATTGATAATGATGATGCTATTATTGCAGAGGGTATTGACTACTCTGTCTTGGACGCTAAGGATCCTGAAGCTCTAACTGAAGAGGAGAAGATTGCTCTACTTGGTAGACCGTGTCTTGGCACAAACGGAAAGGTTCAGATCAGGATTAAGGAATCAAAGGAGTTCAAGGTACTGAATCTATCTATCTATCTATCTATCTATCTATCTATCTATCTATCTATCTATCTATCTATCTATCTATCTATCTATCTATCTATCTATCTATCTATTTCTATCTATCTATCTATCTATATATCTATCTATCTATCGGGAGCTATCCATAAGTGGTGTATAATAGGACCCAAATATGTTTGTTTAGAACTCTGTGGACAAGATGATGCAGAAAGCCAATGCTTCAATGATGGTTGGATCCAGCTCCTGGTTGGAACAGTTCACGGAGGCATTCAATGTACAAGCTGGTAGGTTGTTTCAATTTACATTTAATTGTATTGGCCCGGTTATATGGAATAGTACTGTACATACAAGCTGGTAGGTTGTTTCAATTTACATTTAATTGTACTGGCCCAGTTATATGGAAAAGTACTGTACATAAAGCTGGTAGGTTCAATTTAAATTTAATTGTACGTACCTGCCCGGTTATATGGAATAGTACTGTACAAGCTGGTAGGTTGTATTTTTCCGGTCGTTAAAAGAATTACTGTACAACTTGTTGTACAAACCCGACACTTAAGTAAGCTTGGACGACATCTCAGTATAAGATTGTATAGTTATAAGTATTGCATTAGTTTGTACTTATATGTTTACTTAGTATATAACGCGGGCAGCCGTAGTACATTTGAATTTCCGAGCTGGGTCAACCTTTCCGGTCCCAATTTGTACTGTATCGCCCGGACATTGGGTAAATAAAGCAGATACTCAATAGGACTAGCCGGTGCGACTAGGTTGACGCGGTTAGACTTTAGGTTGAATTTACTTTTACTGAAGGGTCAGAGGTGCGTGATAATGAATTGTACAGTACTGAAGAACTACTAGCTAAATACTTTCTATATACATTGTTCTTTTTGCCTAACTAATAAAATGTCTAGCTAGGTATTCCTTGTTATTGCATTTTCATTTGATTTAATATCTTTTTTGCGTTTCTTTTAATATAAATTCTAATAAAGCCTCAAAACATATATTATGCTATAACATTTTGGAGTTATTAGCTAAACATTTTGCTATAAATCTACAAATTTTGCTATTAAAAACTGAACGTTTTGCTTTAGTAAAGCTAAGCATTTTGCTATTATAAAACTGTACATTTTGTTTTAGTAAAGATAAGCATTTTGCTAATATAAAACTGTTCAATTTGCTAATATAAAACTGTACATTTTGCTTAAGTAAAGCTATACAATTTCCAATAAAACTATGCATTTTGCTTTAAACCTATACATCTGGCAATAAAGCTATTTATTTTGCTGTAAAGTTATACATTTTTCTATAAAGTTTTTCTTCGCCATTATGAATAAAGTTTTGCATTTTATTTAAAGTATAAATTTTGCTTGAGTGTAACCTATAAACCTGTGGAAAAGGAAGACTGTTAAACTCAAGTAATGATTTCATGAGACACAGCAATTGTGCAGTGTACACAGACATATTTTAATATTTCATTGACTTTTAAGTAATTGGTAAAACAACAAAAACATCAAACGTACATAAGATTGCTTAAATGTTCTCTTCCTAGTCCAAAGTTTTATGAATCTCTCTGTATATAAAGCTATAGATATTGGTAAATCTAAGCTTAAAACAAATGTTTTTAATTTCAGAAGGTGAGCTGTGTTTACAGGCTTGGTGCAGGTTTAGGTTTCATAAATTCACCCAAAATATTTTTCATTTTGCTCCAACTATGTTAATGAAAATTCTCCACATTTTGTTTTTATTAAAAATGGTGAATTCTTGAAACCAGCTTGTGTGTGTGTGTGTGTGTTTTTGTATTTTATAAACTTAGCTTGAGCCGGAAACTTTTTTGTATATATATAAATACAATATATACGTAAACGGAATATTTCTGAAAATTTTGTTACCGATACCTAGAATTTACAATCATATTGTTTCCGTAAAGGCTAAGCAGAACCTTCCCTAAAGCTGTTAAGAAAAAGAGGCCACAAAGAAGGACTGACCGGCAATGTATGGTGGTTGAACTGAGATCGCAGTATTGTAGAGAAATTTTCTAGGATTCATTTGAGACATACAAAAAGTTTTAAAGATCCATAATTACAAGACTGCAATCTCAGTTCAACCAGCATACATTGCCGCTCACTCCCTTTAACAGCTTCAGAAAAATTTCCCTTTGGCCTTTACGTAACCAAGTTGATACGGTGGACAATGTAATATGCACATTGCAATATGGACAATGGACTATCATGTTTACCCGAGAATAAGTTATTTAATTGCTATTTACTAATCCTTAGAATAGAAATATTATTGCTAAACAGTGAACACCCTTGACAGAACACCCTTGACAGAACATCCTTGACAGAACACGGGGTTTGTTCGCTTATCACTGTTTTTACTAAAAGAACTCTTATCGTAGGAAATCTTTTTCAAAAATTTAGATTATCTGTTCTTTAACATATTCTTCTCAAACAGTAGTGATGGAAATTTAACAAATCAAGAGCGATGTTGAAAGGGACTGTACACTTATTTTCAAGTGTCCCTTTAATCAAAGAGTATCCCTTTAATCCTCTATCTGAATATCAATGAGAAAGATATCGTCATTTTTCTATCTATCAAGAATTAAATTCTATTAGTTTCAGCTAAAATAATATGGATATCTCACTCATCCTTGATTACACAAAGGTTTAAAGGATACTGTTATAAATCTGACAGGTCACTCTTCAAACATGAGGTTCTATTGAACTTTATACTACAGTCCCTTTAAACAGAGTGTTATAATATTTTAACATTTTTTATAATATATAATATTCTTTTAAGATGATGACGAAGAGGGAGAAGAAGGAGAAGGTATTTTTTCTTTAAAAATATATTTTTTAAATTTTCATTGTCAGTGCAAAGGAATTGAGTCTTTGCCACAAACTCTGGTATCTTTTTTATATCTTTGCAACCCAATGTAGAATACCTTAGAAATGTCAAACCATGAATTCTGTTAGATCAAATAATCTAAATTTGAAATACTAAGGTAGCAAAGATATAGGGAATAGCAAATTTGAGTTTGTGGCAAAGACTCATTTTCTTTTTAAGAAATTTAAATTCTTGGCTATTTTTTCTATTCTTATAAAAAGCGCAAAAATACATAGCACAATTTATTTGCATAGTTTTAATACATTATCGAAATTATTAATTTTGATTTTGTTTAGGTGAAGAAAAGATGCCTTCTTGCGGAGATTATATTATGCACTTCCTCACTCTGCCATGGAAAATTATCTTTGCACTTATTCCTCCTACAGGTATATTCATTCATTCATTACTTTATCCTACAGGTATATTAATCCTATTCATTTATTTAATAATCTATTTATTTTTGGTTCAATGAATAATTCATTACTTTGTTTTTTAATTCATTTATTGATTCATTCATTAAATCATTCTTTAATTCTTAAAAAAAAATATTTATTCATTGTTTGATTTCGTTCTTTATTCTTTTTTCATTTAATTCATAAATTCATTCATTGATGATTTATTCAATCAGTCAGTCATACCATAATTCATCCTTATTCAATTATTTTTGTTAAACAAAACTAAACTTCCTTAAAAAAGGTTATAATAAGAACAAAATCTTCACCGATTTTAATCATTTTTAGGTTTTTAGGTTTAGATGAGACCGTCAGCAAAAATATATTTTTGTAACATTTCATCTTAATTTCAGATACTGAATTTTAGTAGAGGATTCATAATCTGATAATGTATATAAAATACAACAGACCATGCACGAGGGGGGTAGTACAAAGTGTGTGTGGGGGGGAGTACAAAGTGTGGGGGGGAGTTCAAAATGTGTGGGGGGGAGGGTTAAAGCCTGAAAATAAACAAACAATGCATATTTTCAATGTTCTTTCCATGCAAAGCATTTCTACGTGACACGTTGTTTACTAACTTACATAAACATTTATCAATTAATTATTGACATCTATTTGACATCCCTAAAATACGGGAGAAAACTAAAGAAAATACAAGATTTTCAACGATAACCTTTGAACCTGCACTAAAGCATTTATTGAAAAGATATTTTGTTTATTTAAGAAGTTTTTGTTACGTTTTCTTCAGAAAAAATGTTTAAAGGTATTGTTGTGAATCACGTACATGTCACTAATAATATATGGGTGATTATAAAAATAATCTTTGAAATTATACCTAATTATTTGAACCTAATTTTATTTGAAAGCAGTTTCATGCCTGAATGCATTTCTTGTCCTCCAAGGTCACAGATTTGGCTTGCAAGCCTAATCCTAAGTCCGACTAAAAATCAACATTCTTCCCTGACATTAGTAAAGCAATCAATTATTTAAATGGAAGAATGGCCTCCACAATGCTATAGTGTCAGGACAGAATGAAATATATTGTCCCTAAGTAAGGTTGACTAACAAGACTGGGAACCTCGTCAACTATAAGATAGGATCACGAGACAAGCCTAGCTTTCATCCAGATATTCAGGAGCCAGCTTATTTAAACAATATACAACCTTCTAGCCTTACATACATTAACATCATGTTTGGCAAACATAAATATTCTTTTTAAAAAGGCATTTCCTTTGGTAGATCAAACAGAAAAAATAAGATGTCATTAGTCAATTAGAAGGGAATTGATTTCAAACTTAGATTATTTGAAAAGGGATTAAAAAAATCAGAGATTGTGGCAAAAACGCAATGCCTTTATCAAAAATTAAAGTGAAAAACCCAGTTTTTTTGAATAACTTTTTTGAAAGAAGTTTAATTAAACAATTTAATGGTTTTTAAATTTTCTGATTCTATTTTTCACTTATTGTTTTCTTATTGGAGAGTCCAAAATTAATAAAATCTACGAAAGTTAAGACTACTTTTTTCTCATGTATGTTTGTTGCTAATAAATCTGTTTGTAGGACTAATGGATGGATATCCTACCTTTATCATCAGCATCCTCTTTATTGGTCTAAATACAGCCGTCATAGGTTAATCACAATATTTCAATTCAAAAAAAAGTTGAACAAAAAATATAGAGTTTAAATCTTAACTTGATTTATTAAAGGGGATGTTGCTGGTCACCTAGGATGTTATATACATTTGAAGGACTCTGTCAATGCCATTGCCTTTGTTGCTTTGGGAACCAGCGTGCCCGGTATGACTGGCATGTAGAACTTCCAAGCATGTCAACTAACTCGAGCATGCTTACAAACTTTCCTAAATGCATGTCATTTTAGAATACAGGATGCAGATCCTATTGCTTTGATTAATGATTAATTCTTCAAAAGAACATGATGAATATATATTGATGTTTCTGATGTTGGGATATGATTGTACTCAACTATTTCATTAATTAGGACATTTTTAGCAATTTGTGAGGGCTATCCAACCTTTGTTATTTCAATCCTCTTCATTGGACTTTGCACAGCTGTTATTGGTGATGTTGCCGGCCATCTTGGCTGCTTCATTTATCTTAAGGATTGCGTCAATGCTATTGCCTTTGTAGCACTGGGCACTTCCGTACCGGGTACCTCTTTAAGCATGGAACCAACCGTAGAAACTCTGTAAATTTGAAATTTGTGGATAATGAATTAATTCTACTAGACTGGGGTATTTAGTTATTGATATATCTTATAAATTGTCTGTTCACAACCAGATAATTTTAGATATATTTTGATCCTTGGTACCTGTATCATAACATGTGAATGTAGATTGCATGAATTATTTGAAAATGTGGATGCTAAATAAAATAGAAATGTAATCAGATACTAACCTTTAAATTATCTAGCTATCTACAACGGATATCCCACTTTTGTCATATCTATCCTCTTCATTGGACTATGTACTGCGGTCATCGGTGACGTTGCCGGTCATCTTGGCTGCTTTATCTTCCTGAAGGACTGTGTTAATGCCATTGCCTTTGTAGCACTCGGCACCTCAGTACCTGGTACTTATCAAAAAGTGTGATTGAAGTCTGATGGATCTGTAGTTTACATGAAAAGTCTGTGAATGACCAGACAATTCAGAAACTAAACTTTAAAGAGTATGCTTTCAATTTTGGCTTAATTTAAGGGAGCGCTGAACTTTTAATATTTAACTTTGAACGCTGAATTATGATGGCTGAACTTTGAACGCTGAATTATGAGCGCTGAACTTTTAATATTTAACTTTGAACGCTGAATTATGAACGCTGAACTTTGAACGCTGAATTTTGAACGCTGAACTTTTAATTTTTAACTTTGAACGCTGAATTATGAACGCTGAACTTTTGATATTTAACTTTGAACGCTGAATTATGAACGCTGAACTTTTAATATTTAACTTTGAACGCTGAATTATGAACTCTGAACTTTTAATATTTAACTTTGAACGCTGAATTATGAACGCTGAACTTAGAATGGTAACCCTGACCACTGCTTTTTTCCAAATCTATAATGCGAAACTTTAATTTTGAGATTCAATTTAAGGGAACGCTCGACTTTGAATGATGCTTTTTGAATGGTGAAACTAGAACGCTGAAATATAGTGCTGAGTTTTGAATATAGGATGACGAATTATAAAGTTTTAATCTATGTTTTTAAGAAAAGATTGAACACTGAAATTTCTTTCTATCATTGTCATGAAGTTTGTAAAATTGAAAGCAAATCTCTAATATCATTCTCATAGTCTGCATGGGACCAGACTTTTTCAGTTTCTCTTCAACAGTTTATCTCAGATTATAGAAGAAAATAGTTGTTGAAATATTTTGAATAGCACGACTGTTTAAGACCAGTTTGTTATGCCATCATATCAGTTTAATAATGTTTAGTTTTCAACCATAAATAGGAAGAAGGCTGACATCTATATACAGAGAAAGACAGAAGTATAATATTTAACCAAAAATGGAATATTGATTTAGCAATGGGAAGTGGATATCCCACTTTTGTTGTATCAATTTCTGCCATCGGACTGTGTACCGCTGTTATCGGTGATGTTGCCGGCCATCTTGGCTGCTTCATCAACCTCAAGGATTGCGTCAATGCTATTGCCTTTGTAGCACTCGGAACTTCTGTACCTGGTACATAGAAAAGCCTTACGAGTGGTGTGTTTTTAGATCAGAAAAGTTTGATATTTGAGAAATATCAGCTTTGATAGTTTAGTTTTGGCAAGAAAGACTGTAGAAGACCAGTTTTTTGTTGCTATCTTTGTCTTAGTGTAATGATTTTTACCCTAACTTAGGTTGAAAGATGTCATCTGAATCCAGAAAACTTCTGAAATTTAAATTTAAATTTAATAATAATTTAGCTATGATGAGTGGATATCCCACTTTTGTTGTATCAATTTCTGCCATTGGGGCTTGTACTGCGGTTATCGGTGATGTTGCCGGCCATCTTGGCTGCTTTATCAACCTCAAAGACACAGTAAATGCAATTGCCTTTGTTGCACTCGGCACCTCAGTACCTGGTATTAAAAGCTTGTAATTGTAAATCTGCCGATCAAATAATAAATGCAGCTAGATTATCCAGAACCCAATAAATTGCACTTATCAAGAGCTGCAAACTTTCCACAAACTCTAATTTTCTTTAAACTTTTTCTTTTCAACCTCAAGATGTAAACCTTTGTACCTTCATAGGTTGTCTTTCTAATCTAGTAGAGGTCTACTCCATCAGGTTGCACTGATATTAGAAAATTAGAGTTTGAGGAAAGTAATCAACTTTTTGGGCATTCAGATTCTCAACCTGGACTTAATATTTTATCACAAGAATGTAATATTATTCTTGCATCTGAAGTCTGAATCAATGTATCAATTGTTCTCCAGGTGTACTTTTATACACACAGATGAAAATAACCTTTGCCCTTAACTAATCTATCATTTTCACTTTGCATGCAGCCAAATTTAATGGATATCCAGCGTTTGTGATATCAATCTTCTTCATCGGCTTAGTAACCGCTGTTATTGGAGATGTAGCCGGACATCTGGGATGCTTTATTCATTTAAAGGACACTGTAAATGCCATTGCTTTTGTGGCACTTGGTACAAGTGTACCAGGTAATAAAATAATATTTCATAGAGGCTAATCTAGATTTTTTACCTTAAAGGGACTGTTAACGTGATTACCCCATTTACAACGGTATGAATTAGATATCCATGTTGTTGTTAACTGCTGCTGTTTATTCTCATTTTATGTTAAAGTGACTTGCGCATTTCTTGCCTATAAGAGGAAAGGGAAAATGTTCACAAGTAAAAAAGTTTTTGGTCAGAATATCGACGAAAAATTCCGCATTATTAAGATTAAGGTTTTAATGATATGCCATCGTTGGATGGAGGGTCACTTGAAATTACGCTACAGTCCCTTTAAGAAGCTGAGGATTTTACTTGGATCGAGTATTCTTATCAGCTTCGTGCATTTTCCCTTGATTAGCTTCGTTAATTAAACTGAGTTTCTCTTCACCTTCCTTTATCTGATTCTTCTAAAGATTTCTTAAGATTGAGATCTTCTCCGGTTTCAATTTATATCATTTTTAATTAGGTTTCCCTGGCCTTCAAAATAACATATCAAAGTGAAAAAAACAGGGTTACTCACAAAGAATGAGACTGTAAAGACGACCCAAAACTGAAGCGATTTGAAGCTTTATAATTTGGTTACTTTATTCGACAGAGTATTTTGTTGGTTTACTAAATGATTAAGCACAGAAATAATCCAGTTTTGGTCGACAAGGAAACCAGAATGCAAGAAAATGGACTTTAAAAATTCCTTACAATCGTCTCTGAAGTCTCATCCTTTTTGGGTAACCCTGTATGAGCTAAACTATTCTCTCTATTTGAAAGTCGGAAAGGAAAAGTTTCAACCTAGGTTATGACATAAATTCTAAAATTACGTATGCACTTTTTAACCTTAAATAGAAATAGCAACTGTAGTTTCTCAGTAAAATGTGTGTGATCTTTTCAAAGTAGGGTTTAAGTTGTGTGAAATCCTTTTCTAAATGAAGTGTGACAATGTTTTCTTTTGAAGTGTGATGTGCTAATATTTTAATGTTTCAAAAAATTTGAATTTAGAGAGCCAAATGAATTTCATCAGTTTAATTTATTGCAGATTGCTAAAAATACTTGATATGATATATTTCAAATATTTAAATTTTGAGAGGTGCTCAATTTTTTGCTACAGAAAGAAATTGTTGAGATTCATTGATTATTAAATCCTTAAATTAAACCTGTTGTAACACTTTAGATACATTTGCCTCAAAGACTGCAGCTATTGAAGATGAGACTGCCGATGCTTCTGTAGGAAACGTTACTGGATCTAATGCTGTCAATGTGTTCCTTGGTAGGTTATTTATTATCACTCATGTACCTTTTTCCATTTATTCCATCAGTAATATTCCCACATTTAAATCTTTAAAGTCAGTTATCCAAAGCCATCTCTTTAACTTATTTCGACTCAATTACTGCTTTACAACCACCCCCCTCAAAAAATTATTCATTTACTCTAAGGAAACCTTCTAAGCTTCCTGTAAACCTCCTAAACTCTAAGGAAACCTCCTTAACTTCCTGTAAACCTCCTAAACTCTCAGGAAACCTCCTTAACTTCCTGTAAACTTTATAAACTCTAAAGAAACCTTCTAAACTTCCTCTAAATCTCCAAAACTCTAAGGAAACTTTCTGAACTTCCTGTAAATCTCCTAAAATAGCTAAGAAAACCTTCTAAACTTCCTAAATATCTTCCAAACTCTAAAGACACCTTTTAAGCTTGCTGCACATTTCCGAAACTCTCAGGAAACCTCCTTAACTTTCTGTTAATCTTCTAAACTCTAAGAAAACCTTCTAGACTTCCTGTAAACCCCCAAAACTTTAAGGAAACCTCCCTAACTTCCTGTAAACTTTATAAACTCTAAGGAAACCTTCTAAACCTCCTCTAAATCTCCAAAACTCTAAGGAAACCTTCTAAACTTCCTGTAAATCTCCTAAACTAGCTATGGAAACCTTCTAAACTTACTAAATATCTTCCAAACTCTTAAGACACCTTTAAAGCTTGCTGCAATTTCATAATCTCTAAGCAAACCTCCTTAACTTCCTGTAAATCTTCTAAACTCTAAGAAAACCTTCTAGACTTCTTGTAAACCCCCTAAACTTTAAGGAAACCTCCTTAACTTCCTGTAAATCTCCTAAACTCTAAGGAAACCTTCTAAACTTCCTAAATATCTTCTAAATTCTAAGCAAACCTTTTAGCTTCCTATAAATCTCATAAACTCTAAGGAAACCTCCTAAACTTCCTGTAAAATTCCTAAACTCTTAGGAAACCTCTTTAACTTTCTGTAAACCTCCTAAACTTCAAGGAAACCTCCTTTACTTCCTATAAATCTCCTAAACTCTAAGGAAACCTACTAAACTTCCTGTAAATCTCCTAAACTTCCTGTAATTCTTGTAGGCTTCAGGAAAATCTCCTAAAATGCCTATAAATCTACTCAACTTCTTGTAACTCTCCCAAACTTCCTATAAATCTCATAAACATCCTTTAAATCTCCTAAACATTCTATAAATCAATATTTATCATTTCTATACCAACATATATTCTATCTATATTTCTATAGGTATTGGTATTGCCTGGACCATGGCTGCTATATATTGGGAGTTCCAGCCTGAAGGACAGTTTGTGGTTCCTGTTGGCAGGTATAGATCTAATAAATATTGGGTATACATGATATTCTGTAAACCTGAAGTATTAACTATCTACTTTTGTAAACGTTTACGTAAAATCTATTATTCATCAAATGAATACGTGATATATATAATGAAGTACATCTTAATTGCGCCTATTTCAATTGTGCTGTAATACCTAACATGATTGTATTAATCATGCGATATATAACGACATAGGAATTGTAATTACGTCTATTAACTTGTACTTGTAACATATAAACCTCAAATACATTAGTTGATATAGAAACTCCGTACTGTTTACTGCCAGAGAGTAATTGTTCCGTTGATTTGGCGTTGAAAGTTGGGAGCTTCCGCTTGATATTGATAGCTAATGAGATCGCACCAGTGGTAATGGCGTTGATAGATCACAGATTGTATTTGTGTGGTTCCCTGTCTTGTTCAACAGGTTGAGGATCGTGCCCTTAGATTTGGCACTGATAGTTGCAGACTTCCGCTTGATATTGATAGCTAACAAGATCGCGCCCAGTGTTACTGGCGTTGATAGATCACAGATTGTATTTGTGTGGTTCCCTGTTTTGATAAACATGTTGAAAATAATGCCCTTTGATTTGGCATCGATAGTTTCCATGTGTTGACATTGATAGTCAAGAGAACAGAAGTTTCACCTGGATAGATATGTGTCCAGAAATTGTTATGGAGTAGGTATTTACTACATACACATATATAAATATCAGGAATTCTTAACTTTAATCTCTTAAACATAATCTTTAAAAATAGTTTCCAATGAAGCCTTACTTGTATTGTATTGTGTTCATATTATACAGGGCAATAGGTAGGGGTTGTACTTTATGTATGGATATATTGGTTTTATTGGAAATAGTGTCAAGTTTATATCTGCTCTCGCAATTTTATACTTTTAAAAAAGTTTACAATTTATGTTGAAATAAAAAAAGTTTACAATTTTTGTCGAAATTTAAAAAAGACAATTTAAACTAAAGTTGGTTTATTTTAAGCTTTGCAAATAACTTGTTTTCAGGCGGGTAACTAGGGGGGGGGCCATGGGGCCAGGCCCCCCCCCGCCTTAAGAAAGCTGTATAGGGGGCAAGAAGCCCCTAACAGGGGTCCATATAGTTCCAAAAATAGCAAATTTTCTCAAAAATTAAAAAAAAATATGTCACAAAGTAATTTTTTTTTTAAAACCACACTCTTTAATCAAACTCAAATTCCTTTATAGCATTTTTCAATGTAAGATCAGATTCTTTTTATTTTTGCCCCTTTTCCTTAAAAAATGCCCCTAAATTTGTATTTTTAAAATTACACTCACACATTCTTATTCAAATTGCCCAACCAGACTTGAATTTGCCCCTTTTTTCAACATTTGTAACCTTTGGTTTTTTTTAGAATGCCACCAAATATTTTTAATTTGCACCTAAATTTAATATTTTTATCCCCAAATATTTTATAAACACAACAAACTTTAAAATTTAAAGCCCTATCTAAAAAATGCCCCCTTTTTTGAAATAATATTTAGAAAATTAAGAAGTTTTGCCCCCAACAAAAAAATAACTCTTAGTTTAAAAAAATACCCCTTTTTATGTATTTTAAAATAATTTAAATAAAAAAATGTTACCCCAAATTAAATATTTAAGATTTCCCATTCGCAAAATTGACAAAAATGAAAAAAGCCCCACAAATACATCAAATTGTAAAGGTTAACACCATCGAGTTTCAAAGATTAAGGGATTAGAAAATTTGAGTTTGTGGCATAAACTTAATTTCTTTATAAATTGTTTACATTGTTTAATAATATCAAAATATTGTTTCCTTGACCGCTTTGTATTTCTAGCTTGGGTTTCTCTGTGACTGTGTTCTGTATTGAGGCTCTGCTCGCTATTGCTATTCTTATGGCCAGACGTAGCCCTATGGTTGGAGGAGAATTGGGTGGCCCTAAGGTATAGTACTCCAATACGCTCCCCCTCCCCACCCACACTTTTCACCCCTCACCATCCCCAGCCTTAGAGAAATTGTAAGCAGAATTTTACGACTTTTACACAGCAATTAAGATAGTATATAACCTTACTTTTTTCCCTCAAAGATCAAACAAAGGTTTAAAGGGTACCGTTGTGAATCTATGATGTACCTCTTTAAATAGAATATCACTTGGAAGTACACTTACAGTCCCTTTAAAGTGGAAAATAGCAGAGAATTAGTTGCTTCACCTTATTAATCTTTTCTGAAAAAGTTTGTTGAAGAAATAAAAATTACTTTGAGCAATCCTTTCTAAATATGAAGACGACAGAAATATAATAACAATCCTTTCTAACTATGAAGACGACAGAAATGTAATAATAATCCTTTCTAAATATGAAGACGACATAAATGTAATTACGGAAAAGTCTTTCCAGTAAAGTTTACACAAATGATGTTACTTTTGCTTTGCCATTAAGATCTTTCTTTGAGACCTGTTGATATAAAAAATAATCGTACAGAACTAAACATTCTGGAAACAGAATAATTTGATTCATTTTGCATTTTTCAGAGTATCAAAACCATCAACTCTGGTATCTTCGTATTCTTCTGGGTCTTCTACGTTCTCATCTCCGCCCTGGAGGCGTACAAAGTTATCGATCCTGGATTCTAATTGATCCCGGCTCACACATCCCATACTCAGTCTTGTGCTGAAGAAAGGACGATGTTTATTTTCAGCTCAACCCCATCAATTCCTACGTGAATTAAAGACATTAAATCAAAACTAGATTCCAACTGATGTTAAACCAAGACTTCTTTTTTGTTCCTGTGTGATCAATATTTGTAAAATAAATGGCGGCTCTATCGCTCTGCAACTGTAAAGTTAAGATGAATCAGTATTCAAGTCAGGTCAGTCAGGTCGTCTTCGCTCACAGTTGCAGAGCAGATTTACGCGGCAAACACTCTCTCTCTCTCACACACACACACACACTCCTCTCTACCGACATACAGTTGATATTTTCCTAGTTTTCTTTGTTTATTCTTGTTGTTTACAGGTTACGCCGTTATAGAGAGAATAATTCATATCATTATTTATTTGTTGAAATCTTTATATACACGATTTTCCACCAATTGTATCTTTTTTGTTAAAGAAGGGAAAAGTAAAGATTTAAATTTTTAAGACTTTAAAGAAGAGAAATCCTGCAAGAGAGAGAAAATACAGAAGAGAAGAGAAAAATTGAAATGAAAACCATGATTGGAAATTAATAAAAGACATAAACGTAATAAAACACGTTCAGTGTGGTTTAACAATTTTTCCATTATCCCATGAATTTCATTCACCAATCAAATACGAAAGGTTTTCTGATAATTGGAAAACGTATTAAAGGGAGTGAAATATTTCTTTTCGAAAATTATGAAGAAAAAAACATGTTCTCCAAATAATCTTGGTGTTCAAGCATGACAACCTTTAAATATTGTAATTTATTGTAAATACCTTTATTTATCAGATAAGATCAAACAATAAGTTACAATTGTATAGCCAATTCCCCTGATTCTGATATTTTTAAAATATATTCTATACCATATTTTATACCTTTGAAATAGAAGAAGACATTCTGAATTTTGTCTCTGCTAATTGAATATTAGCAAAATTATCATATTTATGGAATGCTTAGGAGTCGGATAATTATTTGTTTAAATGTCAACTTTATTCTTTATTAAATATCAAATATGTATGATGATTATAAGTCCCTTGAGGCCGAATTTAAAGACTTAAATTTAAGCCGCGGCATGGTTGCATCCACTTAAAATCGTATTCATTGTTTCAAGATTTAAGCCGGTTTTTGGCGAATTTAAGACGCGACTCAAATTCATTAAGTTCGGATATTGTTTCCCATGTTTGTTTATAGATCCCGACAAAGGATAAGACTTCAGAAACGACTCTGTATGGACTTTATTCAGTTTTTGATTTTTACATTCTTGGTTCCATGCAGTTGTTTCTCTCTCCTTGTCAAATCAATAAGTGTATCATTTGTAAACTGAGCCCACGATTTAAAAAACTCGGGAAATACGGCTCAGGTCTAAGCTGTCGTTGGGCTTTATTTACGGCTTTGCATCTTATTTTCTACAGAGTTGAGTTTACAAAACCGGTTTAATATTCTATTTGGCGGATTTTCGTGGTAGGAATTGGCGCATTCCCAGTTTTTAAGAGAACAAAACGCAACAATGAGCCTTATTCTCCACTAAAACCAAATAAGGTCGTTTTTATTTTCATTGAGCCTAACTCCTTAAGTCGAACCGAAGATCTTGCAGCTGTCAATCACGTGACACAAGTTGAGTCTAAGATTGGGTCTAAAAGTCGGGTTTAAGGAATTACGGCTCGAGCCGAAGTTTTTAAATTGCGGGCTCTGCAGTATATATACAAGGCAGAAGAAAACTAAAATAACATGAATAATTGAAAAAACAACTCTAAAGTTTTCCTCATATTTCACAGTCTACTGGTTCTCACTGTAATCAACTTAAAACCGTTGATTTTGATAGCTTTTTAGGATTTCCAAAATATGTTCTGAACTTTTTATGCCTTTAAATGTTGTCCAGGTTTTAATTTAGATATATTAAGTAAAATCACGTTGTCTAAATATCAGTCAACTTTGAAGATACAATTTTGGAAAGTCTTATCGACCAACAACCTTTTTTCATCAATTCAAGAGCTTTCTTTAATTATAGGATATGAATGACAAATTATATGCTGTCTCTTAATCCCTCTAAGGATGTACGTTTATGTAACTTTGTATAAAAAAAAACTGTGTTCTCTATGTAGAGTTTAGACCTCTAATGTGTAGTGTTGAGAAGGATAGGAATTTGAATACCTATTAAAATAATCATTATCTTGCCCCCCCCCCCCCCTCCTCCCCTCCTTATTTGTGTATAATAGTATACATATCGGACACGAGAGGAAGAAAAACCATGAATGTTTTTGTCTAGTTTTACAATCCGTCATTGTGTAATTGAATACCCATAGGATACTACCAATTTTATGCGAGAAGAACCGAACATTTTTTATAAGAAATGTTGTCTTAGATTTTTCATCAGGGTTTATCAAATGTGGTTTTTAAAACATTTACTTAGATTTTACGTTTCAGGGTTTTTTCTTGAATAACTCCAGACCCTAGGATCAATAATCCATTCCTTGAAATTTTTACTTCAAACCCTGTGATCTTTACTCCAGACCCTGGATCTATACCCTAGACCCTTGGTATTTACTCCATGCCCTGTGATCTTTACTCCAAACACTAGTATCTTTATTCCAGACCCTGGATCATAACTCCATACCCTATGATCTTTACTCCAAACCTTGGGATATTTTCTCCAAACCCTTGATCTTTATTCCAAACCCTGCGATCTTTACTTTAAACCCTGGGATATTTATTCCAAACCCTGGGATCTTTACTCCAAACCCTGGGATCTTCATATTTTACCTTGGGATCTTTACTCCATACCCGGTGATCTTTATCCCAAACCCTGAGATCTTTACTCTAAACCTTGTGATCTTTACTCTAAACCCTGTGATCTTTACTTTAAACCCTGTGATCTTTACTCTAAACCCTGAGATCTTTACTCTAAACCCTGTGATCTTTACTCTAAACCCTGTGATCTTTACTTTTAACCACAGAATCTTTACTTCAAACCTCAGAATCTTTACATCAAATTCACAATCTTTACTTCAAAACTCAGAATCTTTACTTCAAACCTCAGAATCTTTACTTCAAAAACTCAGAATCTTTACTTAAACCTCAGAATCTTAATACTTCAAAACTCAGAATCTTTACTTCAAACCTCAGAATCTTTACTTCAAAACTCAGAATCTTTACCCCAAACCTGTGGTAAAATCCTAATCATTGTTTTTATTGCCGAAATAGAAAAAACAGTTTACCGCCTCGCGTGTGACGTAAAAACTTCGTTAACCAAGAATATTTCATGTTTAAATAATATTTGACGAGTCCTAAAGAAATTATGGATAACAATCTTATTTCAGTTAATTCACACCAATCCTACACACAATCTCCTCCCCTTTCCCTGAACCATACCCCCCACTTCTCCTCATATAGTTTTCATAAAGATAAAAACCAAAAAACGGAGATAATGGCGTGCAAATATTCTTAAATAATGTTATGGTTTTCATATTTTCAACCCAAAAATCACTCTAGATAATTTCAATTAATTTTTCAATTCAAAGGCTGTGAATTAAATAAAAGTATTTGTAAAGGAGTGTTGAGTATAGACGAGTGAAGAATGTAGAGTGTAGAGTGTTGAATGTAGAGTGTAGAGTATAGAGGAGTGCAGAATGTAGACTGTAGAAAGTAGAGTGTAGAGTGTAGAATGTAGAGTGTAGAGTGTAGAGTGTAGAATGTAGAGAGTAGAGAGTAGAATGTAGAATGTAGAGTGTAGAGTGTAGAGTGTAGAGTGTAGAGTGTAGAGTGTAGAGTGTAGATTGTAATGTGTAGAGTGTAGAGTGTAGAGTGTAGAATGTAGAGTGTAGAGAGTAGAGTGAAGAATGTAGAGTGTAGAGTGTAGAGTGTAGAGTGTTGACAATGAAGAATGAAGAATGTAGAGTGTAGAGTGTAGAGTGTAAAGTGTAGAGTGTAGAGGGTAGAGTGTAGAGTGTAGAGTGTAGAGTGTAGAGTAAATTGTAGAGTGTAGAGTGTAGAGTGTAGAGTGAAGAGTGTAGAGTGTAAAGTGTAGAGTGTAGAGTGTAGAGTGTATAGTGTAGAGTGTAGAGTGTAGAGTGTAGAGTACAAGTGTAGAGTGTAGAGTTTAGAGTGTAGGGGGGTGTAAGGGCGTGAGTAAAGTAGTTTGTGCATGTTGATGCGTGTAAAGTGAAGAAGGTGTGTGTGCGTGACAACACCGCAATTTGAGCACCTTTCACTCAAGATTTTGACATTTTAGACAGATTTTGGATAAAATTAGCTCAAGTCTAACACAATAAATTATTAAATAAAAAATGGAGTGAGTGTGGGTTGAAGGGTACAGGGTGGTTAACAAAGTTTTTAGTGACAGAATACGCTTTTCTACTTTGCTACTCTATGAACACAATTTTAACATTTAAAATGTGCGAGTTATTCATCCCCTCCTTTTATCACTCCCCTCCTTTTATCACTCCCCCCCCTTTATCATCTAAAGATGTTAAGATAATATTTAGAACACCCACACAACCAACCAATTACTATATTTATAAATAGCCCCACGCTATGATGCTACTCAACATAAGACAAATAAATACAGCGAAACTCATCAAACAGAAGTTATAACTTTTTTTGTAAGATGGCGGGAATTAATCTAAAACGCTGAATCTCGATATCTACTGTTACAACCTTCCTTGAACGGAATTGAGTCTTTTTCGCAAACTATGATATTCTAATCTCTATATCTTTGTAATCAAATGCCGTAGACCTTAGATTTTTCAAACTATGAATTCTGTTAGATAAAAAAATTTAACTTTGAAATAGCAAAGGTTTACACCATCAGTTGAAACAAATATAGGTATTAGAAAATCAGAGTTTGTGACAAAAGACTCAATTCCTTTGAGAGAAAAGTGCTTTATCCCTCCACTTTCATTTTCCCTGCAGGGTGAGACCATCACGGTATTCCACCATCAAGCTTCTTCACTGACTAAAGGTGAATCAAAAAAATCTAACATAGCTAACGATGTAATTTTTTTTCAGATTTGAAAAGCCCTTGAAAATTGAAAAAAATGTGTCACATGTCGAAATTTGTCAGATACTAAAAATTTTAACCTTTACATTTTCCAAAAATACTTTTTGCATTTTTAAACCTCCCTGGCACGATAAAGATAAATTATGTTTTTAATTCGATGGTCTTTTAAAATTAGACTTTGAACATGTATGGCGCCTACCCAAAGAAGCTCTATGTATGCGCCTCCCTAACTTTACTTAACCCCCCCCCCCCAGGGACCGGGCAGGGCGTATATGAAGATATAGACCATCCAGCTTTTTTAAGGGTTATTTGCAAGCACTAGGAGACAACAACACGTTTATTTATTTATAAACTTTTAATGTCGTAATTAAAATCCAATCAATTTCGACTCATGTATATTGAATCACGCCGTTTTCCTAGCTTTATTAAATCAGTAAGTATAAAACCATCTTTTGAATTAGATCAAAATCTAATCAAATTATTAAAAACACATCAATCACATACAATTTATGTTATCCAACTTTATGTATTGTATACACTACAGTAAATCTAAAATCTATCAGCTACGGTGAAATTGATTTTGTTTAATCATATACAGATACTATTAGGACTAGGTGAATAAGCCCAGGGACGTATAAAGGATTTAAGCCTGGGCCGGAGGTTTTCGCGCGAAGCGTGTACATTTTTGTTGCCCCCCTGAGTGATTTCCCCCCCCCCCTTCTAGCCTTAAAATTACTCTTATTCTAAGTCTACTACGTACATCATACATGTCCCATATGAAGTCTATTGTAGTCCCCAGTCAAGGACTATTTATCCCTTTGTATAGTTCTGTAATACTCCCTGAAGTCCTGAAGACTACTCCTATGTGTTGCCCACCGAAATCCCGATTCAAGTACTATATATCATAATGTATAGTTGTGTAATACTCCTCGAAGTCCTGAGTAGTCTTCTGAAGACTATCATTAGTTCTCCGTCCTATTTAAGCTTGGTTTTGAGATTGAGTTGGTCTGAAAATAGCTAAAATCTTAATTTACGATCAACGCGCGGGTAAACGGCGGGAGTAAATATGATAACCCTGGCCTACGCTGGGTTTCCCAGCTGTTAGTGATATATAATACAATATATACTATTTAGTGATTAACAGTTACAATTACTACAATATCCTATTAATAAAAGATGAACTCGTAAATAATTCTGTAGATTATCTGTTTGTAAGTTTGCATGTCCGATTATATTTCATGAACCCAATAACCGATTTGCCTCAAATTTCGATTGGGGAACTTGGAAGAACCACGCAAATGTTCTTAGCTTGGTTTAGAAGTTCCATCAGGGAAAACTTTAGTGTTTATGTTAATGTATTTAGACCGTGACGAGAAATGTCGATGTTTATTATAATTAAATATGCATGAAATAAAAACAAAAACTTTCAAACATCACTTAAAGTATTAATTATTCAAAAACAAACTTCTTTCACAGTTTTATGTTAATCACATTTTACATTTTCTTTTTCTAATGAATAATTATTAAAAGATGTTGAAGGGGTAGAGGGGGGGGGGGGGGGTTCAACAAACAACAAAAACTTTTTTAATCAAAGTTTCCCCAATCCAGATTGTTTACTCGGGGTTTTACCAAACTTCTTAATTTTAAACCTGAATTTGATTTTCTTTGTCTTAAATTTAGAAAAAATGTTTTAAAGCTCAATAGATAGTAGATAATTCAATTTCTATGATATGGTTTCAAGACGACATTTTTGTGTTTCCATATTTTGGACTTGTCGAAACCTTGACAGTTTATTTAAGGAGAATAAAAATGGTTGAACACTTTTATTTAAAAAATTGATATGGATGGAAGAAGGGAAAAATTATTATTTTGGTCCCCAGCAAGAATACCTACTTCAATTTCCTCTTGTCCTCCTCAAGAGAAGGATTCCTTTTATCCACCGAAAATGGAGAATCCTCCTCATTGCCTCCTCTTGTTGAGTCAACCAAAAACGGAATTCTTTGTGGAGAGCTCCGCAGTTACTCCTCAAGTGAAGTACTCCTTTCTTCCTCCAAAAACAGTTTCCTTCTCTTGTGGATCATTTTCGTCGTTCCTTCCACTTGAGGAGAATTTTCCATTAGAGGAGCTCCATCGGTCGGAATTTCTTTTAAGGAGAGCTAATCATATGACGTGGGGATTTAGGCAGTTCCAAATATTACCACAAGAGGTCTCTAGAGTAAAATTTAATTGTATACAGAAAATAAAACTGTTATTGTTTTAAACAAAGGTATGTTTCCTAGAATTGGATATTTGTGTTTGATCATGAGTTATATACACTAGCAAAAATATAATATATGTAATAGTCCCTGCTCAAAGTCATATTATTAAGATAAATGTTAATTACCACAATTTTTTAAAGGAATATCGAATAATTAATTCAATTTGCTCCAATGGGGTTTAGCAACAGTGCTCTAGAAAAGATGTAGCAAAGGTGCTCTAAACTAACCCTAATTAAAGAGGTGTAGTAACAGAGCTTCAAAAGAGGAGTAGTAACGGAGCTCCAAAAGAGGTGTATTAGCGGAGCTCCAAAAGCGGAGTAAAAATGGTGCACCTTAATCGCATCAGTACAGAATACTGCCGAACCTCCGTTTTTGGAGAATCGGAGTTCGAATATTCGAACTCCGCAACATGATTAACAGTGCACCTTTTACCCTTTGTTTTTTTTTGTATTTTTTCTTGCTGGGTCTGTTTTTGCCGAATATTTTATCATCTTTTTTATTTTTAAATCATTAAAATGTAATAAAGGGGTAATACAAATCTTAAAAATGTTCTAAAGCCTCAAATTTTACATTTGGTTTGGTTAAACAATATACATATTTCAGATTTATATCTACCAAGTCCCTGGGGCCTATTTTCCTACGTATGAGTAATGGGTATATGAGTTGGATTCTAAATTGTTGAAAAAAATCGAAAAATCAAATTGTGATGGAGACGGATGAATAAAAAGGAGGAAGGGGGGGGACTGGGGTGCTTGAATGAATGTAAGGAATATTTTTGTTCTCCTCCCTGAACACAAACAAATGGCAGCAGTCAGGGTTTTGATGGATTACATCATCATACAATATATATATATATATATAGTAGTTTCAACTAGATATAGAGGAGGGGGTTGGGGGAGTAGAGAGGGGAGAAAATTCTAAAATGTTAAATATACTTAAAGCAAACAAAATTGATTACAATAAAGTTTCAAACTATGATTTCTATTAGATCACATAATTAAAGTTTGAAATATCAAGGTTTACGCCATCAGTTGGCTAAGCTATAGGGGATTAGAAGTTTGAGTTTGTGACAAAGACTCAACTCCTTTAACGATTTTCCTCTGACAGTCGCTTATTATGCAATTTAAAAATCGCAAAAAAACGATTTGTTTAAATAGTTTATTTGTCGCTAATTTGCTAGCTTTTTTCCCTGCATCACATATGATCGTTTATTTAGCGACTTTTAAAATAAACAATTATAAGTCGCTAATTTTACAAGTTTTCTTCTCACTAACAAAACATCGCAATTTTAACGAATTTTCTGTCACATAGAATAAAGTTTATAAATCGCCAATTTTCAGATTCTCCCTGGTCCCGCCTTTTGGTCCCTCCCCTGGTTATATCCCCTCCTCCCTGGGCCATCCTTCCTGGTCCCTACTTTTGCTCCCTTCCCATGGTAATCCTCCCTCCCCCTTTTGGTCCCTCCTCCCTATTCACTCTTTCCTAGTCCCTTCTCCCTGGTCCCTCTTCCCTGGTCCCTCTTCCCTGGTCCCTCTTCCTTGGTCCCTCTTCCCTGGTCCCTCTTCCCTGGTCCCTCTTCCCTGGTCTCTCCTCCATGGTCTCTCCTCCATGGTTCCTCCTCCCTGGTCCCTCCATCCATGGTCCATCCTCCCTGGTTCCTCTTTCCTGATCCCTCTTCCCTGGTCCCTCCTCCCTGGTCCCTCTTCCCTGGTCCCTCCTCCCTAGTCCCTCCTCCTTGGTCCCTCCTCCCTGGTCCCTCCTCCCTGGTCCTTGCTTCCTTGTCCTTGTTTTTGTTTTCCTCATACTTAAAGAACAAATATTGAAAGGTTTAAGATTTATTTTTGCAAAAAAATTTAAAAATATGAATATTTTTCATTTATCAGAAAGATTTACAATATCAGATTATAATATTAATTAAATATAATTCAATATAAATTTCATTTAAATTTCAAAACTTTCCAAACTAAGAAGAGCAGCAAATCTGAAAATAAAACATTGATTTTTGTTCTCCGCTATAAATATATGCTCTGTTTCAAATGTTGTGCTCCATGCTAAAATCCACAATAATATCTATTATATCTTGAAAGATAGAATCAGAAAAATCGTGGTTTCTAGGAGTGCTAGCCCAAGAAATACGACGGAGAAAATCACTTGCTGCTTCATCCATTTCGAGGTTTTCTCTTTTGAGTTGGAATATTTCTAACTCCATGCCGCGTTTATGTATAGCAGACAACATAAAACCAATCATAAATTGCTTTTTTTGCGCTGGTGCAGGGTAGGTGGAGGGGGCTGCTCTTCCCTGGTCCCTTCTTCCTGGTCCCTTATTCCTAATTCCTTCTTCCTGGTCCCTTCTTCCTGGCCCCTTCTCCCTTTTACCTCCTTCTTGATCCCTCCTACCTGGTCCCTTCTTCCTGGTCCCTTATTTCTGGTCCCTTCTTCCTAGTCCCTTCTTCCTGGTCCCTTTTCCCTTTTACCTCCTTCCTGGTCCCTCCTACCTGGTCCCTTCTTCCTAATCCCTTCTTCCTGGTCCCTCCTTCCTGGACCCTTCTTTCTGGTTCCTTCTTCCTGGTCCCTTCTTCCTGGTCCCTTCTCCCTTTTACCTCCTTCCTGGTCCCTCCTACCTGGTCCCTTCTTCCTCGAACCGCATTCCTGGTCCCTCCTTCCTGGTCCCTCCTTCCTGGCCCCTTCTTCCTAATCCCTTCTTCCTGGTCCCTCCTTCCTGGACCCTTCTTTCTGGTTCCTTCTTCCTGGTTCTTTCTTCCTGGTCCCTTCTTCCTGGTCCCTTCTTCCTGGTCCCTTCTTCCTGGTCCCTTCTTCCTGGTCCCTTCTTCCTGGTCCCTTCTTCCTGGTCCCTTTTTCCTGGTCCTTTCTTCCTGGTCCTTTCTTCCTGGTCCCTCCTTCCTGGGCCCTCCTTCCTGGTCCCTCCTTCCTGGTCCCTTCTGCCTGGTCCTTTCTTCCTGGTCCCTTCTTCCTGGTCCCTTCTTCCTGGTCCCTTCTTCCTGGTCCCTTCTTTCTGGTCCCGTCTTCCTTGTCCTTGTTTATTATTGTTCTCCCCATACAAGAACAAATTTTGAAAGGTTTAGGTGGCATCTCAGAATTAGTTTGATTTGATCGTCGCGGGTTTTCACAAAGACGACATGTAATCATTAAATTTGCGTTTCACTGTGATTTAAAGGTGTCACGCTCTCAAGCAAAAATCGATGAGAAGTTTTCCAATCACATCTTAAAAACCAAAGCTAAAAACAAGTGCTTTATAGTGCTAAATTTGCATGTAAAAGGCTACAGAAAAGCATAAGTGATCGTTAGAGCGATAGAATCAAAGTCCAAGTCGTTGAAACACTTCAAAGTCGACTCTGTCTTAAAAATTGATAAGACTTTTTATAAGCAGACTAAATCTCTGTGGTTTGTCAGTCGGTTAAATAATGCAAACAAATAATAGTTCTTATTTAACATTATGAAGTCGCTAGATTAAAAGCTTTAGATCAATGAAGTATGATTTAATAACATTGTAACAGAAGATTTTAGTCTTTAAAATAATAACAATTTAATTATTATTTATTAACGACGATTCAGTCGTTAGTTTCAAAGTATTTAAACTTCAAATCGAAAGATTTTAGTCCAAATACGGCGAAAAAGTTTGTACAACATTTTAATTTTGGATTCTTGTAAATTTGGGACATTAAAATATTTGATCTATTTTTAACTAACGTTGTATTCGATCCTATAGATTTAAAAACAATCATTTGAAAAAGAAATCAAATGTCTGAAATTGAGTCAATATAAGAATTGTAACAAAACTATATATTTAATCCTCAAACTTAATATAGGAGAAAAGTGGAGGATAAGTTTTTCCTAATAAATTCCGCGGAGCCTGGTTTAATAGTCTGCAGGCTCTATTGTATTTGATGTCCAAAGTTGTGAGAAAACCTTCTCCTTATTTTGGGAAAATCCGCCAAATTGGAAAAGTTGAAAATTTTCTGTAGATATTCAACCACTGCAGTCAACCGCAGATGATTTAGAGAAACTCTAGGACACTCCTAACTAACAGGTTGATTGTAAAGATCCACAAGATGGCTTGTTCAATAAATTCATGATTTGAAATTTTCTCTCTGCTAATGATTCTTTTACAGTATACAATACAGGGTGTCACAATAAAGATATAGACTAGAGACTAGCCTATATTTTGTAGACTAGATACTAGCATTTTCGATTTTATAGACTAGAGACTAGCCTATTTGATTTTGTAGACTAGAGACTAGACTATTCGATTTTGTAGACAGAGACTAAAGCCTATTTGATTATGTACATAGACTGAAGACTAGACTTTTTGATTATGTAGACTAGAGACTAAACTATTTGATTTTGTAGACTAGAGACTAGTCTAAAGGATTTTGTAGACTAAATACTAGACTATTTGATTATGTAGACTAGAGACTACACTATTTAATTTTGTAGACTAGAGACTACTCTATTTAATTTTGTAGACTAGAGACTACACTATTTGATTTTGTAGACTAGAGACTAGACTAAACAATTTTGTAGACTAGGGACTAGACTATTTGATTTTGAAGACAAAATACTATACTATTTGATTATGTAGACTAGAGACTACACTATTTAATTTTGTAGACTAGAGACTACACTATTTAGTTTTGTAGACTAGAGACTACACTATTTAGTTTGGTAGACTAGAGACTACACTATTTAATTTTGTAGACTACACTACACTATTTTGTAGACTAAATGATTTTGTAGACTAGAGACTACACTATTTGATTTTTTAGATTAGAGACTAGACTAAATGATTTTATAGACTAACGACTAGACTAAATGATTTTGAAGACTAAAGACTAGACTATTTGATTTTGTAGACGAAAGATTGGTTAAATAGTTTTTCTTAAAGAAACGAAAATACTAAGTTGTTTAATCAGCTGCAAGCATACAGATCTACTCCTAGCTTTATTCCATAGATTAGGAATATAGATCTACTCATAGGTATATTCCATAGATTAGGAATACAGATCTACTCCTAGCTTTATTCCATAGATTAGGAATACAGATCTACTCCTAGCTTTATTCCATAGATTAGGAATATAGATCTACTCCTAGCTTTACTCCATAGATTAAGAATATAGATCTACTCCTAGGTATATTCCATAGATTAGGAATACAGATCTACTCCTAGCTTTATTCCAAAGATTAGGAATACAGATCTACTCATAGCTATATTCCATAGAGTAGGAATATAGATCTACTCCTAGCTTTATTCCATAGATTAGGAATATAGATCTACTCCTAGCTTTATTCCATAGATTAGGAATACAGATCTACTCCTAGCTTTATTCCAACGCCAGTAATCATTTGAAGACAAAAACTACAAGCAAAAAAGCCTCTTTAGAAAAAGCACTTTCTAACAGTATGCTCTTAAGTGCATACTCATAAATATGTTGAACCTGAGCTGGGAACTTTAGAATAGTGGATATCGAGATCAACAAATTTGATTCTGAGAACGTCAGATTTGTTCGTTTTTTGACTGGAAGGGCCTTCACTTAATTTCTCACACATTTATTTATAAATACAATAGTTAAAATTGGCTAAAAAATAATTTCAAACGTATTATTAAATATTTTTGTTCACCGATTTCTTTACAAAATCGCCGACAACATATTCTTTATTTGTTATAAATCGCGGATTTCTCTCATAGGATAGAATTTATTTTCCAGGCTGTCATTGGTCAATACAATTTACGAACTAGATTCCTGCACTCTCATTGGAGAAAACAATGTACGTATATCCAAAGAGAGAATAGAGTGGATTAAGGACTAAAATGAAAAGTTTCCATACTGGATAATCAGATTAAGTAGTTGGGATTAAAGGTTATCCATTCTAAAGTTCCCAGCTCTGGAAAATGTTTATACATGACAAGCACAAGTTTTAAAACACTTAAAACTTGCAAGGTTTAAAAGCTGTCAGCAATCTTGCTTCAGTCGCAGTTGAATATTTTCTCCCAGATAGGTTGGTTACAAAAGTTTCTAGATGGTTTGAGGAATATATTTAATCCATAAAATTGGTTCATCTTTTTATTTTGGCCTGTATAACTGAAATAATTACATTTGCTTCATGTAAACTACATTCAGAGTCTTAAAGACAATCACTTATGGTACTATTCTAGAACTATAATTGATGAAATAGAACTGAAAGGGAACTGATCACTTATGGTACTTTTCTGGAGCTGTCAAGTAAAAACTTCAGGAAATTAAGGGTAGAACCTTTCTTGATCGAATTAATAAAGAATCCACTCCTAGATGTTACAAAGATGGTACAAGATCTTGAAAACAGTTTACTGAACGATTATTCAGAATCAATCATCCTGAAAACTTTTTTTTAGCGTGTTACACCCAGCTCTGTGTGCATCTAGGGGGCAGAATTATTTAAAAATCAGTTAAGTAAGTGTCCGTCCATAATTTCAAAAAGATTTCAATGGTTTATCATTCTTAATAGCTTCAGGAAAAGTTTCATACAACCTTCATTAACCCAAATTGATTAAACAAAATGAAACGTTTACTCAAACTCCAATAATCTAGTTCCAATAACTTTAATTATATGATCTTTCAGAATTGTTTATTGTAAACAAAAATATGTATTTTATAAATTAGTTTTTTATTTAGTTTTCAACAAATCTGATAGTATGCTCAGGATGTTGAGAATTGCTGTAATCTTGTCTATCCTTGTATCTCTGGCCCAGGCTGAAGATGGAGTTGGATGGAAAATGATGCAGAAAATCCATAAGTACAACTTGTTTTCCAGATGCTGGGGAGACGACCTAATGGTACAATTTGCTGCAAAAATAAATAGAGCTATCAAATTCTGTGGTAGTGTTCAACCTCCTATGTACGGAGGAATGACACCGTTCCCTTTCCCTGCTGCCATTGACAACATTCAACTAGAAGCTCTCAGAGGTCTTCTCTCCAACCATGCTCTTGTCACTCTTTTCAAAGGAAACCAGGCAAATGCTTGGCAACCATTCGGAAATGGATTTGGACGTAAGAAGAGAGCTCTCCTTGATCCTACTTCTGAGGATAAGGAAGAATTCATGAATGATGTTCTTGACTTTAAGACTGGTATGGCCACCAAGATGGGAAACATGAGCTGTGTTCTTACTCAAGTAGAGATGCTTGATTCTGCAGGTAACATCAACATGAACTTTTATAGCTTGGCTGCCATGTCACCTACACTGGAGAATTCTCCAGCCGGATCTGATCCTGAATTCCTTCAAATGCTGGTTGATGGATTTAAAGATTGTCATGAAATCTCAAGTAGCTTTCCCCAGAAAGCACTGGACAGACATCCCAACCCTATGATGAAGAAATATGGAAGACATCACATCTTCTTCAAGTGTGCCATGAAGGTTGAAGATCACTGCTGTACTCAATTCCATTTGAAGGAATGGGTTGAATTGATGTACGGACCAATCACACAGGAAAAAATTGAAAAGTTTGGTCTACCTCAGAACAAGTATGATGCTGCAGAAATAGTTATAAAAGTTATGCATGAATCCATGAGCCCTGCTGAAGAGAAGGTTGATGACTTCTTCTGGCAGTTCAGCAAGTAAACTTCGATTTTAATATCCAATGATAGAGATTCATATTAATGTACTAATTTTGTAATAAAGCCAAATAATACTTGATTTTTAAATAACACTAACACATGATTTTTTTATTTTTAAGTGACAACATAAAGAGCTTTCTAAACCATGCAATATATATATTTTGTAATCCTTTAATTTTCAGTGAATGTAACAAAGTAAAAGCTTGATGAGAAAATGCATCACTTTTGTGTTCAAATACGTAGATTACATCTTGAAATATATATATAAGTCAATGGTAAAAAGCCAAGGTTTTAGGATGTTGTGTGTTAAATGCATCATCTGTTGCCAGAAACAAAGATATCAAAGGAAATTTTATTTTATACGCTGACCATATTTCGCATGGAGGGGGAGGGTGGTCAATTTTACCCCCCCCCCCTATCGTTTTTTGCGATAACTCAAAAAATATTTAAGCTAGAAAGCTCAAATTTTCTGGCTTAAGACTAAAAGCTGGGAGTTTATACCTACTGCCTGAGTCCTCAGGCATACTGTCAAATGCCTAATTTTACCTATACCAGACTAAATCTATATTTAGACCTACTTTAAGTTGTTGGATTTCAACATTTTATACTTCTTTGGAAAGCCTAGCCTGCAGATTGCACAATTTTTGCAAAGAAATTTTGCATAGATTTTTTCTTGAATACACATTAAGGTTTAAACAATTTTGCAAATGTTTTTGCACACTTGAATTCGCTGGGTAAATGGATTTTCAAAAATGTATAATTTTTGAAATTTGCGCAATTTTTTTTTGGCACATTTTATGCTGAATAGATTTCGTAATAAATATTTGAATTTTTAAAAATTTGCCATTTTTTTGCAGATTATTGAAGTAGAGCCCAAGGGCTTTCCGAAAACGTATCAAATGTTAAAGATTTGTATCACAATAAGAAAATAGAGGGGGGGCAATTCGACCCTCCCCCCCCCTAGGCAACTAGTCATGAAACCAGACGTCAGGCTTAAAAGGGTTAACCATGAATGTTTTTAATCAAAACAAAAATTGAGAAAGAACAAAAATATTTTTAACTCAAAGTATTTAACAAAAACAATTTGCTTCTTTCATACTTTCAAATTTGTATGGGTACAGTCGCATAAACCTGACATTCTCCTCCTGTCTAGTGGAGTAGAAACCTGACATTCTCCTCCTGTCTAGTGGAGTATAAATCTGACATTCTCCTCCTTTCTAGTGGAGTAGAAACCTGACATTCTCCTCCTGTCTAGTGGAGTAGAAACCTGACATTCTCCTCCTGTCTAGTGGAGTAGAAACCTGACATTCTCCTCCTGTCTAGTGGAGTATAAACACAGTTCTGACCTTCTAAGGTTGAAAAGACCCACTGTAGTTAAGTCTTTTAGCAGCAAAAAAAATGGGTCTTGTTAAAAACTAAATGAGATTGTTAACTTAATTCCCCAGGTCTCATTTTAAATGTGATGGCAAAAATGTTTCCAGAAATTAAATTGTCCAAATTCAGGGGACATTACTTCCAAAACGAACACTTGGCCCATGTCTAACACTGAGTGTTAGAAATGGGCACAAAATGAAAGACTGGGTTTTTAGGATCCAGGCCCATATTAAGAGTAAAAGTCTATAGTAAAGACTATAACCAACATTTTATTAAGCATGACAAGGACAACAATTCCCAATTTTAATTTATTTTCTTAAATCAAAATTATAAAAGGAGTACTTTTAATATTGAAACCCTTGACCGTTTTCAAGACAATGTCAGGTTTTCCATTTTCGAACATCCTGAATTTGAATCATTGTTGCGTTTTGGAGACAAAACCCACTTTCCCGTTTTAGAGTACAATCCTCAATTAAAAAAAAAACTCACTTTCATAACTTACAAAATGAATCAATTAAAGTAAATATTATCTTATGAATTAAATCTAGAATCTAAGTTTCCTCATTTAATTTTTTTAATAGAATAAAGTTGATTTGATTTCCTGCATTTCAGTTAAGATATATTGAAAGAACAAAATGAAATTGATATTTTGTTTTCTCAATGCCAAAATATAATTTAAATTATTAAAGAACATTATATAATTATTTCTATTTAGTTACATTTTATTGAACCTCATCAAAATTCTTGTTTTGTTACGCAAGTACGTAAATGCTTGAAAATTGAATTGACATTGATATGAATTCGAGTAATTGTCTCAAAACCAAGATATGTTCCGAAAATGCGACATGAGCTGAAATGCGGTATTTGTTTCAAAATAGGGATATTTTCTAAAATGAAAACAGTTCACATTTATTGTTTCAATAAATAGTTTTAGCCATTTTTAATAAATGTATGGTGTATTTTTGTTCAACTTGGCTTGTATTTAAAGATATATACATTTGAAAAAGATAACTTTGCAGATTTATCATAGAAATGGGCCAAGTGTTAGTTTTGGAACTGATTTCCCCTGAAATGAAATAATGGCCTGATTAATTTTTCTAGAATTTCTGATGTGTTTTTAGTGGATATCTACACCTTTCCATTGTTGCAATTTCCAAAGATGCCACAAGATGATTTTTTAAGTGGTATTACAATTCATATGTTTATGGGACACTATGTACATTGTACATTGTTTAGTACCTCCACAGATTGAATTCAGTGATATTAATGCTTTTGATTTTGAACTATTATTCTTTGAAACATTCTTTTCATTGTATTTTTGCCTATGCATTATTTTTGCTTTTACTCTTACTTTTGTAGTGTTTCTCATTTTACTTAATTTTTTTAAGTATTCCTATTTTTACATTATTACTTTATTATTCCTGAATTTGCGTTATTTGCTTGTATTTTTGATATGCTTGCATTTGCAGTATTCTTGCTTTTGAATTTTTCTTTTATTTGTTTTCTAATGGCCAGCAAAGATTACATGTGAACAGTGTACACTAGATAGTGTACAGTGTAAACTGCTGATTATCGAATCCATTTGGAAATCGTAGCTGTTCTTCAAGTTTCTTAATTCTCAACCCTTTATTTCTTCATGTCCAATATTTTGATATTATTATGAATATTTAGAATTTTAGGACATTTAGAATAGGTACAGATCCTAGATCCCTAGAATAGACTGATCCTAGATTTTAGCTTGAAACACAACAAAAAATATATTGCTGTGTACTCTGGGGGAAAGAAGGGATACCTGAAGAAGAGTGATATGCAGAATACTCTATGAACCTTGAGTACAACAGACCTAGGGTTTATAAACCCTGCCCATCATCTCTCCAGTAGCAGTTGCACATCTTCTCCCCAACAGGTGATGTTTATAAAAGCTTTAGCTGCTCCAATACTTCAGCTTTCGACTAGAAATATCATCCACTGCAGACTTTACAATTAACTCATTAACTCATTTTCTATTATTTTAAATGTTATTACCTTTAATAATTGCTAGTATGCTATATAGAAATGTGGTTTTGAGCATTTCTTTAAATCTTTCTATTTCTTTTAAAGTTGTTCTCATTAGCTGTAAAGGAAATCAATAACAATTCATAAGTTTTTCTTGAAGTTAATAACCTTGGTATTAATTTTTCAGTTGTTTGATTTTTGATTTTTTTTAGGATGTTGAGAATTGCTGTAATCTTGTCTATCCTTGTATCTCTGGCCCAGGCTGAAGACGGAGTAGGATGGAAAATGATGCAGAAAATCCATAAGTACAACTTGTACTCCAGATGCTGGGGAGATGAGGCCATGGCAAAATTTGCTGTCATGGTGGCTAAAGCCACAGAATTCTGCGGCGAAGTACAATCCCCAACGTTCGGAGGAATAAAGCCAGTCAATCTCCCTGCTGCTATTGACAATACTCAACTTGAAGCTCTCAGAGGTCTTCTCTCCAACCCTGCTCTTGCCACTCTTCTCAAAGGAAACCAGGCAAATGATTGGCAACCATTCGGAAGTGGATTTGGACGTAAGAAGAGAGCTCTTCTTGAGCCTACTTCTGAGGATAAGGAAGAATTCATGAATGATGTTCTTGACTTTAAGGCTGGTATGGCCACCAAGATGGGAAACATGAGCTGTGTTCTTACCCAGCTTGAGATGCTTGATGCTGCTGGAAACATCAATATGAAAGCATACAGCATGGCTTCCCTTTCACCACTCCTTAGCCAGACTCCAGCCGGGTCAGATCCGGAATTCCTTCAAATGATGGTTGACAGATTTGGAGACTGTTATGATCTATCAAGAAGCTTCCCGCAGACAGCCCTGGACAGACATCCTAATCCCATGATGAAGATATACGGAAGACATCACATCTTCTTCAAGTGTGCCATGAAGGTTGAGGACCACTGCTGTGTTCAGTTCCAGCTGAAGCAATGGGTTGAATTGATGTATGGACCAATCACACAGGAGAAGATCCAGAAGCTTGGATTCCCTGAGAACAAGTATGATGCTGCAACCATGGCCATCAAAGTTATGCATGAATCAATGAGCCCTGAGGAGAAGAAGGTTGATGACTTCTTCTGGCAGTTCAGCAAGATGTAAACATACACTTGTTTTCACTTTTTCCTTTTCAAATTCTTGTGATTTCAGAATATTTAAATAAATCCTGGTTCGTTTTTTTACTAAGTTGTTTGAGATTCAATGATTGTTCTATGTAGATAATTTAGTTGATTAGCATAGTGATTTTTATTTCATTTAAATCATTAGAAGCTATAACTAGATTCTGACAAAGATATTATGTTTAACATTTAAAAACAACACTTCACAACAAAATGGTGTTTTTTTGTTGTTTTGGATTAAGATTTGTTTTGGATTTCTTTTTGAATAAATGATACTCAGTGTGATTTGTTACGAACAAGAAAAAAATGTTTTTGAGGGACATTTGATGAATCTGAAACAAATTTTAAAAAAATCTTATTTAAGAGTATTTGCATTTGGGTTCTTTGCCAAAGGTTATATTTTTGCAACCTGATATTATAGACCTTTGATATTTCATACTAAGAGTTCTGCTATCAATGGTTTACACCATCAGGTTGTAATGATAAAGGTAATAGAAAATTGGTGTTGAAGGTGAATGATCACTGATCAGCAATTGTCAGTTATCACATAATTATGTTGAATACTCTTGCTCAGTCTCATCTCTCTTCCATTTTGCCAAGGGCAGAGGGGAAAAGATTGCAAATGGAATTTTAGAAACGCTTGGTTGGTCTAGCATTTTGGCCAGCTATAGCTATCATGAATATAAATAAAAATATATATGTACACATATGAGCGATATTTTTATTATATTGGATTAAATAGTTTTAAATTAATGCAAGCTACATAATACAATGTTTATAAATGAAAAGATACAGCATATACATTTATTTTGTCTATTCTCATCATGAAACAGTCACCCCCTCCATGATGCTCTAAAATACCCCACTGTGCCCCCCCCCCCCTCCCCTTCAACTGGCCCTAATGCAAGTCGTTTTAAAGAAAATACGTTTTAAAATAAAATATAAATATCTATAAAGTTAATTACTTAAGAAGAAAATATACGGTAGAAATACACAATTTTAAATTCAAGATTTTACTAAAATTTCTTGGATCCTAGAAGAATGCTGTTGTAATGTACGTAAAAATATAACAATTCATAACAATGTAGTATCTATTTAGACAATTGCAAACCTATAAATTTGACATATCTTAAAACAATTTTAGCAACCCTAACCCTAAAACACGGGTCCCCCACTAAACTATACTGCTGTATGTAGGCATATTGCCCAAGGTATATTGATAGGGTTGACTAGTGGTTTTATGCAAATATTCAGTCAGTTATTTATTCTGTTGTTTACACGTGTATTTAGGAACAGTTTTTACCGCCATCTTTATTCAGCGTTGACATCTCCTCACAGCTGAAGGGGTTTCTAGAACCTTCTTATTCTTCAATATTCACGATACAGGCCAATATTCAGGTTCTCCAGGGGTATATTTGATACTAGAAGACCCCTCTACACCCCCCTACCCCTTCCCCTCACACCTCACCCCCACACACCCACATCCAACCCTGGAAAAAAACACAGGCGACAGTACATAGACATTAAAGAAAAAACTTTGGATCTGGAAAAAAAGTATAAAAAACTAACGCAACCTCTATTTTAACATTTATATTTAAATTTAAAATGTTTTTAAACTAAATTTTAAAAGAGCTCGAGCAGTTTACCTAAACTACGTTGTACATTGTCTGAGGATCTAACTGCATTAATCCTTAAATGCGTAAAACTTGTAATGCAGCTTGTATTGTATTGTAATTAGCTCAATACGATGATATATATCTGCGTAAAATTGTGAATACAATGTAAAATTGTGAATTGTATTGGAACTTGAATGCTATATACTTTGGAGAAAAAAACTCAGCGGGAGCGGTTGAACTAGCGGTTGAGATCTATCCTAGACTCTACGCAGTTCAGATTAAGAAATTAAGAAGAAATTTACAATTTGTTCAACCGCTAAATCGCATTTTTTTAACAAATGAAATATAATTTTTCATCAATAACATTTTCTGATTTTTTAGCAACTTTTTTGCTTTCAACCGCTGGTTTTCAGATTTTTCAGCAACTTTTTGCTTTAAACCACTGTTTTAAAGATTTTTCAGCAACTTTTTTGCTTTCAACTGTTTTCAGATTTTTCAGCAACTTTTTTGATTTCAACCGCTGTTTTTCAGATTTTTCAGCGACTTTTTTGCTTGTAACCGCCGGTATTCAGATCTTTCAGAATTTTTTTACTTTCAACCGCTGGTTTAAAGATTTTTCAGCAACTTTTTGCTTACAACCGTTTTCAGATATTTCAACAACTTTTTTGCTTTTAACCGCTGGTTTAAAGATTTTTGGCAACTTTTTAACTTTCAACCGCTGATTTTAAGATTTTTCAGCAACTTATTTGCTTTCAACTGCTGGTTTAAAGAATTTTCAGCAACTTTTTTGCTTGTAACCGCCGGTTTTCAGATTTTTCAGAACTTTTTTACTTTCAACTGCTGGTTTAAAGATATTTCAGCAATTTTTTTGCTTTCAACCGCTGGTTTGAAGATTTTTTGCAACTATTTAACTTTCAACTGCTAATTTTAATATTTTTCAGCAACTTTTTTGCTTTCAACTGTTTTCAGATTTTTCAGAAACTTTTTTGCTTTCAACCGCTGGTTTTCAGATTTTTCAGCAACTTTTTTACAGCAGTTGAAAGCAAAAAAGTTGCTGAAAAAAAATTTGCTGAAAAATCTTTAAACTCACGGTTGAAAGTTAAAAAGTTGCTGAAAAAAAATTAACTGAAAAATCTTTAAACCAGCGGTTGAAAGCAAAAAATTTGCTGAAAAATCTTTAAATCAGCAGTTGAAAGTTAAAAAGTTGGTGAAAAAAAAATTGCTGAAAAATCTTTAAACCAGCGGTTGAAAGCAAAAAAGTTGCTGAAAAATCTTTAAATCAGCGGTTGAAAGTAAAAAAGTTGCTGAAAAATCTTTAAACCAGCGGTTGAAAGCAAAAAAGTTGCTGAAAAATCTTTAAATCAGCGGTTGAAAGTAAAAAAGTTGCTTAAAAAAAATTGCTGAAAAATCTTTAAACCAGCGGTTGAAAGCAAAAAAGTTGCTGAAAAATCTTTAAATCAGCGGTTGAAAGTTAAAAAGTTGCTGAAAAATCGGAAAAACAGCGGTTGAAAGCAAAAAAGTTGCTGAAATATCTGAAAACGGTTGTTAGCAAAAGGTTGCTGAAAAATCTTTAAAGCAGCGGTTGAAAGCAAAAAAGTTCTGTAAAAATCTGAAAACCAGCGGTTGAAATCAGAAAAGTTAGCGGCTGAACAAATTTTAAATTTGAGCAAAAAAGATGCATTTCTTATTCTGAACTGCGTAGAGTCTAAGCTAGATCTCAACCGCTGGTTCAACCGCTCCCGCTGAGTTTTTTTCTCCAAAGTATATATCATTCCCCTCAAACAGGGTTTAATGTTAAAAAAAAGTGAAAATGAGAAAACTTAAAAAAACTTATCGATTGGGTATCAATAGAACAGAGTTGAATTTCTAAATTCAGATCATTTTACAGAATCGAAAAATATTAAAATTTTACCGTGATAGGTAATACACTCTTTTTTGGGTACTTAATGAAATTTACTTAAGAGAAAAACGATTTTTGTCCATAACTTGCCCAATTTTCAATATTTTTCAATTCAATTTTTAACCGGGGTATTAAAGAATCTTTTCAGGCAAGAGGTTTGATTATTTAAAAATTAATAACTATTTCAATAACAACTTGAAATCTAAAACAGGGTGTATGCGATCCTTCACCAGTTTAACATACTCTTTCAAAAATCCGTGTTTATTTCTTTTAATTTCTCTCAACATTGACACATGACTGACCTCAAAAAATCAAAATCACCTTTGGATGACAAATATTACGGAGGTTATATTGTCAAAGTACACTTCATTTAAAGGGAGTGTTAGCGAAAAATGAAATAGGGTATTGGCTTACGGCGATAAATAAGCGCTTTTGATTGCTACTAATCTTACTACTATCTGATGCGTCTATAAGGAGAAAATGGTTAAAAACTACTTGTACCGAAGAACGTTGCGTCCATACAAACTCAGTAAGTTGAAGCATTCGACTCGGATCGTAAAAAGATCAATTTATTTCCAAACAAATCATTAAGACATTACAACCAATAAACATCGATAATTTTTCGACGCATTCGTATATAGTTGATAATTTATAATATCTTTTATTTGATCTGATAGTTATTTTTGAAAAAATTACTCCCGTTTCGAGGATTTTTGATAATGAAGACGACATTTTCATGTTTTCCAGGAATGTTTGAAAATCCAGAGACAGTGAAATATTATTCAAAAAACAAAATCAATCCGAGTTGAAAACTACAACTTTCTGAATTTGTATGGACGCTACGTTCTTCAGCATGAGTAGTTTTTGACAATTTTCTCCTTATAGACATAACAGACCGAAGTAAGCTTAGTATTGATTAAAAGGGCTTATTTTTCGCCGTAAGCCTTTATGCGAACACTCCCTATAAAGATGGGTATGACTGTTTCACAAAGGTATCCTTAAGACTGTAACTTGTCGATAATGTTAAAATTAACGTCGTTCATCTAGTTTTATTAGATCTGACAATTTCCTCCATTTTTGTAGCTTAATTCCGCAAGTCATTTTAATCGAATTTAAGTTATCATTCATGATTAATTAGCTTTTTAGGGTATCGTTGTCAATCAGACTTGCCACTGAATGAACGTGGTTTAAAACTATCCGTTTAATTTCTAGAAGAACCTTTCAACACATTTTTAATTAGTTTTTTAAAACTCTTCCCACACAATATTTTAAAACTCATTTTTTGGGAGAGTTTCGCACATAAATAATAATTGAAAAAAATGTTGTTAAGAGATTGAACCTAAAGGTGATTGCCCCCGTGGCCCCTAAAGTGAGAAACTGTCCAATCTTCTGTAGCGCAGTATACTTTCCCATTCTACTCTGAAACCATTAAGCTTAACAAATATCTTCGGTCAAATTATATTTCGTACATAAATTTTACTTTTATACAAGACAACACATGTATTATTAAGAAATTCTTACATAAGAAAACAAATGTAAAACATTAAAAAGTGTTTGTAAGTTCGGTTAAATCAGAGATCATTTTCAGAGGAAATATTATTTTCGTCCTTTTCCTCGTCCTTTCCCCTTTCCTTTAGAGTCGTCCGGGGCATAGTCGTCATCGTCTGGATCCTGGTCCTGGGTCGTCCACAGCCTCTTTTTAAATTCGGCGCTTGTTTTCTCATGTGTTAAACTAAAAACATTCAAATCTAGATTTAAAAATTAAAATTTGCCCGCAGGGCTGTATATTTCTATAATCACCCCCCCCCCCTTGAGGGCGGGGGGAATAATTTTTGGAGATCTGAGAAAAAAAATAAAAATTTGACATGCAAACTGAAGTGCTTAAGATCCATTTAATTTTGATGCGTATCAGGGTCCGGATCCTATATCCGCGCTGGAACATTTTTTAAGATTTACTGATTTTCTTTACAAAAGAATTAAAAAAATTTTCAAGGTTATTTTTACAACTTGATGAACCAATCAGAGAAATTTTTAATAGTCTATTTTTACATCAGTTAAGATTTGGGTTTTGGGAGCAAAATATTAATGTGTTTTTTATCTGTTGCTATGCACTGATAAAGGCAAGTTTTCCATCCTTCTTTCCTTTAAAAAACTTTTATCATTTCCAATTTCGCAAAGAAAACCCAAGAAAAAACATATTTAAACTCAGAAAAAAATGAATTTTCAGGAAAACGAAATTAAAAAGAAAGTTGTCCGAAAAAAATGAGTTTAAAAAGGCGTATGTTCCTGAACAGAAGCCGCCAGTACTTGTGTATACTGCTGCCTTTCTCGCTCCCCTAACCAAACAAATCAAATAAAAATGACGCAAACAAAATATTTACAATTCTTCAAATTTTACGGGGACTAAATTTTCAAGAAAGGGGGGTCGTGGGTGTTTTGTGAGACAAAAAGTCAAAGGCAAGTTCTTTTGATAATTTAACCCTAACAAATATTTAAAACTAACAAATAAAAAAAAATAAAGATGTGGTTTGATGGGGAAAGCAAAAAACACCAATTAAAATAAATTCTCCTATTTTCACCTTCAGAAATACCGTCGTCGGAATCGGAAGCATCGTCAAAATCACTGTCTGGCTTTTTCTTCTTCCGCCCGCGTTTCTTTTTTTCCTGCTCTGCTCCAGCTGCAGATCCGGGTCTTTTCTTCTTGGAGGGCCCGGCCCTAGGAGACCCAGGCCTAAAACAAGAAAGATGAGAAAATATTTGCGCAAAAATGTTGAAACCAAATGTCTAATGAATTAAGCAAATAAACTGAATTTTCTGAAGAATTTTAATTTAAGAGTTTGTTAAGAGTGAATACTTAAAAACTTTAAATATTCTGATGATAAAATTTTCAGATAAACACTTACAGAGCCCTAGTTATGGCGCCAAAAATAAGAGAGAAAATACTGAAGGCACACTAGATTTCTTTATTTTAATGACGGACAACTAGTCAAATGTAAATCTTTTAATTTAAAAAAATTAATAAAAAATTAAGCTATTTAATAAGTATAAAGGGAATTGATAACAAAAAACAATGAATTGTAATAGATCAAATAATCCAAGTTGAAAGTATGAAAGGTTTACACCATCAGGTTGCAAGGTATTATTATATTAATTCTAAACAAAGAACCCGTGTCAAGTAAGACATTTTGTAATATCTCTTTCAATATTAATAGCAGCCGGTTCTATTTTTGAACGTAGACTCATATAATTTGTTAGGAGCAGGATATGAAGTCAGATTGTCGATATCTCTTCCCGGAGTCTTGGAACCTCTGAAAAGTGACCTCCGTCGGCTCCGATTTTTTATCTCCGGCCTCGTTGGACATAAGTAGCCTATTTTTTAAATATATACTCCCAATGACCCCTAAAATACACACAAAAAAAAATTATTTTTTTTATCAAGTTTTTGATGTCAAAACAGGGTGTCAAAAATTGCGTTTTTTTTGATTTTTTTTTAACCTGGTTTTCCAAACTAGTAGTGTAATAAAACAAACTTTGTAGAGAATAAATTTATAAATAATTGTTAAAACTTCAGATTTTTATACAGTCTCTTTAAAGCGAAATAAACAAACAAATTTGGTTTTAAAAAAACGAAAGAAAAATCCGAATACTACCTAGATTTACTCCGAGGAAGGTTTGGAAATTAGGATCAGTTAGCAGATTTTTCAACCTTCGATAGACAACCTGAAATAGAGGAATAGGTTAAAGAGTTGTATCATGTCAAAAATCAAATCCAATCATACTTTTATGGTTGTTCAAAAAAAAATAAAAAATTAAAAAATAAAACATTTTGCTTTTTTTTTATTTCAAATTTGTTTAGCCTTTAACACCCCCTTGCCACCCATGAGTGTCCATACAAAAATTCAGCGCAATCGGTCCAACCGTTTGGCCGGCTATAGGCAACATATATACACATACACGAATGTCTTGTTTTAGTATATAGATTATTACAGATTTCCTCAACTAAACGATGTTTTATGACAAGAAATTCATTTTTAGAATCCTTATACAAATTTTCATAAATTTTACAACATCATGTCAACAGAATTTGTTTGAATCTATCTTAACAGCATTATTGTCATTTTGTTTTCTTATTTTATCAAATTTGTACCGATCTGGATTCTCTGGATCCCCGCAGGGGAACTTCAATATCTTTCCATGAAGAAAAACAAAAATAAACTGAAATTCAGAGCGCTCCCTACCTCTTATTATATTGCAACTACGATTTCTAAAAACCTTATTATTCTTAAGTATATTCTATCAAGGCGTAAACCATTCAATTTTAGAAGAAACTTAATTGCTTTCATAAATAATAAGAATCTTTAAGATAGACATGAATGTCATCTGTTCTTCCCAAGTTGTCATGTTCCACAGAGATGTGTAACGTTGCTAAATCCAGACAAGTTTTCACAAAAATAATTGCATTGAATTTTCTTAAATTATCTACCTCGTGCCCATCACTATTAAACCCGTATCTATTTATCACAGCTTCGTCTTCTCTGAACAAAAAAAAAATAGATTTTTTCTTTTCAAAATTGAAATGTGGAAGAAATGCGCAGGATTTTCCTAATTTTGGGATTATTAAAAATTTCGTAGGATTGAATTGGTCTTGGATTGGGATTGCATTAGCGGTGGTGGGATTTAGAAAGTTGTATGGTGGAATTTGAGATTGAATACGCAGAGATTGGTGGAATAATGGTATGATTGAGTATTGGGAAATCTGTTGGAATTTGACTGGGATCGTGGTAGCTGGTGGGTTAAGATTAAAGAGCATAGATTAATTAAAATAGTTGTTGTTGTCTTTTCAAGATTTAAGGGTTTTTTCGTTCAAAATAACCCTGAGGCAGAAGCTTAAAGAAGTTCCACACAGCCGGCTCTCTCTCTGTCTTGTAATTATATGCAGAAAGAGTCTGTTCTATGCCGACTACGCGTAACTCCGTTGGGCTTCTGCCTCAGGGTTATTGTGAACAAAAAACCCCTAAATCTTGAAAAGACGACATCTAGTGTCCTATCTGTTATTTCGTTTAATCAGTTAAGAGTTTTATACGGAAGCAAAATAATAACAGACAAAAGTAATCGATTTAAAAATTAAGCGTAAATCAAATTGAACGAATAGCTAGATCCCATGCTAAAAATATCCGACCTTAGTCTAAATACCCGGGGTCTGGGGTTTCCTTCTTGTGGCAAAGGAGTAATAGTTCCGATCTAAAAACAAATGAAAAAAACCAAAAAAACAACAGATAAAATTAAAATAAAGGAGAAAAAACAATGAGGGACAAAAAAAGAATAGAGTACGAAATAAATACAACAATAAAAAAATAATGAATAAATGAGGAAGTACCCAAAAGAAATATCTAAATTCAGAGGGAAAATTAATGTTTTGGGTTAATGATAAATCCCCCCCCCCCCCACCTAAATCAACCGCCCATGACAAGGAGGAGGAGGGGGAATTCTTCAAAATAAACACCACTGTAGAGAAAAGAACACAGTTACCTCTATAAACCCGAACCCAATATCCTGGAGACCCAACCCAACCTCTCCTTGTTTATCGAACCCTGCAGCTACTCCAATAGGATTACTCAGCTCTCTATACTTAACATTTTGTTCTAGTTTTCAACCTTTCATAGTCTTCTACTCTTAAACCTTATATGTAATCTTCTATTCTTTCACCTTTCATAGTCTTTATTCTTCAACCTTATATAATCTTCTATCCTTAAACCTTATATATAATCTTCTATCCTTAAATCTTATATATAATCTTATATTCTTAAACCTTATATATAATCTTCTATTCTTTAACCTTATATATAATCTTCTATCCTTAAACCTTATATATAATCTTCTATTCTTCAACCATATATATAATCTTCTATCCTTAAACCTTATATATAATCTTATATTCTTAAACCTTATTTATATAAAATCTTCTATCCTTAAACCTTATATGTAATCTTATATTCTTTAACCTTTTATGATCTTCTATTCTTAAACATTATTTATAATCTTCTATTCTTTAACCTTATATATAATCATCTATTCTTCAATCTTATATATAATCATCTATTCTTTAATCTTATATATAATTCTATTCTTTAACCGTATATATAATCTTCTATTCTTTAACCTTAAATATAATCTTCTATTCTTTAATCTTATATATAATCTTATATTCTTTAACCTTAAACATAATCTTCTATTCTTCAACCTTATATATAATCTTCTATTCTTCAACCTTATATATAATCTTCTATTCTTCAACCTTATAAATAATCTTCTATTCTTCAATCATATATATAATCTTCTATTCTTCAACCTTCTATATAATCTTCTATTCTTTAACCGTTCATAGTCTTCTATTCTTCAACCTTATATATAATCTTCTATTCTTTAACCTTATATATAATCTTCTATTCTTCAACCTTATATAATCTTATATTCTTTAACCTTAAACATAATCTTCTATTCTTCAACCTTATATATAATCTTCTATTCTTCAACCTTATAAATAATCTTCTATTCTTCAATCATATGTATAATCTTCTATTCTTCAACCTTATATATAATCTTCTATTCTTTAACCGTTCATAGTCTTCTATTCTTCAACCTTATATAATGTTCTATTCTTTAACCTTTCATAGTCTTCTATTCTTCAACCTTATATATAATCTTCAATTCTTCAACCTTATATAATCTTCTATTCTTTAACCTTTCATAGTCTTCTATTATTCAACCTTATATAATCTTCTATTCTTTAACCTTTCATAGTCTTCTATTCTTCAACCTTATATATAATCTTCTATTCTTCAACCTTATATATAATCTTCTATTCTTAAACCTTATTTATATAAAATCTTCTATCCTTAAACCTTATATGTAATCTTATATTCTTTAACCTTTTATGATCTTCTATTCTTAAACATTATTTATAATCTTCTATTCTTTAACCTTATATATAATCATCTATTCTTCAATCTTATATATAATCATCTATTCTTTAATCTTATATATAATTCTATTCTTTAACCGTATATATAATCTTCTATTCTTTAACCTTATATATAATCTTCTATTCTTTAACCTTATATATAATCTTCTATTCTTTAACCTTATATATAATCTTCTATTCTTTAACCTTATATAATACTCTTTAACCTTACACAATCCTCCAGTCAGAGAATGACTTAAACTCATTCAAATCGATCAAGACAGTCTATTTAAAAGTTTCCTGCTCTAAGCTAATCTTAAGTTAGATTTCAAAATGTTTCCTTCCAAAGAGAACACATCTTGTTCTTGGATCTGGTTCCAGTCTACACCTAAAATTAATTCAGAAATTCAAAATTTTGATTCATCATACGGCCAAACACTAGGGCAAAGAAGAGAAGGGAAAGAACCGGTAATTTTCGATTTGTTAAAAGACAAAAACGTAAAGATTTTTTTTTAGAAAAAAAACCCAACATTTCATTGTTCCGTAAGAAAATTCCGTCAATTTTCAATCCGTCAACGGAACTGGACGCACAGTTATTACGTAAAAGCTAGAGGATATAAAATAGGCATGGTCTTGACGTCAATTTAACTCATCGTTAACAAATGGATTAAATGTAGAACTATGGCACGCCCAGTCCTACCAACAAGTTATTTTGACGTACCCTTGACCCTTGCGCTGCGCTGCACTGCGCTGCACAGCACTGCACTTCACTGTACTGCACTGTACTACTCTGCACTGTAATGCACTGGACTGTACTGCACTGCACTGTACTTTACTGCTCTGCACAGAACTGGACTGCCCAGTACTGTAATGCACTGTAATGCAATTCCCTGTACAGCACTGTCCTATATAGCACTGTACTGTATTGCACTGTACTGTAAGGCATTGTACTATAATGCACTACACTGTATTGCATTGTACTGTAATTCACTGTACTGAATTGCAATGTACTGTACTGCCCAGAACAGTACTGCACTCTACTGCATTGCACTGCACGTTATTGCTTTCTATTGAACCATCTGCACTGTGCTCTAATGTACTGCATTGTAATGCACTTGCTTTTTTGAAGTAATAAAAAAAAAATAATTTGCTTCCTACCTAGGCACTAGTCTATTGGAAAGGAGTTTAATGGTGAGATTGTGTGATGTTTCAGGATCTATTATATGTAGAGTAGACATCAAGCTTCTGTACAATATAATACACTATTCATATATACTAAATAGATAGATAGATACAGGATATATAATATGTAGAGTAGATATCAAGCTTCTGTACAATATAATACACTATTCATATATACTAGATAGATACCTGGTGTATTNGCTTCTGTACAATATAATACACTATTCATATATACTAGATAGATACAGGATATATTATATGTAGAGTAGATATCAAGCTTCTGTACAATATAATACACTATTCATATATACTAGATAGATAGATAGATACAGGATATATTATATGTAGAGTAGATATCAAGCTTTTTACTTATAAACTTTGTGGTGTATGTTTCCTGTAGAATTATATATAGAATATAGAATTATAGCATTTTAAACTTTATGGTGTATGTTTCCTGTAGAATTTATTATATATAGAATAAAGAATTATAGCATTTTAAACTTTGTGGTGTATGTTTCCTGTAGAATTATATATAGAATATAGAATTATAGCATTTTAAACTTTGTGGTGTATGTTTCCTGTAGAATGCTGGATCCTGCTTGTAAAGGCAGATTCCACTGAATCAATCAATCTATTAATCAACAATAACACTATAATTGTAGATTAAAGGTGTGAAATGAAATTTTACTAAAATCATTTTACAGAAGCAAAATAGTATTCCACTTGGAATTCTAAGCTAAGGCATGTTAATAAAAACATTTATCACAAAATCCAAAAATGTGCCCCTCAAACGAATGCTATATACTTTGGAGAAAAAAACTCAGCGGGAGCGGTTGAGATCTATCCTAGACTCTACGCAGTTCAGATTAAGAAATTAAGAAGAAATTTACAATTTGTTCAACCGCTAAATCGCATTTTTATAACAAATGAAATATAATTTTTCATCAATAACGTTTTCAGATTTTTCAGCAACTTTTTGCTTTCAACCACTGTTTTAAAGATTTTTCAGCAACTTTTTTGCTTTCAACTGTTTTCAGATTTTTCAGCAACTTTTTTGATTTCAACCGCTGTTTTTCAGATTTTTCAGAACTTTTTTACTTTCAACCGCTCTCTTAAAGATTTTTCAGCAACTTTTTGCTTACAGCTGTTTTCAGATAATTCAGCAACTGTTTTGCTTNATATATATATACCTGGTGTATTAGGACTAGATATATTAATTACGAGATAATCTGCTGTACATATATATATATACCTGGTGAATTAGGACTAGATATATTAATTACAAAATAATCTGCTATACATATATATATATACCTGGTGTATTAGGACTAGATATATTAATTACAAGATAGTCTGTTATATATATATATACCTAGTGTATTAGGACTAGATATATTAATTACAAGATAGACAGCTATATATATATATACCTGGTGTATTAGGACTAGATATATTAATTACAAGATAGTCTGCTATACATATATATATACCTGGTGTATTAGGACTAGATATTTTAATTACAAGATAGTCTGTTATATATATATATACCTTGTGTATTAGGACTACATACATATATTACAAGATAATCTGCTATACATATATATATATACCTGGTGTATTAAGACTAGATATATTAATTACAAGATAGTCTGTTATATATATATACCTAGTGTATTAGGACTAGATATATTAATTACAAGATGGACAGCTATATATATATACCTGGTGTATTAGGACTAGATATATTAATTACAAGGTAGACAGCTATATATATACCTGGTGTATTAGGACTAGATATATTAATTACAAGATAATCTGCTATACATATATATATACCTGGTGTATTAGGACTAGATATATTAATTACAAGATAATCTGCTATACATATATATATATACCTGGTGTATTAGGACTAGATATATTAATTACAAGATAATCTGCTATACATATATATATACCTGGTGTATTAGGACTAGATATATTAATTACAAGATAGTCAGCCATCTCGGCAAACTTGTGAACCCCCTCCACATAGTCCTGTACAGGGTTCATCGAGTCCTTGTTCTTCCCTAGGTACAGTAATAATAATAATGACGATGATCATGTAAGATCCCCCTTATTAATTAATCCCCCAGACTGCCATCGTATTAATAGGCCAGGGCTAAAAACTCGTTCAATATCCTCTAATCTTGGGATATTGAACAGAGTAGGATTAGGAAGTGTTTGGTAGTTTGTTTGATCCGTTTTTAAAAAAGTTTTAGATTTTCCTAGTGTTCACGGGACTCCACATAAAGAATTACATACACTTTATCAAATCAAATCAGATTCTAAGAGACGCCCAAGGACCACATAAACAAGCTTTAATTGATTACACTTATTCTATATTCTCTACAAGTTTGCTTTAAAACATTATGCAAAAAATGACTGAAAATACGGTCCCGAAAAGCAAAACTGAATAACCGAATGGAAGTTCTAACTTGAGTAGGTTGACTTCTTTAGGATTATTAGTTTTCAGTGAGTTAAAAAAAAAACACAAAAAAAAAACAAAAAAAAACAATCAACCATCATTCCGTAGAAGTCAAGGCTGCAGACCTCGTCAAAAATAGCCACAATGGTTATTATTGAACCAATCGGTGACACACTGTCTAGTGTGGGCAACTGTCGAAGTACAGACCAATGACAAATGCCACCGCATACAAAATGTCTTACTTGACACGGGTTCTTTACCTTTTTGTTCCGACATTGATCAACGGGTCGTTGGCAAATTCAGGCACCCAGACCTTAAAAATAAAAAATAATTGATAAAGTTCGCTTTTTCAATAAATTTTTATTGGTCATCCATTTCTTTTTTAGAAATCAAAATGAAAAAATCCTTTTTCCCGATTCACATTAAAAGTAACGATGAAGAATGTATAGTTTTTTTTGACGATATATTTTTGTGTTATATTTAGTTTTTGCTACAAAAAATCCACAAGGTACTTTGATCAAGAAATCCCAAAAGACAGTCGAATGGCATATGCTGAGTTATACATTTTCAAGAATTATCTGAGTCCGAATTTAATGAATTTAAGGCGCGTCTCAAATCCGCCGAAAACCGATTTCAATTGAGCGCAGGCTTAGATCTTGAAATATTGAAAACAATTTTAAGTTGAACCAACCATATTTGAGCCGCGTCTCAAATTCATTAAATTCGGCCTCTGGAAAAAAATGGACGCAAAAAGCAAGTTTTTTAAAATATTTTTTTTTACTTTTGCTTTAAAAAACGAAAATTTAGAAATGAACAATATTTGAATCCGTATTTGTTTACCTCGAGTAGAGCATCCAACTTCTCTTCCATTTTCTTAGCATGCTTGTATATTTCAGTGTCACGCTGATTGAACGTAAAACAGTTTCTAAAAATTATTTTTTTGTTTTGTGTTCATTTATATAATAAAGCTCTTCACTCATATATATATGTCAGATATAGCTGGCCAAACGGCAGGACCGAATGGGCGGATTTTTTTGTGGGAGCTTTAGAGGACCCTGGGAGTAATACAAGTTTGAATCTTTTTTTTCGAAATAAATATTTTTCTTTCAAAATTCAAATGTTTTTCTTGAATTGTTACTAAAATTCCACGGGCGACGCTGGGCACTTCAGCTAGTTAAAGAATAATATAATACTTTCAAAATGGTTCATTAAATTTCAGGATAAAAATAAGCAAAGAGGAACATTTTTTTGAAAACTTTTTTGTTTGTTAAAAAAATTTAGGATTTGGATGTAAATTTACAGGGCGGATCCGGATCCGCTTTAAAATGAAATGGATCCTAAGCACTGGAATAAACGAATAAACGATTGAATGACAATTAAATAAACAAACGAAAATATTAAAATAATGAATAAATGAATGAATGAATAAATGACAGGATGAATAAATGAATGAATGAATGAATAAATACCTGAACATTTTCCTAAGATCTGCGAGGAATAATTTAACTGAAGTGTACTGTTGTGGGGATTCCTCTGCTAGTCGATCCTTTATCACATCCATAGCAATAGGTTCCTGGACAATAAAAATATCATTAATAATAGGTTCCTGGACAATAAAAATATTATTAATGATAGGTTCCTGGACAATAAAAATATTATTAATAATAGGTTCCTGGACAATTAAAGTATTATTAATAATAGGTTCCTGGACAATTAAAAAATTATTAATAATAGGTTCCTGGACAATAAAAATATTATTAATAATAGGTTCCTGGACAATAAAAATATTATTAATAAAAGGTTCCTGAACAACAAAAAAATCATTAATAATAAGTTCCTGAACAATAAAAATATTATTAATAATAGGTTCCTGAACAATAAAAATATTATTAATAATAGGTTCCTGGACAATAATATTATTTTTAAAAATAGGTTCTAGGACAGTAATATTATTGTTAATAATAGGTTCCTGGCCAATAATAATATTGATAATAGGTTCCTGGACAATAATAATATTAATAATAGGTTCCTGGACAATAACAATATTAATAGGTTCCTGGACCATAATAATAATAATAGGTTCCTGGACAACAATAATATTAATAGGTTCCTGGACCATAATAATATTAATAATAGGTTCCTGGACCATAATAATATTAATAATAGGTTCCTGGACCATAATAATATTAATAAATCAAATCAAATCAAATCAAATCAAATCAAATCAAATCAAATCAAATCAAATCAAATCAAATCAAATCAAATCAAATCCTTAGGGTGTCCTCATCCTACTCCCCGAATACGAAGTGACCATAATATCTGATGAAAGGTATTATAGCTTAAAATGGTTTAATGGTAAAGCAACTCGAGCGTAGCAAGGGATACTTTTGAGCTTGGGGAAGCCAAGAGATATGTAATATTTTTAAAGTATAACTTTGTTGCATATCAACCCAGATACCAGGTTACCATGAAAGCAGTGATGCAATGTAATATTACATCCCTCGGGATGCAATCTTACAATAAAGACCTGCTTTAATTTTGTAGTTAGAAAAATGCCATTTTTTTAATGGTAACATATAGGTTATAATTTCCTACCGAGAATATTTCATCCCTTGAACTGCAGCTAAGACACACCCAATCGTCGGCAGGTTCGTCCGAGAGCGGAGGTATGTAACAGTAGAGATGGTAAACTTTTGGACACCTGATACAAACAGAGTTGGACAATGGACATGGTATTATTTTAATTAAATAGTTTAGATAAAAAAACGTTAAAAGTTTACAACTGCCATGGATTATTTTTTAATTTTTGAATTGTTATTGCTTTATTAAATTTTAAAATTGGAAGGGAGTATACTGTATATTACTCGGAATAAAATTTTCTTGAAGGTTTTTTTCGCTGATATCGTGGGGGGAAAATATGGGGGGGGGGGGACTAATTCTAAAAAATATACAACCCTAGAAATCAATCTGAAAACTGAAGAAAAGAAGTTTTGATTCAAAAACAAATATTTCTTAAGTTCCAAAGAGCTAAAATACAAAATTGTAACTTTAAAAAAATAATTTTGTGAGGAACTGACCGGTCACAGCAGTACAAAGTGTCTCCTCCATCATGACACACTGCACACCAATCTAAAACATTTTTCATCTTATTTAACATAAAATTATTTCTTAACAAGATCGAAAATATTATTAAATTAACATGATTTGTCGATTTTATCCGAAAAACTTTGGAAAAAATTTAAATTACTATATAATATTGAACTTTACCTCCATCGGTCCGGTCCTTTTGAGCTGACCCCTCCATGACTCTAGCAGGGGCAGGTAGTTTATTTATGTTAATCTAGAAAAAAAATATTTGTTGCAGAAATAAATTTTTTTTTGGTCATGAAAATAGTAATGTTGGCTTTCAAGTTAGATGAGAAGGGTCCAGAATTGAGCGATTACGTTTGGACACGCACTTTTTTAGAGGTTATTCAACGTTTTTTAAAAATCAAATTTTGTTGTTATCTTTGTCAACTCCGTATCTGTCCTGAACATTGGTTTTAAATTGATCAAGTCATCAGAGAGTTATTTTAATATTGAGAGTTTAGTGCCATACTAATATTGATTAACTAGTATAGATATCTTTACTCACTCTATGTACCATCTTTACTCCTCCCGCTATGTACCATATTTACTCCTCCCGCTATGTACCATCTTTACTCCTCTTGCTATGTACCGAACATTTTAACATAGTGTTAGCAAATTGTGAAAAGGTTTTGTAGTATTATTACAGTCATGGTTTTTAAGTTATGAAATGAGGAGCGCTGACGCTAGGACACACTAGAGGGGTGTAGTCCGGGGGGGATACGATACAACACAAGGTGTGTAACCATAGAGAATAGAATATATATTAGAGGGGAATTTAAAGAATCTCTCGGTATGAATTTTTTCAGTCCCTTTCAGCCTGAAAGGGAGTTCAAATCTTTGTATCCATCTGTCTGGCGTCTACTATCCTTGACTCAGTTTTTATTCCCGGTGTTCTCTCAGTCTTTACAGCGCCCATAGTCAAGGAAACCATTGGTCTGTCAGAGGAACCAACACGCTTAATAATTTTACATGCTCATTATTATTATTAATGGACAAATATGCATTGATCAATATCAGTGATCTGTCAGAGGGATTTTATTAAAAATTTTACCGACTTCCAATCATAAAATTAAAATTCCTTCGTATGTTTGAAATAAGTTTTTTTTCCGGATAAGGGTTGGGAAAAATCTTGATTTTCTAATATTTATCCGATTGTTAAAAATTACAACTTTAGTGGTTTAATGAGAAACTTGAACTGGAGCCGGAAAATATTGTAGAATACTGATGTAATTAGACAAAATATCAAAATAACAAAATCTGCCCCTCTTTTATAAAAAGTAAATTCAACCTATTTGAAGCATAAAGTCTAATCGCGTCAACCTTGTTGCACCGACTAGTCCTGTCCATAAAGCTAGGTACAGTACAAACTGGGACCGGAAAGGTTGACCCGGCTCGGAAATTCAAATGTACTACGTCTGTCCGTGTGTAGTGTAGACGTGATCCTCCATCGGTAAAGTGGCATGTCTGATTCACAACAGTGACCTTTAACCTTTTTATAATAAAAATAAGAAAGATTTCGTCATTTTTCTGCATTTAAGTGTTGAATTCTGATAACATTCTTCCATCGTATCGGCTGCTATGTAAAAATCCGCAAGTTATTTTACATAAAAACCAGATCTGAAAATGATCAATATTTTACATGAAAAAACTAAGAATTCTTATTCATTCTAGATCCAACAAAGTGTTCAAGGTTACTGGTGTGAATCGGACATCGCACGCAGATGGGTCACTTGAAATTTGGTCTCCCATCCCTTTTAAATATTCACTCATCAATCAACACCACTGAGCTTGTATTAAATTAAATCAAAGTTAACCACCATTTTATTCACCTGGCTCTCGTCTCCTAGTGGGTCAACCCCTTCCTCAACCTTAGATATATTCATCCCGGGCCGACCTTGGAACTGGTCCATAGACCCTCGAATACTTGGATCCATGGATCCTTGAATACTTGGATCCATAGATCCTGGAATACTTGGATCCATGGATCTTGGTCCCATCTGAAGATGACTCCCAATTCTTGTTATATTTAAGTGAGCCGGAATCTAAAGAAAAACAATGAAGACTGAAAAGATACAAGTTATTAATTTGTTAAAATCTCACTTCAAACTTGTATGACGAACCGCGCAGCAAAAAATGTCAATTCATATCGCAACTCATTCATATAAAATTTTCATACTAATTTATTTCTATATCCTTTTTAAATTTTCTAAAGGGAAACACATATTTCAACGGCATAAATTTGACCCGAGACATTTTATATAAACCAAGAAAATATTAACCAGTTTTTTTTGATGAACATAAGAGCTAATGTAATATTAATGCCCCATCTTAATTCATTCGGACAGTAACACCGTGTCAAACTACCTTGGAGGGTCCAGAGGAGTCTAGATCTATAATTTCAGGAGAAGATTCTTTCTTTAAATTCCCTAACCCTCCGCCAACGGCCATCTTCGGTAAAGTAATCTTAAAACTGTTCTCTGGCATCTGAGGTGGAGAGGCCGGTCGATTCGCGTTGCTCGGCGTGTGCCAGGAGGAACCGGGGGAGGCGAGGGAGGGCGGTACAAGTGAGTTACCGCCGGAAGCAACTTGTTGGATGCTCAACCCTGATGGGACGGTGTTGAGGGCTCCTGCGTTTGATTGAACATGGAGAACTTGAGGATGAGGCTGAACCTGAGGAACAGGTTTACTGCGGGCTGGTAACTGAACCGACTGGAATAAGTTTATTTTCAGAATCTATATATACAAAAACTAAATGTTCCCTTTAATATCATTGATTGCCAAAGAAAATATATGTCTCAATCTGATCAAGTCTTCGATTTGTAGCTTTCAAAATATTAACAGTTTATTTACCTCGTCAATTTAATTTTGAAGCTTTAATTCAATTCTGAAGCCTTAATTCAATTTTGAAGCCTTAATCTAATTTTGAAGCCTCAATTTAATTTTGAAGCCTCAATTTAATTTTGAAGCCTCAATTTAATTTTGAAGCCTTAATTCAATTTTGAAGCCTTAATTTAATTTTGAAGTCTCAATTTAATTTTGAAGTCTCAATTTAATTTTGAAGTCTCAATTTAATTTTGAAGCCTCAATTTCATTTTGAAGCCTTAATTCAATTTTGAAGCCTTAATTTAATTTTGAAGTCTCAATTTAATTTTGAAGCCTCAATTTAATTTTGAAGTCTCAATTTAATTTTGTCTCAATTTAATTTTGAAGTCTCAATTTAATTTTGAAGCCTTAATTCAATTTTGAAGCCTTAATTTAATTTTGAAGCCTCAATTTAATTTTGAAGCCTCAATTTAATTTTGAAGCCTCAATTAAATTTTGAAGCCTCAATTTAATTTTGAAGCCTCAATTTAATTTTAGAGCCTAAATTTAATTTTGAAGCCTCAATTCAATTTTAAAGCCTTAATTCAATTTTGAAGCCTTAATTCAATTTTGAGGCCTTAATTTAATTTTGAAGCCTTAATTCAATTTTGAAGCCTTAATTCAATTTTGAAGGCTTAGTTTAATTTTGGAGCCCAACAGGTCTAAGATCCAATATTTTCGATTTACCTGTGGAAACGCTTGCTGCTGTATCGGAGAAAATGATTGTTGCTGAACGGCGTATTGTTGTGGTTGCTGCAGCATTTGTTGTTTCTGGTGCTGTTGCTGCTGCTGCCTTCTTTGAAGCTGTTGCTGCTTGTTGTTGGGAATAAAAGCTGGACTATTCAAACCTATAAAACTATTATGAGAAATAAGAAATAATAAAGAGATCTAAATACTCATAAAAGAAATAAGGAGTAATTAAGTGATCTGAATACTCATTTCAGAAATAAGGAGAAATAAAGAAGATCTAAATAATCATTTAAGAATTAAAGAGTAATAAAGAGATTTGAATAAGAATAAAACCCCCAAACTGTCATCCCATCTCACATACTTGGCATTCAAATAGAAAAAATAGAAATAGACGAGAAAAAAGATAACATTTTAAAAAATCGCGTTTTTAAACTATAAAATTCGAATTATTTTTTTGTCTGGGGTACCCTAGAGTTTCCTTAAGACAATTCAGCCAATTCGGTTCAGCCGTTTCGCCAGCTATAGCTAACATACATAAATGCATACATACATAGCAATGAGTTTTTTTATATGGATGTGGTACCTAGAGCTGCATTTGTGTATTGTTGATTTTGAGCGTTGAACCTCGGCGGCGGAGCCCCGCCCTGCATCATAGCACTCTCAGTAGCTGGTCGGCCACGCCTACTAATATTTATTCCAGAGCTAGAAAACTGAGTGAATAATTTTCTTGAAAATATTTCCCAAGCCATTCTCCTTAAAATCAGCTTCCCCCCCCCCCACAAATAATAATGTTACAGATTTAGTACTAAATGGTATTAAATTTTTCGAATTTAAGCTGTTTTGCGACATTTTAGTGAAATTATGTTAAAGGTTTATCAATAAATGAAGCTGATTTTTCCAAAAAACCGTAAAATTAGAATTTTTTCGACAGATGGTGTACTTTTCATCAGAGAGATACCTGTTTTGTTGTTGCATAAGCTGTCCTCGCATTCTTCCCCCAACACCTCTCATCTGCTGCCCCTGACCCCCTCCTCTCATCATTCCACCTTGTTGCCCCTGAAGCATTGGCTGGGCCCTACCTCCCCGCATCCCCTGTCCCATCACCATACCAGTCTGCTTCATTAAACCCCTGGGATTCTGTCCTCGGCCTCGTAAACCAGGGGATCCTCGACCCAGTCCCATTCCTCCCATCCCAGGATTCATCCCTCCCATTCCCGGGGAATTCATTCCCTGAAGCGCAACAGCTTGCATCTTATTCCCCCGTCCCCGACCTCGAACTCCTCCTGCTCCCATAGGTCGTTGTGACACAATTTGAACTCGCTGTGCTCCTCTACCAGCTTGTTGTCCAATCAAAGACCTTGCTGGACTCATATTCTTCATAACAGGTCTACAACATTATTCTCCAGGGGACCGAATTTAATGAATTTGATCTAGGTCGCTGAACTACCATATGTTAACAAGGATTTGACAGACGGTCTGGAGTTCAGCGACCCCTCAAATTCATTAAATTCGGTCCAAATTCACATGTGATTAAATACAAGTTTTTACAAGATCATTTTTAGACTTGCACACTTAACATAAAGTAGGTTATAAATGTACAGTGTACACGCCATTAAACTCCAGTTAAATCCGCGATTGATAAGTTTTTCACCCGAGTTCAATAGATGTTAATATGTTTTTACCTCGGAGCTTTTGTGGGTGTGGCTAATTGTCTAACCACGCCCCCCAGGTTTCCTCTGTTGACCGGACTTCCCCGCCCCATCCCTTGACCAGGAGAGGGAAGTGCGAGGGTTCGGTTGGGAGTTACTGGTTGTCGGATAGGGCTTGGAGGGGGAGCAGGTTGAGCTGGGGGAGGAGCCTGAAACTCAAACATTTAAAATAATTTCTTAAACTCAGGTAAATTGTCTTCGTAGCCACACTGCTGAAAATTGACCATCAGGTTTCAAGTCAAAACACCTAAACTTTTTTTTTGGATTATGTTTATATGCAAGCTATTGAGTTATATTGTCAATTTTCAGAAAGTGCCACCTAGGGAATTTTGAGCATATCAACTTTTAAGAAATTGTAGAAATCAAGTGCATTTACAGGTCTTAAATTAAACAAAAATTTCGTTTCAAGACTTTAATCTGCTTCTTCTGGATTTTTTGACGATATTTTTTTCACAGTATATGACATGGTCTCCAAATTTTTTATCTTTCTTTAACAGTAATGAAACTTATTGCAGCAAAAAAAATCAAACCCCTAAGTCAACTGCCTGACTGTCAAAATGCGGCCCGAAAAAGTTATTTTGATGTATTTTTTAACTGATTTTACTTAAAAAAGTCTTTTATAGGCAGTAATTGGGCAATTATACAGTTCACTTAAGGCTTTGATTTTTTTGCTAAAACATGTCTTATGACTGTTAAGGGAAATTCATAAAATTTGGGGACCCCTGCTATCAACGGTTCTAAAAATATCGCAAAAAAAACCACAGTTTAATCTTGATTAATCTTAGAACCTACAGTTATGATCGAGTTTAGACTTAAAAATGCACTTGATTTCTACAATTTCTTTAAAATGGATTTACTTAAAATTCCCTCAGTGGCATTTTCTGAAAATTTAGATTATAACTCAGAAGCCTGCATATTAACATATTCCGAAGAACAAAATAGGTGTTTTGCCCTGAAACCTGATGGTTCTTTTTCAGATGTGTGTAGCAGGGATAAGAATATCACAAACAATTCTGGCTTAAAGAAGGATTTTTAAGCATACAAAACATGAAATGTGTGGCCACATGAAAACGTTTTTTAGAAAAATGGTGCAGGGGAAGGGGGGTGTTCTGGCATAATCTACATGAATGTGGTTTGGTTTCCTTAGGTTTGTGTGCTTCTATTGGTATACTGCTAACTTTTATATCTGCCAAGGTCATCCTAAAGTATAACAAGAATAAAAAATGTAATTAAGATAAAAATAAGAAATAAATATCGTAAGCCCCCTCCCCCTCCAGAACATAATATAATTGGTAAGCGTATCATGCTCAATAAACATCACATTGTACAATATAATTTTCATGATTTTACTATTTTTAGAAATTTTCGACGTAAATTACGGTTAGAATGTTCATTTTCCTTACAAATCTGATTTTAAATATTATATTTAACTCTATCCAGTCAATTTCTGGCTGACTGAGTCCAATATTTCCACGAGAAATTTTCTCAGAAATAAATTTTTATAATATTCTTGATACAAAATATATTTATCCAATATAGTAAATAAAAAGTAAAATTTTTAAAGACTTCACTAGATTACTAAAATTGTAATAGGATTGTAAGGAAAATGTATCTGATTCTTAACTAGACTTGCTGGAATATTATAAAGGGATTGTTAGTATATACCTGACTACCCTTGCTAGATTATTATAAAGGGATTGTGAGTATATACCTGATTACACTTGCTAGATTATTATAAAGGGATTGTGAGTATATACCTGACTACACTTGCTAGATTATTACAAAGGAATTGTGAGTATATACCTGACTACACTTGCTGGATTATAATAAAGGGATTGTAAGGATATACCCGACTATTCTTGCTGGATCATAATATAGGGATTGTGAGTATATATCTGACTACACTTGCTAGATTATTATAAAGGGAATGTGAGTATATACCTGACTACACTTGATAGATTATAATAAAGGGATTGTGAATATACCTGACTACACTTGCCAGATTATAATAAAGGGATTGTGAGTATACCTGGCTACACTTGCTAGAGTGATTGTGATTGTGAGTATATACCTGAATACACCTGCTAGAGTATTATAAAGGGATTGTGAATATATACCCGACTACACTTGCTAGATTATAATACAGGGATTGTGAGTATACCTGACTACACTTGCTAGATTATAATAAAGGGATTGTGAGTATACCTGACTACACTTGCTAGAGTGATTGTGATTGTGAGCATATACCTGACTACACTTGCTAGAGTGATTGTGATTGTGAGCATATACCTGACTACACTTGCTAGATTACTGTGAAGGGATTGTGAGTATACCTGACTACACTTGCTAGAGTATTATAAAGGGATTATGAGCATATACCTGACTACACTTGCTAGATTACTGTGAAGGGATTGTGAGGAAAAGCTCTGGAAATATAAATCTAACTTGAACTCGAGCTCTGAAAAACAATAATTCTATCATACTTGGCTATCACGAATTTTTAAAAAAAATATTTTTTCAGTTTCTTTGTTTGAAGAGGTAATTAAATTATCTTCAGAATAAAGATAAATGAAAACAAAATTGATACAAATTTAGAACAAAAAGTATTTAGACAGTTTGAAGAAATTGTAGAAAAATTCCCAAAAAGACCCACAAATTGGCATTTTCGATACACAATGATACCCTTCAACCCTCTTTCTGAATGAATGAAAACCTGAAGGAGGGAGATTAACTAGTAAACAAATGAAAACCTGAAGGGGGGAGATTAACTAGTAAACAAATGAAAACCTGAAGGGGGAAGATTAACTCGTGAATAAATGAAAACCTAAGGGAGGAAATTAACTAGTAAACAAATGAAAACCTGAAGGGGGAAGATTAACTCGTGAATAAATGAAAACCTGAAGGGGGGAGATTAACTACTGAATAAATGAAAACCTGAAGGGGGAAGATTAACTCGTGAATAAATGAAAACCTGAAGGATGAAGATTAACTAGTAAATAAATGAAAACCTGAAGGGGGAAATAACTAGTGAATAAATAAAACCTGAAGGGGGTAGATGAACTACCGTATCAAATGAAAACAAAAAGGGGGCAGATTAACTGGTGAGTAAATGAAACCTGAAGGGGGGAGGTTAACGGCCTGATTGACTCGCTTCAGCCGTTTCATCTGACGCATTACTAACTTCTTGGAAAGAAGAAGTTTCTCGTCCTGGTTAAAATAAAAATAATTTGCTAGAGATGGAAATTTATGAATGAAATTAATAAAATACGTTGGACTGGGTTATATCTAATGCGTATGGAATATAAGGAAGATGGAAAGGACGCGGCCCACCCTACCATATGATTATATACATGCTTTGCAGTACTTCATTTGAATAAGAAATATTTGTCTGATGTACAAATACCGCGTACAATCGTACATGTATTCAGAATAGGTTATTGTATACATTAAACATGGAAAAATTAGGCTGAAAAACGCAAACAAACACATTTTTCTGGGATGCAAAAATAGAAGTCAGACAAGCAATTTTTTTTATAATGCATGTATAATCATATGATAGGACGGGCCGCGTCGTTTCCATTATTCTTATATTTCTTACTCCTTGGTTATATTTTAAAACTAAGATGATTAAAATCGCAGTAGACCCATATTCATGAATTTCTAGCTCTGTTAAATCGAAAACATTAAAGGGAGTGTTCGCGAAAAATGAAAGGGGGTATAGGCTTAATGCGATAAAAAAGCGCTTTTGATAGCTTCAAATCTTACTTCTATCTGCTGCGTCCATAAGGAGAAAATTGATAAAGACGTCTTATACCGAAGAGAGGGCCCATACAAATTGAGGAAGTTGGAACATACGACTTAGACCGTAAAAAAATCAAATTAATATCAAACAAATCATTCAGATATTACAACCTATAGTCATCGATTATCTTTCGCCACATTTGTATATATTTAATATTTCATACTAGTTTTGATTTTGTTTTTTTAAATAATATTTAGCTTACAACTTGTTTTCGAACATTCCTGGAAAATATGAAAATGTCGTCGTCATTACCAAAAATCCTCGAAACAGGAATAAACGTTTTTATAAGTAACTCTCAGATCATAACAATTCAAACATATTATGAAAAATCAACTATATATAAATGTGGCGAAAGATAATCGATGACTGTTGTAATATCTGAATGATTTGTTTGAAATTAAATTGATTTTTTTACGGTCTAAGTCGTATGTTGCAATTTTCTCAATTTGTATGGACGCCATGTTATTCGGTATGAGACGTCTTTAACAATTTTCTCCTTTTAGACGCAACAGATCGAAGTAAGATTAGTGGCGATCAAAAGCGCTTTTTATCGCATTAAGCCTATACCCCCTTTCATTTTTCGCGAACACTCCCTTTAATGTAATATAAAAATGTTGAATTGTTTCATGGGAGACCATTTGACAAAACTAGATATCTTTCTTTTAACAGTTCAGTTAAATGTAAACAACATTTTAATTATGGGTCCACAGATAACAAATAATTCATCTTCGAATATAATAAACATAAACAACATTTTTAAATGATAAAAATTCTACATTTATATAGTTTGCTAAATGTTATTTGACTTTATTATTTAGATCTAACAATTCTTTGGGTAATAATTATAATTTGAAAGTTAATGGAATGAAAAAGATATTGACAGATTTGGTGTAGTTTAATACTGAACTGAAATGCATACCTCTATATTTCCGTTGACAACATGATCTATGAAGGAGAGAGCGTATTCTGCCTGCCAGAAAGAACGGTCTAAACATATTTAAAAATATGTCGAGTCCAAGTGAATACTAAATAACAGTTTTAGTTTGAACACTTTTAAAAGTGATAAATAAAATAGTCTATATAAATCCGTTGCTTGTCTGTCTAGGTGTCTGTTTGTATGTATCCAATTAAACGTCAAAACGGCTAAACCGATCGGGCCCAAATTTTGTGTGGGACCTCACATGACCCCTGGGAAACGTTATGAATACTCAAAATTTGTGTCCAAAAGTTAATCTTGAAAATGCGAGAAAATATATTATGAAATCCGCGAACTTTTTGATTGTTTTTGTTTTTTATTGTTCAAGGATAAGAAGGTCACATTAGAGCCACAATTAAAAGTTGAAATAGAAAAGCCTAATTAGCAATATTTCTAAACGTCAGAGAAAAATGTTTCACCTAAATTGTTTTTCCTGGCCTCCAGAGTTTTCCGTTTATCCCTGGTCCTCTTAGTGACCTCTGTAGTTAGTTCTCTATATCTGTCCTCAACCTTGACGAGGCCGGCATCAACAACAGGAAGTTTATTGGACGTATTTCAAGTGACCCTTAATGCAAAGATGGCAATGCCCGATTTACAACGGTACCCTTGGATCTTTTCGATCAATATTGGGGAAAATATTGTAGTTTTATAATTTAACACTTACATTGATATCTAAATAATAATAAATTAAGACAAAGGTACCGTAGTAAATCAGGGAAATAGTCATCTTAGCATGAGGATGAACTTGTGACAAATTTGGCCCAGGGGTAATAACTTACTCAAGTCTCATTCTCCTGAACTAAATAAATGTCTGTGTAAAAGTATTATAAAGAAAGAAAAACGTGCCTGTCTGTTATTTTCATCCTAAATTTATATTTTTTTTTTAAATTTACTTTTGTGGAGAGGGTTTCTCAGATGCAGAATTTTGATCATGTTAAAATCAACCCAGTAAAGAAGTTGCACCTTCAAATAAAATTATTGAATTTTTAATCTTGAAACCAAACAATTATGATGGATTCCGAAATCTCCTGAGATGCCAGTCTGCCTGCCTTTGAAATGATGAAGTTCTTGACTTCCTTGAGTTGGGCTAGGAGGCTCCTCTCCTTAATATTAACCTCGGATATCTTGGTGCTAAGGATTCCCACACTCTCCTCTATATGGCTTTTCTTTAACCTACAGTTGTAACACTAGTTATCACTGAAAACCCAAGGTGACAAAACCAATAGGATTCGAAGTCATTTTTAAGCAAATTCCTTAGTAAACAGCTGTTTTTTGTACAACAACAATTTTCACTAAAACCTCGCTAGTCATATTCTCTTCCCTTTTTCCTAGAATTGGAGGTTCACCCTTTTATTTATTTATTATTTATTTATTTATTTATTTATTCATTTATTTATTTATTTATTTATCTATTTATCTATTTATCTATTTATCTATTTATCTANCTGTAAGACTGTAAGACTGTAAGACTGTAAGACTGTAAGACTGTAAGACTGTAAGACTGTAAGACTGTAAGACTGTAAGACTGTAAGACTGTAAGACTGTAAGACTGTAAGACTGTAAGACTGTAAGACTGTAAGACTGTAAGACTGTAAGACTGTAAGACTGTAAGACTGTAAGACTGTAAGACTGTAAGACTGTAAGACTGTAAGACTGTAAGACTGTAAGACTGTAAGACTGTAAGACTGTAAGACTGTAAGACTGTAAGACTGTAAGACTGTAAGACTGTAAGACTGTAAGACTGTAAGACTGTAAGACTGTAAAGACTGTAAGACTGTAAAGACTGTAAAGACTGTAAAGACTGTACAGATTGTTAAAAGACTGTAAAGACTGTAAAGACTAAATGACTAAATGACTAAATGACTAAATGACTAAATGACTAAATGACTAAATGACTAAATGACTAAATGACTAAATGACTAAATGAACATTTGAAAAAATAAATTAGTTAATGAATTACTTGCATGAATGCATAAATGCAAAAATATATGAAATAGTAAATAAAAAATGAATGAATTAATACCTATATTTACAGTTCCTGTGTCGCTCCGAGAGTTGGCAATCCCTACAGTTAAGAATATCGCAGGATTCACAGTAGAGTGTTAACCGCTCATTGTGATGCTGCGAACAGTACTTGTAATGAGAGCTCCCACGCTGTGAACTTTTTACCTGTGACAGCATTTAAAAATATAAAAACAAACTAAAAAATATATATTTTAACATCGATTTTTTCTTTTAATGAAATAATTTAATTATTTATCTTGGCAACCCAAATCGAATCGAATTGTTGAATCAAATCAAATCAAATCAAATCAAATCAAATCAAATCAAATCAAATCAAATCAAATCAAATCAAATCAAATCAAATCAAATCAAATCAAATCAAATCTGTCATGACTGCATGCTCTGACCTGTGTTATCTGATGATCCTTCGTCATCTTTACCCTCTGATGTGCGCGCACACAATCACTGCACAGAAACTCGTCACAATCAACACATTTAGAACTTGCAACAGCATTCTCCTCACAACTGCTACAGTACTGCAACAACAATAGAATAAGGAGAGGAATCTCAGCCAGGAAAAATTGAAAAAAAGCCTTTTATAAGCAACAATTTAGTTTTTCTACATGAATTTAAATAATGTATTTCCTATCAAACCCTATTTCCCTCAACCTATCACTATTGACCTGTAAATCATCGTCATTCCCCTCGTCCCTATCCTCGTCATGATCAAGTATAAAATAGTTCTCCATCGTCTCACTCTCTGTTGTTGTTGCACGACAAATTGGACATACAACCTCCGGCACACTCATAATACCGTCCCCGTCCAGGTCAACAACATCAGCTGAGTTCTCCTCGCGGCGGGACTCTGCCAGTTTGTCAAAGAAGCAGGTATAGCATGCAGAATGAAGGCAGGTCAGCAGGCGGGGTCGTCGGTCAGCGCATCTGTTCATGCACACAACACAGGTTGTCTCTGACCCGACACGAAGATTCCTGTCTGCACTCCGCGAATTGGAATCAGAAATATCAGAGCTACGATCATTGCTGTATGTGCTTCGTGCATCATCGTCAGTGGATTGTCTGTTGGAAGGTTTCTTGAAGGGAGAAATACTGATTCCTACATTAGAGAAAACATGTTAGTTTGATATTGTGACAAAAATAAATAAAAAAAACTTTCAATATGTAAAAAGCAGCCTGGCCAAAACTTTTTTGAAAACAAAATCCGTACAAAAAATCCGTACATTTTCAGAACAAATCCATACGATCCCTACGTTTTTGGAGAGAAAATCCATACAATCCGTAGATTTCTTTTGAAAAAATTAAAATTAAAAAAAAATCCGTACAATTTTTGAAATAAAAGGAAGGAGAAACAAGTATATTAGGATGAGAATGAGAGGAGAAACAAGTATATTAGGATGAGAATGAGAGGAGAAACAAGTATATTAGAAGGAGAATGAGAGGAGAAACAAGTAAATTAGAATTAGAATGAGAGGAGAAACAAGTAAATTAGGACGAGAATGAGAAGAGAAACAAGTAAAATAGGATGAGAATGAGAGGAGAAAAAAGTAAATTAGGATTAGAATGCGAGGAGGAACTAGTAAATTAGGATGAGAATGAGAGGAGAAACAAGTAAATTAGGACGAGAATGAGAGGAGAAACAAGTAAATTAGGACGAGAATGAGAGGAGAAACAAGTAAATTAGGATAAGAATGAGAGGAGAAACAGGATAAATACACATTTAAAATCTAAAAATCAATAATGATGGCATTTAGTCTGTTACTTCTATTGATTGGAATGGGTTTCATTGTTTGTTTAAGCTTTTTAAAAACTTATTATTTGGCAAAAATCAATATTCTCGAGAAATTATAAATGAATATGGATTTTCAATTGAAACAACCAACCTAATATTAATTAGAATGCAGAAAAAAAGTTAAACTAACTTCATTTACACGAGGTTTTTTTATTTAAATATTCATGCTAAGTGTGCTGTAACTAGTCAAAAAGGTGTATTTCCAGGCTAAAAGTCCTTACATTTTGGGCACCCTAGATATTATTAATTTCACTTAAGATTGCTAAACAAATAATTCAATCACTATTACCTGGGGGTAATGCTGGGGTGGAGGACCCTGAGATAGTTATTCCTGGAGGAAGAATGGTTCCTCCAGGGTTGGATATACTTATTCCAGGAGGAAGGTTGGGCAGAGGAGTAGCAGAACCAGGGCGTTTAGAGGGACTGGGAGCAGGAGCTGAATCTTCTTCTTCATCCAGTTCTTCATATTCATCCTCATTCTTGGCACTTTCTTCTTCATTGTCATCCTTGTTCTCTGATTCTTCAGGTATAGTTTCTGGCTTATTTGTTGATGTATCATCATCGTTTGTAGGAGGAGCACCGTCTGGATCATTCCCTGGTTTATCGCCGCTTTTACTCTCAGAGGCATTTTTGTCAGCCTTTTCTTCCTCTTCTGTCCATTCTTCCTCTTCGTAGTTTTCATATTCTCCATCTTCATAGCCTTCATATCCTTCTACTTCCCCATATTCTTCATATCCTTCTTCCTGATCATATCCTTCGTACCCCTCCTCAAAGTACTCTTCATTGTAATTCTCTTCATTTTCCAGATCTTTCCCTTCATCTCCAACTTTACTTGGTTCTCCTGCGACTTCTGCAGGCTCTCCATTTTCGGTTGATTTTGCCTCTGCCTCTAAACCAGCTTCTCCCTTATCTGAAGGTAATTCTGAGCTTTCTTCAGGATTCATGTCAACTTCTTCAGTTTCCTGTGGTTTCCCCTCATTCTACATTTAAATATAAGTAAAAATAGCAATCATTTACTTTATTAGATATCTTAAAAATGATTTTTTTTGCAATTTCTACTTTAAGAAAACCCCCACCCAAAGATAAAAAATAGATTTATCTAAAAAAAAGAACTTTTTTTGTAATATGCCACTTGAAGTTAAGACTATTTCTTTTCTTAGAAAACTAATTTTGATCTTTTTCAGGAAATGCTAAACATAGGCAACCAAAAAAAATAGGAAACCTGTGTAAAGAGTTCAGATTCCTGCTCAGGAGGTGTCGAAGATACCTCAGTTTGAACAGAGCCCTCTTCCATAGATTTCTCTTTCATTTCTGAATTTTCTAAAACGGGTTTCATCGGAGCTGTAATTTGTGCATCTGACATAAACTCAGAGGCAGTGACGGGAGACTCAACTCTGATCTTGGTTAACTCAGGGTGTTTAACAATACGATTAGGTTCTACTGATTCCTGGGACTCTTGATCCTGATTGTATCTAGTTTCAAAATCAGCAGGAGCTGCTGGAGGAACTGATTTCTGTTTCTCCTGTTGGATAGGTCTGGTCTGGGAAGCATGCTGAGCAGGAACATTAGGGTATTGACTCAACTGAGAATTAGAGATCTGAACATTTTTCGGCGCTTGGCTCTGACTACTAGAAATAGGAACAGGTTGGCTACTTGATCTAGGATCTGCACCACTAGAAGGAGTGGGATGATTGGACTGTCCAGGTCCTTGTTGCACCAGTAGTTGTGTACCCTGAGAGGGATAAGAAGGGGGAGGAGTTTGAGCTGGAGACCTGGTTGGAGAAGGTCCTGAACTACTTGTACTACTTGGGCGTCTGCTCCTTAGTCCAGCTGGACCAATAGGGTGTCGGAGAGGAGAAGTTCCGCTGATATGGTTGCGAGGCTGCTGAAAGCCATCAGGTACATTCTGAGCTCTTACTTGAATTTGTCCATTTTGAGGAAACTTTAGTTGCTGCTGACCTAGCGCTCCAGGTCTCTGTGTAACCCCTGGACCTTGTCCCAGTCTGGTTTGGGGCGGACCAGGTCCACCGCCTGGTCTTATTGGCAGATGATTTCCACCACTAACGTTGATCCCAGAAGGAAGGCGGGGTACATTAGAGTTACCGCCACTAACAGAAATTCCTGGGGGGAGGCGTGGAGAGTTGACAGCAGGTCCCCCACTTATTGAGAGTCCAGGGGGTAAACGGGATACTGGGGAAGGACCACCACTTACACTTACACCCAAACCTATATATATAGTAATATGGTAAGATCCTGAAATATATTAAGATTTTTAAGTTGAAGTTGATTCTTTAAATATATACATATATATCAGTTATATTGTACAACGTAAATTCTTGCATCTTCATTCAATAACAGTTTACTAAATTAAATTCTAATGAAATTATCAAATACCTGATAGTCGATCCATGGGACTTGTGTTTCTAAAATAATAGTAATAATTAATAATTCAATTAGAACCTAAATAATCCCCCTTCAAACTTTCCCATCTTAATTTTTTTGAAATAAGATTATTTCTTAATATTAAGTAAAATCCTTAAAGTTTTCATATTACCTAGACCTGACTTAAAATAAATTAATTAATAGCTCAAAATAGACTTACCCTTCTTCAGATCTTGATATTTTTATACCGAGTCCTGCCAATCTATTAATATTTGATTCTGTAGCATTATTACCAGAGGACTTCTGTACTTGAATTGAACTAAAAATAGTTTCATTAAAATTTAAAAATCTTTTGATAGGAGTCAAGGGAAATTTTACCTGGGCAGATTTGCAATCTTGTTGTCAGAAGATCGCTGAATTGATACTCCTGGAGGGAGATTAGGAGGATCAACTGATCTAAAAAACAAAATGTTTAAAGCATTGTTCATCTTTTCCTTTAACAACAGAGTACATTTTTGAAAGAAGGAAAACCAGACTGGAATTTTTTTTTTAAAGAATCACCCCCTCTCCCATCGTAGCTTCAAAAATCATTTCATCCCTTATATACTTTAACGCGGGGCGCGAAATTCGATTTTATTCGCTGAATTTTGAACAACAAAATACTTTCAATGAAGATAAAAATAAAATTTTGGATCAAACCCGGACTAAAACATAAATAATATTTTAAAATTTCACCCCGAGTCCGTTCTCTCTTTAGATAGTGGTCGTGTAGTCGAGTACTTTGGGGGACGATATGTTGGCCTCTTGATGTCTTATGCTGAATTCTTATCTGATAGATAGATAATATCTCCGTACACTTGACGACCAATATAAGAGACGTCAAATAGTCGACCATATAGTTTATGAAAGGCACGGTCTCTGATTGAATAAAAGCCAAGTATGTTTCAAGGGTAAAAATATTCACCACAATTTTAATAATCGAGAAAAGGTTTCATCCTAAAATGGGAAATCTGTGAAAACTAACTCACCCTATTGATTATATTATAATCCTACCTTTGCAGTGAGATGCCAGGTGGGAGCCGGGGCTGCTGCCCTGACATCTTACACTCTGAAATATTTAACTCCATCAATAAATCCCAAAACTTAAACTTAAAAAGGGAAATGTTTTGTGCAGTCACACTTTCAGGAATTTTAAAGGTATGCATACTTGAATCTAATGTTCCAATGTCTAGTTGTTGTGTTGGGTCCGGCGGAATAAACGAGGAACTGAAAAAAAACATAAAAACTAATAAAAAATTTACCGCAATGGATGAAAAAGTAAACTTGTCCTTTCATTTATTGATTACCTCATTCTAGACACGGTTTGATTTGGAGGCACAAACGCAGTACCGTGGTACTGCGTTGACATATCTGTTTGGTCGGCATTGTAGTTACCGGACGAATTTGGATGTCGTCCAGAGAAAGTTGGACGTATATTTTGAGAATTATAATTTGAGTGAGAAGATAAATCTTGGTGCTGATACTGGGGACGATGATGAACTAGACCGCCCGGGGAATGTGCGCCAGGGTGATTAACATTAGGAAAATTATTGGTAACATTATGTTGAATCCTGGAAGGAATTTGAATATTGTTAGGATGGTAGTGAATGGTACCCTTCACTGATTCATATACACTTGGTTTATTACCATGATTATTGCTGTTCTGGAATGGATCCATAGGATGTTTTCAATGGAAACTAAAAAAAGATCTGAAATTTTGATTGACAGATTAAAATGATATATGTGCGCAAACTGTCAAATGTTTAGTACTAAAACTTAAGAAAGAAATCACATTGGCTGCATAGAAAACTTATTACATATTGTAGAACTAATATTTCACCGGTCTAAACTATCATTCACGTACATTTTCTATTTGAATTAATGTGATGTTTGAAAAATATATCATTTAGATCGGATAGAGTGCGACATCCGCACAACTATTAACCATATCCAGCACGAATGTGGTGCCGGAGCACAAAATATTTGTGCCGAATCCAGTTCTTGAAACAGCTAATGTAAACCAACCAAAACTACACCGTATATTTCATTATTATTGTATGGCGCGGCCCGACAATACTAAGAAAAAAATGGAGGACAACAGGGATGAATAACAACATTAAAATCAAAGCATATGTTTGCTGCAACACAATCAAGATAAAACAAGAATTACATATATTATTTTTTTTTTTTTGGCACAGAAGATAACTTTTTTCCTCGTCCTAAATTGCGTTTTTTAAAAAGTCGGTTTACAGAAGCGGGTGATATCCCGTATTCGCCGCATTTACCGCATTTGCCGCAGTTTACTCCAAAATATAAGGCCGGGTCAAGAGTCCCTTAATAGCACTCTTAACTAATCCTGGTTGGTAGGATCATCTACCCTACGCGTTCATAAGTTGTGCTAATACCGGTATTAACAGAAATGCCAGTTTTACTAAGAGCGGTGTTAACTAATCTACCCGCAGGGTAGATTTAGGTAGGATGATCTACCCTAAATAACCAGTTCTACCAGTATTAATTTGGTTTGGATTCGATATTCTCGCAACCTCATGAAATACAGGGATGTTTAAAATACAGGGATGCATAAAAAGCGAAGAAATACTTCTTATTTTGCTTAATTCAGAAAAATGACCCCTCCCCCACCCTCCTTACATAACTATATTAATAAAATGTGTTGAATATAAAAAAAAACATTTTATGAGCAAAACTTTATTAAAGATTTTTTTTCTAAAAAATATATCTTATTGAAAAGTTTTTATTTTTTTAACTTTGATAATGAAATGTAAAAAGTTTAGTTTGCAAGATATTTTCATAAATTTTTAATCTATCTTTCGTCATATAATAAAAAATGTATTATTTAAAAGTCGTCTTTATAATTATTAACAAATTATTAAGTTGAGAAGAGAAAAGAGTTGCGCAGAAGAGTCAAAACGGTAAAGTTTGGATGATAATCCTGGTTTTAGCTAGGATGACTTATGAACGCATCAGCTGTTCTAGGCTAGATAATCCTGCCACAAATTAGGCAGCATTAGCGACTTATGAATCCGTATTTCCTAAACACCGGTGTTAGTGTTAAGAGTGGTATTAGAGCGGTATTAGCTAATACCGCTCTTAAGATACCGGACTCTTGACCCGGCCAATAGATTATAAATTATATTAATGCAGTGTTAATTGTATAGATGGCAGTGTGTATGCTTTTGGAAAGTTCAGAATAATCAGCTGTTTCTTCTATCCATCAACTCCGATTTCGACTGAAGATTGAAGAAACACAATTGAAACTCATGAGAGACTTTCAAGAAAATTACGAAAAAGTGAACGTGTATTTTCAAAATTTGAGAAACGAATCAAAGAAATGTCTTTGTTAGAAAATTTGAGGACAGAGTAAAATGGATTTTGAATGCACTTGATTCTATAAAGGAAGTATAAAGCTACACATTCGGGTAATTTCGTCAAAGATATATAAATATTTAAATTTTTTATATCTCATGGTGCCTATCAAAGAATTCGATCAATCTTTTGATTTACATGTGTTTTCAGGATGGGAGGATGGCAGAGTACAACCCGGGGTACGGAGGAACCCGAGGATCAAAGTACATGTTCCCAGTACAGGTAACATGCATATCCTCTTTTAAGTTTTGGGCCGCAGTACCTGTACAAGATATTGATAATATTTGAAGCTAGCCGATGCGTAAACAGATACAGTGCCATTAATAGAGAACACAGAATATTTAAACTTTTGTAATATCATTTTGCGATGTATTTCATTTTCAACGAGCGAAATGTAATTTGATACTGAGTTGTATCAAGAGTTTTAAGTATTTTATAGTTTTAAGAAACTCTCAAAAAAGAAAGAGAATATTCTATTTAAAGCTATGATATAATTAAATGTCTCTTTGTGAGTAAAAGTTATTTGAGTGTAATAAAAATATTTGTCACATGACGTGCCTACTGAATTGTATAATTTTGACGCTAAAAGTGAGTTGTAGATAAAAAAGCTATTAGAATGCTTTGTGTACCCTTTTCTAGTTATAATTTTAGCTTGTAACTATTGCAATATGATTATCTTTTCTTATAAACATAATTTTCGCGAATTTTCCTGCTTAAAATGGTGTATGTTCAAAAGTAATTAACGAAATATGCTTCAGAGCAATTTTGCAATTTCAACGCGACACCTTCTGATAGAACATGTGAGCTGTTAAAAATAAAGTGATTCAGATGCAGAAAATGTTAATTAACGTATAAAACAAAATAATGTAATTCATAAATATATAATTTACACAGATACCCACCGAAGGTCGGAAACTACTTTTCTACTCATTTTATCATGGGAGGAGAGAAGTTTGATTCTCCGCAACCTGAATCTTTTCTCTTTGGAGACAACTCAGGAATATTTCAATATTTTAAACAATATTTCGCAAGTGTCCCTATTCTATTTTGATACACTACCCTGAAGTTTATTTATTTTCTGAGGTGTATATATTTTTAAGAATTTTTTCATTTTTTTAACCTTTTCAGTTCAGGCATATTAATCTCTCTATTTAAACACTTTAATTCCTTTTTAACACTTTCACTGGTGGATCAGCATTTTAGCTATAACTGCCGTTTGAACTATTGATCATTTGAACTATTGATCGTTTTTACCAAACTACTTATAATGATGTATTTTCCTGTAGTTCAAAACCACACATTATTTACTCATTTGAACTATTAAATATGCAGTTTAAAATTTTTATATTTCATAAAAAAATAGGTCAAACAATCATCACAAAATAGTTTACATGATCAAACAATATTTACATATATGGACAGAAAAATAATTCAAACGACGACAAAATAGTTCAATGAAGCATTTAATAGTTCAAATGAGAAAAAAGTAGTTCAAATGAACAAATTACAATAAAGTTCAAATTAACCAAAACATATCTTTAAAATGAGCCAAAAAATAGTTCAAATGAGCAAAAAAATAATTCAAATGAGCCAAAAAAAATAGTTCAAATAAACAAAAAATAGTTCAAATGGGCAACTATTTTTTAACGATCATTTGAACTATATTTTTGTTCATTTAAACTAATTATTTGCTCATTTGAACTATGTTATCTTGCTCATTTGAACTGTTTTTTTGGCTCATTCGAACTATTTTTGCCTCATTGAACTATTTTTTGACTCATTTGAACAATTTTCGAGCTCTTATGAACTATTTTTTGGCTCATTGGAACTATAATTGGGTCCGTCCTAGTATGCAATTTTTGGACCGTCCCCCTTCCTATCAACTTTGTACATGGCCTAATTTCAACTATCTTCAACTAAAAAATATTTATTTTGTATTATTTCAGGGTTAGGTTAGGTCAAGACACTTTCTGGGCCGAGCGCTCTTTTGAATTAAATTTTTGCTCATTTAAACTATTTTTTTTCTCTTTTGAACAAATTTTTGCTCATTTGAACTATTTACTGGCTCATTTGAACTATTTTTTGCTCATTTAATCTATTTTGCTCATTATAACAATTTTTTTGCTCATTTGAACTTTTTTTTGGTTCATTTGAACTATTTTTTTTGCTCATTCAAGCCATATATTTTTGACTCAATTGAACTATTCTTTTTAATAGTTTAAATGTGCAAAAAATAGTTCAAATGCGCACAAAATGTCGTTTGAAATACTACACGTTCAACGTGAAATAGTTCAAACGACCAATAGTTCAAAAAGTCAATAGTTCAAACGGCAGTAGTTCAAACTAAATAGCTCCCTTTTACCTAATTCGCCCCAATAAAGCGAGATAAAAATCTTTAAAAAAATTTTTGGAACCAGGTTATTGAAATCGCTGTAATTATAGATCTAAATTTCTTGGGATCAAAGCCAGTACCTTTCCCGTACCCACCGCCTCAAGTAAGTGTTAACATTTTTGGATTTATGATTTCTTTTTCAGGTTTTACTTTTAATGTCTTTTTCTTTCTTATGTCGCAAATCATGTCAGAATGGGAACAAAGGTCCCCTTTTTTTATTCTTTTAACGATAGGACAAGTTTCGTAGATTTAGGGGGAACAAGTTTTTGGACTATGTAGTTTTTCCCTAAAACTCTGAGTTGATTTGAGTTGAGTTCAATTCATTTCATTTTATTTGGAGAAATAGAGTTTAGAGATGCAAGATTTTGTAGATTTACATAAAAATATATCAAAAGCTTATTAAGTGATAAAATAGGCGAATGAACCGACGAAGACCTTGAAAGCTTTGATAAACATTAGAAGAGACTCTTTGCACTTCGTCAAGGTTAAAAATGCAGGTTGGTTCTTTTCTTTATTATTTGTTCTGTATTTTTCCAGTAAAATATTTTAATTTAAGGCTGTTATTATCTTCTATTTCAATTGTGAACATTTTCTTTTTGTGTACAGTGTAAAACAAAAACAAATAAACGTTAGCCGGATTTAATATAAAAAATATTTCAAAATTTAATGCAAATCGAATTTGGTTGGGGGCAAATTTTTGAAATTTTGATCATCAAGAAACCTTCCCTGGGGACATGTGAAGTCCCATGCAAAGTTTGGGCCCGATCAGTTCAGCCGTTTTGACGTTTATTGGATACAAACTAACAAACAGACAAGCAAAGTATATAGTTTGATTAAAGCTAATTCATTTAAAAGTTTAGAGACTGGTGCTATCAACTCTTATTTTTATCGTCAATGATTTTTGAATTTAAAAAAAAAACTATATTTTTAACTTCCGGGGTTGATATTATCTAAAATCCCCTCCCCCCTACACCATTCTTAGAGGGAAAATTACTTGCTTGGCTTTTGATCCATCCTGTTTCGCGGATTGTCAAATATTGAGGTCTTAAATTTTCCAATGGGGGGGGGGATTAATTAATGAATTATTAAATGAAATAATATTCTATTTCCAGAACGGACATCATTTCGAAGTTTTTTCGTTTCTCTACTTCATTTTTTTTCTTAAGATCTTAATAATAAAGATGAAACTTCTTGATGTTGATGGATTGTTTAACGGTTATTGCTATGTTGCACCTAAAGGCGCGAACCTTAAATGTTTTCTGATGTTTAGAAGGTGAAGACGAGGTGGGAAAGTATAATATCGTCTTCACATTGGATTCTGATGTTCGATCCAATATAACGATCTTCTATCTTGCATCGGAAGAGGTTGGTGGATTTTAAGTGTTAGTGAATTTCAAATTCTAAGTCAATTCTTTTAATTTTGAAACGGTTATTTATCTTTACATAATGAAGCGTAATTGATTTGAATGATTTTGTTCTAAACTCGACACTAATTTGTACAGTTTAATTATAACTAGTTTTTTTAAGACTATAGTGAAAGATCTTATAAACTCTGAGTTTTAAGAAAAAATATGATGAGATTTATACCTAAACATACCTAAATATGATGAGATTGATGGCCTTAAACATACCTAAATATGATGAGATTTATACCTAAACATACCTAAATATGATGAGATTTATGGCCCTAAACATACCTAAATATGATGAGATTTATGGCCCTGATCATTCCTAAATATGATGAGATTTATACCTAAACATACCTAATTATGATGAGATTTATGACCCTAAACATACCTAAATATGATGAGATTTATACCTAAACATACCTAAATATTATGAGATTTATGGCCCTAAACATACCTAAATGTTTATGTCCAACCAGCGTCAATGAGTTGCTTTACCTGGCCACGCATGTGGCTCTCTTAGCATGCACAAGTATATCCAAGTATTTGCTTGTTTGATTGCTTCACATTAATTTTGTTTTTTAAGGTTGGTCCCCAAAGTGTTGTGTATACACCTAAGCAGGACACTATGTGCTCTCCAACCTATATTTACAGGGATGAATTGGTTTTTTATCTAAAAAAAATCATTAAATGAATTAATACTTCTTTGTTTTAATATTAAATTATCATGCTTAAATCTGAAATCCATCTGATTTACCAATTAAAAAAATTGCATTTAAAATAATTTTTTTGCCTTCAAATCTTATTTTCAATCTGGTGGCGTAGACCTAAATAATGATGAATACTGCAAAATAAAATACAAGAGTTTAAAATATCAGAGATTGACGACATCAGGTTGCAAAAATAAAATTGAACAGAAAACATAAAAATCAAGTCTAATTCTCAGTTCTTATAGCAAATGTTTTTAAACCTAATGAATCCGACAGGAAAGGGTCAGGACAAATGTTTTCCCAACCTGATCATATTTTCCAGGTAGATAATTTTTATTTACCAGGTAGATCATTTTTATTTACCAGGCAGATCATTTTCATTTTCCAGGTAGATCATTTTCATTTTCCAGGTAGATTACTTTCATTCTCCAGGTACGATCTCCAATTTTTAACGTCAAAATACGCAACATAATCATCGAAAGATCTAGCATTTTCTGCAAAAGAATTTATATTAGCCTTATACTAATTTTTTTTTAAATGATTCATTCTTCTTAAATTTTCTGATTTGTCCCCCAAATCGTAATTTAGACCTATCGACGCGGTCTAATTTGATGTGGAAACCCCTGTAGATAATTTTCATTTTCCAGGTAGATGATTTTCATTTTTCAGGTAGATTACTTTCATTTTTCAGGTAGATTACTTTCATTTTCCAGGTAGATCATTTTCATTTTACAGGTAGGTCATTTTTATTTTCAAGGTAGATCATTTTTATTTTCCATGTAGATAATTTATATTTACCAGGCAGATCATTTTCATTTTTCAGGTAGATTATTTTTATTTAACAGGCAGATCATTTTCATTTTCCAGGTAGATTACTTTAATTTTCCAGGTAGATTACTTTAATTTTCCAGGTAGATAATTTTCATTTTCCTGGTAGATTACTTTCATTTTCCAGGTAGATTACTTTCATTTTTTTTCTATAGCGCTTCCGGAGTATCCATCTTACTATACAACCTTTGTAGTCATACATTGTATCCAATAAGCTTTCTATTTGATCAATCCGGTATTTTCTAATTTTGACGCAGGCTCTCAAAATACAGATGGTTTTACAAATTAATTTTAAATAATGCTGGGGCGGGGGATAAATTAGGCTTTGATGTTTGATAGTTTTATGCGAACAGAGGCCGAATTTAAAGAATTTGAGCCGCGGCTTAGACTAAAGACGCGGCTTAAATATGGTTGGTTCCACTTAAAATTGTATTCAATGTTTCATGATTTAAGCCGGTGCTCAATTGAATCCAGTTATTGGCAGCATTGATACGCGGCTCAAATTCATTAAATTCGGACTCAGGTCCTTTAACTCGACGACAAGTTGAGTAGTTTAACAAGAGGCTCTTCGATCTGTTAACTGGACCTCCAGCTAATCTTTAACCCGTTGCAAGCAAAATATTTGATTCTTGATTTTGTGTTGCATATGAATATGATAGTCATGTATATAATATTTCTAGTGATTGACAAAAACTCGGATGGAACCTTTGCCTTGAAAACTTTAAAGCAGAAACTTTTTGTCGATGGTCTTTGTTATCTTCTTCAGGTATCAATTTAGTTAATTAGTCAGTTTACTTGAACAAACTTTATTGAATAATTAATTTATTGAAAACAACAACACACACCTTAAACTAAAAATTCATTAGTTCACCTACATTTTTGTTAATTTAACAATGTGTAGGTTTATTATTATGTAGAAATTGGGATTTCTCAATTTGAAATTGTTGCCATTACTGATAAACAAAATCAAATCTGAATAAAGCAGGGATTCGAAATATTTATGTTTGTGTGTAATGTGTACGGATATTTCAAAATTTAGGAAAATTGTAAATAGTATTTTCAGTTATATTATCAATCTTTTAATTTGAAAAAGACCAACTGAGGGATTTTAAATGGATTTGGTACTATGCATAATTCTTGTGGTATATCGGGCCAACATTTTGTGTGGGACCTCACATGACACCTGAAAAGTAGTAGTGGTAACAGATGAGTGTCAAGAGTTCAGTATTGATTGTTGAAATGTCGTCTTTATACTCCTCAGCTTTATGTATTCTACTGCATGTCTAAAACCTTCTGGAACTGGAGAATCTAGAAGCATAATCTTCGTTTTGTTTGTTTGTTTGTTTATTTGTCCTCTTTTATGTATGGTGCTTGGGCACCTTCAGATCAAAATGGCTCCTGGAGTTATCAATATTTCATTTTTTGGCAGAATAAAGTGTGGTGCTTGTCCACTTTCAGATCAAAATGACTCCTAGAGTAAATTATGAATTCTGGAGTAAGCATAAATAATTGAGTAACGATTAATCTTAAAGTAAGAATTAATCTTGGAGTAGACATGAATCCTGAAGTGAACATGAATCCTGGAGTAAGGATGAATCCTGTAGTAAGGATGAATGCTGGAGTAAGTATGAATCCTGGAGTAAGGATGAATACTGGAGTACAGATGAATCCTGGAGTAAGGGTGAATCCTGGAGTTAATATGAATCCTGGAGTAAGGATTTATCTTGGAGTAACAATTAATCTTGGAGTAAGGATTAATCTTGGGAGTAAGCATGAATCCTGGAGTAAGCATGAATCCTTGAGTAAAGATGAATCCGGGAGTACAGATGAATCCGGGAGTACATATGAATCCGGGAGTACAGATGAATCCGGGAGTACAGATGAATCCGGGAGTACAGATGAATCCAGGAGTATAGATGAATCCTTGAGTACAGATGATTCCTTGAGTAAGGATGAATACTGGAGTAAGGATGAATCCTTGAGTAAGGATGAATCATGGAGTAAAGGTGAATCCTTGAGTATCCTGGAGTAAGTATGAATCCTAGAGTAAGGATGAATCCTAGAGTAAGGATGAATCCTGGAGTAAGGATGAATCCTGGAGTAAGGATGAATCCTGTAGTAAGGTTGAATCATGTAGTAAGCTTGAATCCTGGAGTAAGGGTTTACTTGTTTACTTGAAGAGGAACTTCTAAGGGACCATCTTGATCCAAGGAAGAAGTGTCAGCTTTACTGGTGACTCATACCATTTCCGAGAACAGAGGCTTGATAGCTTAATTCATCAGGGTAGGGGGACACTTGGCTCAAATACATGTTTTTAAACTGTTTGACATTTCTTGCATTTTTGATGTTTTCAGGTAGTGCATTCCACTGCTGAACTATTCTATTGGAGAAGAAGTGTTTTCTTATATCCAAATTGGGTCTAAAAGCTACTATACAAAGGGACTGGTCACTTGTTCTGGTTACTCTCCTTTCAGTGTCACCATGCAGCTCAAACCAAATCTTTCTTTCCACATCATCTATTCCATGTATGATTTTGTAGGTGTGTACAAGATCGGTGTATGTTCTTCTCTCCTCCAGTGAGTCAGACCAAGTTCTTTTACCCTTGTTAGATAATTGGTTTCTTGTAATCCATTAACCTGTTTTAGAGCTTTTTTCTGGACATTTTCTAACCTTTCAACATCTGAAGTTAACCATGGATTCCAGACTGGAGAGGAGAACTCAAGATGAGGTCTTACATATGTCTTGTACAGATTTATATATGTAGTTCTATCTCTATAGGTGAAAGCTCTCAGGATCTGGTTCTGAACAGCCATAGCTGTGTTTGCTGCTTTCTGACACTGCATACTCGGTTTTAAATTATCATTAATTAGCACTCCAATGTCCTTTTCCTTTGTATCTGATTGGAGTTTTCCCCTCCAATGTGGTATTCATAGCGTGGATTGTTTTTTCCCATGTGAATAATTTTACATTTACTCACATTGAATTCATCCCCCACTTGACTGACCAGTCATAGAGGTTATTCAGAGCTAGCTGTTTGCATTAGAACTTGATCCTGAGCTGACTTGATTATCTTGGCCCCTTTAGAATCATCAGCAAACTTATTAATACAATCCAAGGTCTTCACTGCATCATCCAGGTCATTTATGTAGATTCTAAAAGCTTCTGGGCCAAAAACGCTGCCTTGTGGGACTCCAGACTCCACTGGCAACCACTCCGAGAGACTGTTCCCAACCTTTACTCTCTGTCTTCGATCTGTAAGCCAGTTTTCTATCCAACCAAGAATGTTTCCTGTTATTGACATTGATTTTATCTTCTCTAGCAACCTTAACTTGGGCACTTTATTGAAAGCTTTTGTAAAGTCCAAGTAGACCACATCTACAGGGTTTCCCCTGTCTACCTGATAAGTTACAAATTCAAAGAACTCCAATAAGTTTGTGGAGCAAGACTTATGTTTAGTAAATCCATGCTGGCTGGGGTTTATTAGATTGTTAGTAGACAGATGTTCAACAATTTTCTCCTTTATTAATTTCTCCATGATTTTACAGACTATTGATGTAAGGGACACTGGCCTGTAATTACTAGGACTCCCTTTTGTCCCTTTCTTGAAGATAGGAATTACAATAGCGTCCTTCCATTTACTAGCAGCTGTTTTTCAGAGATTTATTGAAAATTAACTGGAGAGGTTTGGAGATAGTGGTTTTCAAAGATTTAAGCAGTTTTCCTGATATTTGGTCTGGTCCAGGAGCTGAATTATCTTTTAGTTCAGATATCTTGCCTTCAATGTCAGTGACAGAGAATATGATGTTATCTAGGTCTGGTACACTTTCTTTAGCTTGGAGTACTGGAACATTTGACTGATCTTCCCTCGTAAAAACACTTGAGAAATAAGTGTTCAGCTGATCAGCCATTTCCTTGTTGTCTGTGATAACTTTACCAGATATGTCAAGCAGTGGTCCAATAGGATTTGTAGAAACAGTTTTACCTTTAATATAGTTTCTAAACTGAGCATTCCGAAAGTCTATTTTCTTAGACAGTTTAACCTCATATCTACGTTTAGCTTTTCTGATGGTTTTCTTAGTTAGTTTTTCCATTTCATTGTATTCAGTGAGGTCCTCTGGAGATCTTGTACTCCTATATCTACTCCATAATCTTATCTTCTTTCTGATCATTCTCAGGGTATTCGTATCCATTCAGTCAGGTTTGTTGCCTTTCTTACTTATCTTCCTTGGAACAAAACTGTGAAAAGCTTCAAGTAACTCAATTTTTAGTTTTAACCATGCCTCTTCAGTTGACAAATGGGATAAATTGTTTTTCCAACCTTGTCTTTCTATGTACTTGTTCATTTCAGATACAGATACAGATCAGCATTTTTTCAATCGTAAAAGAATCTCTCAGTATCATCCTTGTTCTGGTTTATGTTTAGTCCAATTTCAATAATTTCATGGTCACTTTTACCAAGTCTTCCTACAGGTTTTGTATAAAGAATCAAATCCGGTTCATTTTTTATTACTAAGTCCAATATGTTACCTCTAATCTGTGTGGGAAAATCCACTACCTGAGAATAATTGTTGGAAGTAAGGCTGTTGTAGAATTCTGAGCATTTCCTGTTTTCACTAGTTCCAGTCTCCCAGTTAATATGAGGATGGTTAAAGTCACCAATGAAAATACATTTATTATTTGAAGCATCACTCAATAGTTCACATAGAGTATCATTATTAGTGTTTGTAGAGTTAAGTGATCGGTAAATAACATAGATAGTCACCTTTTGCTTTAAGTTATTCACAATTGTAAAATTACAATATTGGTTAAAATCTGATTTATTGTTGTTTGCTAAAATATATTAATTGTCCTTTACATAGACCAAAATACCACCTCCTATACCTCTGGGGTTGTCACACCTGTCTAACCTTAGTTCAGGTACTAAATAGTAACCAGATAACTTGAGCAGAGCATTACTTATATTTTCATTACACCAGGATTCGGTTATGATGATAATGGAAGGAGAAAATTCATTTGCTACACATTCGAGCTCATTTATTTTTCCAACAATGCTCTGGGCGTTCATATAGAGGATCTTTAGTTGTTGGCCTCTGGCCTCTCCGCTCCTCTGGATCTGAGACTGGCTCCTCTCCCCTCCAGTTCCTCTGTTTCCAATTCTGACTCTGACACTGTCTCCTCCTCCTCCTCTCCTCCCCTGCTCTTCTTCCTCATGGAAAGATCCTCGTCTATTGGTGAATCCTGGAGTAAGGATGAATCCTGGAGTAAGGATGAATCCTGTAGTAAGGTTGAATCATAGAGTAAGGATGAATCATGGAGTAAGGATGAATCCTGGAGTAAGGGTGAATCCTGGAGTAAGGATGAATCCTGGAGTAAGGATGAATCCTGTAGTAAGGTTGAATCATAGAGTAAGGATGAATCCTGGAGTAAGGATGAATCCTGTAGTAAGGTTGAATCATGGAGTAAGGATGAAATCACATGTTGGGTTTGCACTGAAAATTGTTGTATTTTAAAGATTCCACGGGGAACGTTAGGCATTTATGCTAATTATCTATATTTAGGAGATCTACGGAGTTGAAAGGAAAGGAGTTGAGGAGATAATAGATGGAGAGCTCGATGATTCAGGTTCCCAGTTTTTAACATCTAAATGTATCATCGGTTTTCATGACGCTCACTTTCATTATTCAATCAAATATTTTATGTTGCAACTAGCTTGTGAACCCAACTCTTCATGTGTAAACTGGACTTTCTTTATGAAAGTAATTCGACTTAGAACTTTTGAACCAAAACAAGAACATTCTCGAGGGTCTGTCGAATTCCCCAATCAAAATTTGAGGCAAATCGGTCAAGGGGTTCCTGAGTTATGATCGAACATACAACAAACAGACAAACAGAGTTTACTTACTTTCTTATATTGTCGTAGCTCAGGGTAGATATTTTTTTAATATGACCCTAATATACGATGATTTTAAAATCAACATTAACAAAAACTGAGATCCCGACATAAATCTACTCTTTGGGCGTTTTTAAATCTTAATAATGATTTATTCAGGTGCTGAGTGTGTTGTGTGTATGTGTGACAACAGGGACACCCTGATCCTTCCTTGCCGACATCTTTGTCTCTGCAACGCATGCGCAGACTCACTTCGCTACCAGGTGTTAAATTATTTCCCTCCTTTTCTCAATTTCTGTTCCCACCATTCTTTTCTAATTCGACAATCTCTTTCGTTGTTCTCACATATTTTATATATAATTTTAAGGCAAACAATTGCCCGATTTGCCGAGCTCCCTTTCGCGCTCTTCTTCAAATCCGGGCGCTACAGAAAACAGGTAAATAGATTTTTGATATTGATTTATTATCATGCGCTAGTAATGTTTCTATAATTTCTATTTCTAGGACACTCTGCTACCCATCCTGCCCTGGCAGGTGAGGCACCTCCTGAAGGAGTTCCTCCTGGCTATGAGATCGTTTCCCTAGTGGAAGCTCTAAATGGACCATTCGCTCCCCCGCCACCGCCGCTTCAACTCACAGACGAAGGAAAGAAAAAGAAACAAAAACGGCGGGCATCAGTTCCACACGGAAAGGACGGAAAGAAATCAGGTGAACTAATTATAATAAGAATATAAAATATTCTCCTTTAATATCTTTATTATGTTTTGCTATCATGTTGTTGTTTAATGTACAGTTTGATATTTCACACCACTTTCTATTCTTCACTGCTAAAACTTTATTGGAAAAAATAAATTAATAATTTTTTAAGTTGACAAAACTGTTTTCCCGCCAGTAGAAGAGATAGATCCGGCTTCTTTACCGCCACCGCCGAGTCCGCCGCCCCATCCTGCCGCTGGTGATGTGACAATTGTAAACGAAAAGAAGAATTCTGCTAGATCTATTACGAAAAGCAAGGTAAAACTTCATTCACATCAATGAAGTAATTGCATTTTTATGGGGTCCTTGTTTTATGGATTGATGGACTAATGGACTCTTGTGATTGGTGGATACATAACTGGGTGGACTGATCAATCGATCAATCAAATTGATTTTTCTTTCCATTGATGAACTGAAAAATTTGTTGGATTTTCAGTAGGTTGACGGAGAAAATGAAGGATGAATTAAAGATTAAATGGATTAACAAATGAATGGATTAACGAATAAATGATTAAATGGATTAAAGGATAAATAGATTAACGAATAAATGGATTAAAGAATAAATAGATTAAAGAATAAATGGATTAACGAATAAATGGATTAACGAATAAATGGATTAACGAATAAATGGATTAACGGATAAATAGATTAACGAATGAATGGATTAACGAATAAATGGATTAACGAATAAATAGATTAACGAATAAATAGATTAACGAATAAATAGATTAAAGAAAGTATGGATCAACGAATGAGTGGATTAACGTATAAATAGATTTACGAAATGAGTGGATTAACGAATGAATGGGTTAACGAATAAATGGATAAACGAATGAATGGGTGGATGGATCTACACTTAATTGGAGTTATTTATAAATATATATTTGATGAGTTTAAGGTGGATTGGGATTTTCAAATTTATTGATTGATTTAGAAAGCCAGAAGTTTTATTTAAAGATAATTTTCAGAGCTACGAAAATATAAAGATAATTTTCAGAGCTACGAAAATATAAAGATAATTTTCAGAGCTACGAAAATATAAAGATAATTTTCAGACCTACGAAAATATAAAGATAATTTTCAAAACTACGAAAATATAAAGATAATTTTCAGAGCTACGAAAAGGAAGTTGGCACTGCAGAAGAGCACAAAATTACACTAGAAGTTTTATCCCAGGTTTTTAGATAATTAAGTTATTGCTTTTTAGTTTGATGATATATAAAAAAAATTTCGGCTTTATATGGTAAGAAAAAATTGCTCAGTGTTCAGTGTTCAAATTATACTGTTACATTAAGATCGGGTAATATTAGCAAGTAAGTGGTTTTTATTTTTTATTTTTTATTGTCTAATAAATAATTTTCCCCCGGTATATTGATAAGTTCATTTTTTTACGCTGAGAAGGGGAAAATTAAAAATGATAAGGGGAAAAGTTTAAGAAGGAGGGGAAAACTTGGTTTTGTATTATCCCCCCCAAACTTTCGAAAATACCGAAATACATAATAAATATTAAGGATTCTGTTCTCAGTGGAGGGTCTGATATAGTGGAAGAGGAACTTCAAAAGGTGCAGGTCAGCTGATAAGAATTGTCCGGGCCTTCTCAATATTAGTGTAACATCTAAACATTCCAATAAGTTGGGATTTCATCGAAACATACTTTAACAATTATTTAAATAAACAAATTGATAAATATGTGACTAACCTTTTTTTAAGAATGGGGGGGGGCATTATTCCCCCAACCTCTTTTGTTGGTGGGTTTTGATTATTTCTTCCTCGAACTAACTTAATTTTGTATTTTGTTACGTTTAATTACTTCAGCAGGCATATAGGTTTGGTCGAACGTTGATAAATACTTTTCATGAGAATTTAGGAAGAGGATGTGCCTCTGATTGAAACAGAGGTTAAGGACGAGGACAACCCCAGCGCAGAAGCTAAGGAGGATCTGGAAAACGATAAAGACCACTTGAAGGATGAACAAGAGGTTGGAAATGTTCAGCAGGACAAACTTATCAGGTTGTTATACAATCACGGTTCCTATCTTGCAATTCTTGTTTCTCCTCATTATTCTTATTCATTATTATCCATTATAATTCATTCTTTATCCATTTAAATTCTCTAACCATTCTTATTAATCCTCATTCATTCTCGTTCATTATTATTCATCCTTATTCATCCCCATTCATTCAAGTTCATCTTCATTCATTCAAATTCATCCTAATCCTCATTCATCATCCTTCATTCTCATTGATCCTTATGTTTCCTTATGTATCCTTATTCATCCTCATTCATCCTTATTAATCATTGTTCATCCTTATTTATCCTCATCTATTCTAATTCATTCTCATCCATTTAAATTCTCTCACCATTCTTATTCATCCTCATTCATCCTTATCATTGTTCATCCTTATTCATCCTCGTTCATCCTTATCATTGTTCAACCTTATTCATCCTCATTCATTTTAATTCATCCTCATTCATCTTCTTTCATCCTCTTTTATCCTCGTTCATCCTCTTTCATCCTCATTCATCCTCTTTCATCCTCATTCATCCTTATTCCTTATGCAATGTAATCCAAAACCGTCCTAAATGCAATATAATTAATTCTCAGTTCTTCTTTAATCACCAAATTCTCTCCTATTTCTTTTATTTAATTTACTCTTCTTTGCTCTCAGATCTGGTGTTTTGTGCTCCAACTATTCTCCTGAATTTGGAACAGCCTCGGATCCGGAGGATGTTGATGAGGATCTAGAGGATGTTGAAGAGGATCTAGAGGACGAAGGAGACGATGATGTAGAGGATGATGATGTCGAGGTCAGCTTAAACAATACATTTCAACGAACAAAAAATTACTTTTCATGGAAAAAAATACCTTTTTCATTTAAAAAAAAAATTTTCATTGACTAAAAATTTTTTTTTTGAGATTAAGCCATATTTTTGAAACATCAAGATGCATTGTGTTGATAGACTCACGGGAAAAGCAAACCAAAGAATGAATCGTTGACAAAGATCGGGCTAAAAACCCAGAGTTTGGATAAGAACTGAAACTCTGGCCCTTACAAAGGATGCTTCAAATAATCCCTGTAAAATATGATGTAATTTTTTATTCGATTTAAGGTTGTTTCTCTTCGTGGACTAAAACAAGAGGAGCAGCTATCTCTGCCTGGAACACCTAGGTATCCTTGAAACCTTCGTTTGAGCAATAAAGATATAAGATACAGGAGTTTATTCTATCTTAAAATATATATTTTTTTACATTTGGTTTTCTCTTTAAAAGTGACTTTATGCGGCAGAAACAATGTAGGGAAGTATCAGAATTTTACACTTTAAGCTAAAAAATAGACGAAATCTTCCTCATCATTGATCAGATAACGGGCTAAAGAGCACTGATGTAAATCGGGCATAGCCCTCTTTGAAATACGAGTCACTTGAAATTATTAAATTTTTTGTTTCAAAATTGATAAATTATATCTTGATGATCATGAAAATGCGCCCTTTGGTTACCCCTCCCCTATTTTTTTCAAATGACTTTGCTTTTTTGTTTCTCTGTTTTCAGAATGAATCCAAACTTTATTTCTAATTTTTATCTGAACAATCGTGTTTTTAATCTTTCATTTTGATTTTAATGTTTTCTTATAAAGTTGTTTTTATACAATACTCCATTGTTTAGGTCTGGGAATAGTATAAGATCAAGTCAGGAATCTTCTACAAGTGTTAACTCAACCAATCAGCTACTGGGCAGGGAGAGAAGGGAGGGGGATGATGTGGAAGGAAGTTTACGGAAGGAAGATAGGAAGAAACGCGGGAAATCTTCTATTGTATCCGAAGCTGATGAAATGGCTTGAAACCAAAATAAAATGGCGGTTTCAGGCCAAAATATCTTCCCTTTGTTGTAAAACATTGACTTATACGTTCATTTATCTTAACCCACAGGATTCAGAGTCCGAATTTATTGAACTTGAGCCGCCATAAACCGGTTTCCATTGAGCGCCGGCTTAAATCTTGAAAGATTGAATACGATTTTAAGTGGAACCAATTATATTTGAGGTGCGGCTTAAATTTAAGCCGCGGCTCAAATTCTTTAAATTCGGCCTCAGGCTGGATTTTTTAACTAAAATTTTATATAAACCTTAGCCAAGCAGATTTAGTTTATTTATGTTGTAAAGATCTATATTTGTGATAAAGTTTGACCGCAGTAGTATTTTTAAGTATTTTTAAGTATATTTTAAGATACTCCATACTCATTTTTTGTAAAATTTCACGATATTCAAGTTCTGCAGATTGTAACATTTAATTATGTTCCCTTACTTTTCGTTTTTAAGGCATGTGATAAAGCAATAATTTTGATTTTCAGTTCTGTCTTATCTAAGTATCTATTTAGTATGTATCCCTTTAAATATTTTTTATCATCGGTGTATTGCATCTAATGCTGGCAAATATTAGAAAAATTAACAAGAACAGGTGATATCACCAGGGAAAAGGGTTAAAACTTTAATCAACCGATTATAATTAGTTTTGTCAATTTAAAAGCGACCAGCTCGATGTTAGTTTGTTAATATCGCATTTTAAAAATTGAGGTCATCTTGGTGAAAACATTGAGTTTTATTTCAGATGGAAGAGGATGATTTAGAATGTGATATTTGCCGCGAAGTTTGCCTAAACCCATACTCAACATCATGCTGTCAGAATAAGGTATAACAATCAATCAAACAATCAGTTACTAATTAGAAGCAAAAGAATGTTAACTTTTTTGAGGGATTTAAAAACTTTAATTTAAATCGGAAACAATCAAAAAAGTAAAAATCACGAGAAAAACCATTCTGTCCCAAATAATTAGATGCGTTATTTTTTTTTGAAAATCAGCACAATATAAACGGAAACTGGTACTTTTGCCTAGGAACAAATAAAATAACTTTCTACCCAAGATCCCGAAATTGTGAGTAAAAATGCGGGATAAAAATTCTCACAAAATTAAACAACTTAAAAGAAACTAGAATCGCGAGAAATAAATCGCAAAATATGCAAAATTAATTTGGTTTAGACATGCTGTGCATAGCTTAGCAGCCAGGATTGGCCGGATGGCTACCGGATGAATTATTACTTAGTTCTGCCGAAAAAGTACTAACAAACGTTTTTATTTTTTTCTCAATTTACTTTTGATTTTTAGGCTTGCCGAATATGTGGATTATCATTTGTGTTAAAAAACAGGTAATTACAGTATTTACACTATGAGGATATGTTCCTCTTTCTTCAACGTCGACTATTGGATGCATAAGGGAGTTTAGAGAGAAGGAAAAATAGGCGTAGTCAGGATGAAATGGCAAAAATTACTAAAAATAGAAAATAAAATAGGAGGAATAGAAATGGTTATGGATAAAGAAAGTACGATGTGTATTAATGGATTAATGAAATAAATATAAATATATATGTAGAGTCTGCTGGGATTATGTGTATTAAGACCAATGGAATAATAAAATAAATATAAATATATATGTAGTCTGCTGGGATTATGTGTATAAGACGAATGGAATTATGAAATAAATATAAATATATATGTAGAGTTGGCTGGGATTATGTGTAATAAGACGAATGGATTAATAAAATGAATATAAATATATATGTAGAGTCTGTTGGGATTTTGTGTATTAAAGACGAATGAAATTATGAAATGAATATAAATATATATGTCGAGTCTGCTGGGATTATGTGTATTAAGACGAATGGATTAATAAAATAAATATAAATATATATGTAGAGTCTGCTTGGATTATGTGAATTAAGAGCAATGAAATATATATAAATGTAGAGTCTGCTGGGATTATGTGTATTGTGTATTTAGACGAATGGATTAATGAAATAAATATAAATATATATGTAGAGTCTGCTGGGATTATGTGTATTAAGACCAATGGAATAATAAAATAAATATGAATATATATGTAGAGTCTGCTGGGATTATGTGTTGTGTATTAAGACGAGTGGATTAATGAAATAAATATAAATATATATGTAGAGTCTGCTGGGATTATGTGTATTAAGACCAATGGAATAATAAAATAAATATAAACATATATGTAGAGTCTGCTGGGATTATGTGTTGTGTATTAAGACGAGTGGATTAATGAAATAAATATAAATATATATGTAGAGTCTGCTGGGATTGTGGTGGAGAAGCTGCACATAAAGATCTTAAACCCAATAAGTCTGTCAGGTTTGAGATTTTTTTTTCATTACCCAGTATTTTGGTTTTTGCCTAATATTTACTTTAATTTCTTCTTTTACTTTCTATTAATTTTTTATTTTTGATTTTTCGTTGGTTATTTATTTTGTATTAAACCAAATTTATAATTTTAGAATTAAGATTGCTAAAGCTAACCCTTCACCTCCCTCACTACCCCTACACTGTGATTTGTGTGGAGAAGTTGCACAGGTGAAATATATTGGATTTTAAAATATTTTAATATTATTGCGACGTTAGAAGCGTTTATACAGTATACACAGGATTATACAGGGTTTATTGCGTAAATATTATTATAGTTGAAGCAAAAGACGGGATTATTACCGACAGACTGTTTTATTCAGTCTTATCAAATATTTTATTTTTAATGACAGAAAAAAATCATCGTTAATGAATTATACCTTTATGAAGTCAGAATGGTTTGTTAATTCAATACTTTATTTGATGCGATTTTATTGATCAATAAATTATTATGTTTTACCTTACTTACTTGAGTTGGAGTCTGAATGATTGATTTTCTAGAAGGGAGTTCGGACTTCATGCTGTTCCCATCAGGCGTGTCGAAGCTGTGCTAGAAAATTTGTACTAATTAATAGGTGACAATCATATTATCTTTGACGTGTTTAATAATTAAAATTTTAGATTATTTCAATTTTGTAATTTTATGTCTTTAATTAAAGCCTGTCCGCCCCGCCCAATTTCTAGGAACCATTTATTTGAAACGTTTCTTGCCTGGTTTTTTTTTCACGGAAACCTTTTGTAAGTTTTGGATTAACAGCGAGGAAAATATTGTCGTGTTTATCTTAATCCTCCCCGTTTCTTTAAATGTCTCTGTTGCATATCAAATCCACGGGTTACTTTTTCAGATAACTATTATAATTATCAGTTTTCAGATAGAATATAAGAAAAATTCAATTATCTCGGACAAAGATTGTAAGTCGGACAAGTCCCTCTTTAATGGGAGGGGCACTTAAAATTACGAAACAGATTTTGTTGCAGAATATGTTTTGGCGAGGGTTGTGGTCAGGAGGATGTTTGGATATCCATTCTCGAAACCGATCTCAGCCTCAGGACTGCGGTCCACATGTACAGGTCCAGGGGAGGGATGGACCAGGAGATCCTCCAGGAGCTACGGACCAGGGACCAGGACCTCGACGAGAACGGGAGTTCAGATGACCGGGTTCCACCCGTTGACAGTCTATTCCTGGTCCAACCTGGAGCTAAAGCTCTACCGTCCCAACCCGTACCCACCTCATTCTCACCCTTCTCAACAACATTCAACTCTCAGCAACCTTCGCAATCCTTCTCGAGCTCGTTTTTTTCCAAGCCCTCGAGTCCTAGTCCAGATCCAACGAACCCTCAAAGTGTACAGGAGCAGTCGTCAGTGAACGGAACCAGTGACTCGAAAGGTCGAAGTTTCCGTGACGAAGATGTTGATTCTGATCTACGAGATATGACGATATCTCCGGATGTGATGGAGTTGGACTCTGAGGAGGAGAGGGAGAAGGAGGGGGAGAGACAGGAGCAGAACGATGAGAGACGGGAGCAGAACGATGAGAGACAGGAGCAGGACGATGAGAAGACAGTTCACGAAATCCAAGATTCACAAGGTAAGTCCAAATTTAATCAATTTTTATTTTTTAGAATTGATACTTTAAAATAATGATTTTACTAGAAAATGAAAATGGTAGTTAAAAAGAAAGCTTCTGTGTTACATATTTATACTTCATAGTTAATTTGTGAATTGAATCAATTTTGAAAACCATTTCATCTCAATAATTTTTACTTCTCTAATATTAATCTTTTCAGATGAAGTAGAGATTATTAACGGGGATGATGACGAGGAGGTTAAGGAGAAGGATATAGAGAACCTTGATAACGATTCTTCTCAGGATGGTTCGGAGTCTATCAAGTCGAGAGACGAATCAGTTACCTCAGGTAAACTAGGGAGTAATAGAAGTGCACAGTTTATAACATGCATAATTTTGTTTCAGTTGCATACAAAGGAATTTTTCCAGGGGGGTGGACTTAGCTTTTTTCTTACGAGGGGGGTCATAAAAACTCCCTGGAAACCATATATTTTACTTATTAAGGGAGGGGCCGAGCCCCCCGCCCTGTGTACGCCTCTGGTTTATTTTTAAAGAATCTTTATTTTCCTGAAATTTTCTAAACCTAATTTTACTTAAGAAGTTGGTAGTGGAGGAGAGTGGATATTTAAAAATGGCGAAGGTTGGGCGTTAAACTCCCCAAACCGGAAACAGAAGCTGTCCTCCACCTGGGTCAAGGATAAGAACGGCTGGTCTGTCAGGAAGGATGTCTCCGAACCCCCGGAGATTCAACCCGAAAAATCCATGGACACTGATAAAACCGAATCTAGTGATGCGACTGAAAAATCCGGGAAACGGAATATTGAGTCGAACCGAACAAAGACTGAACAGCATAAGAGATTAAAGAAGGACAGTGAGGCCCCTTCTTGTATTACAGTCGGTAAATTTACCCTATATACTCAGAACATGAACTATGTGCTTGTCCGGCTGACCAACCACCCTCCCAACGTAGATTACGTCTGGGTCAAGTACACAAATTCTTTAGTTACAAAATTATCTCAGTATGATGTAAGTCGGATCAGTCAGAAATGCCGCGTTCTTCATGTTGACGATGTTGCATTTATCTATTTAAACATTCAACTAAAGGGACTGGAAAAGTATTCTCCTGTGATCCTGAACCAGAATTTCAATGTTGGGAACTACACAGTGCTAAACGAGCAGATAACGTTGAGTCCAGTCAATATAATAATGGACTTCTGTGTTGATTATTCAATTGGAGAAATTCTTTTAGGAAAACAATCAACTTAGTCTTTTAATCTAATGGAAGATTCGTCTAATTTTAATGGAAGATGGGTCTTTAATTTTAATGGAAGATGGGTCTTTATCTTATGGAAGATGGGTCTTCTATTCTAATGGAAGATGGGTCTTTTATTCTAATGGAAGATGGGTCTTTTATTCTAATGGAAGATGGGTCTTTTAATCTAATGGAAGATGGGTCTTTTAATCTAATGGAAGATGGGTCTTTTAATCTAATGGAAGATGGGTCTTTTAATCTAATGGAAACTTTTTGTTTATATTCTGTTTAATTTATCCTTTTTGAATCATGAGCCTGCTATTGTTTAGTCTTTCAAGTTGATTGTTTCTGCAGGGGAGCAACCCCAGCTAGTCAAAATCTATCTCAGATTTCAGAAGACAGAAAACGTTTCTAAACGCTCTATACTAACGGTATGAGAGTGTTTTATTTAAAATTTTGTTTAAATTTCCAAATAATTTTTTAACCCCAATTTTTTAACTATGATTAGTGAAATAACGAATGATTGAAAAATTCTTTTTAATATTTCTTTTTAGGAATTGTTCATTATATCCCAGTGCTGTAATCAAAGAATTGAAATCCTTAGTCCTTTCTTTAGGAAATCCATTGTTCCATCAATTTATTAGAATCACCGTCCCCCCCCCCCCCCCCCCCCCCAACCAACCAAAGCTGTTACTAGTGGAGGGGGAGGGCCCCCCTCCCCTTCCACTAGCAATAGCTTTATTCGCTTGCAATTTCTCAGCGAGTTTTTGTTCAATCATTGGTTTGTGGGAAGTAAGTTTTTTTTCTGGAGCAATTTGAAAAATTCACATCCACAAAGTTTAATTTGAAAATGATGGAATATGGAGGATTTTCATTATAGACCTAATCCATGTAAGTACCTTGCTCCACAGAATGTAGTGTCAAACGATATGACTGCAGACATACTCATGAAAGCCAAAGCAGGTGAGACATGTTTTTTATAATTAGTTTTTAAGTACGTAGCTCGCCATTCCTTTTTTATTGGGATGGGGGGGGGTGACTTGGCTTTTGTCTGTTGATTTTTGGGATTGGGAAAGCTCAACCCATATTTTCGTGGTTGGAAATTAAAATATTAAAAATTCAGGTGATATATTATTGTTAGATTTGATTTGATGTAAATTGGGTGGTGTATTTTTCGACCTACGCAAATCCGCACTGCTTCACTTCTGACTTACGACAAATCTGCTATACTACACATCCGACCTACTAGCACGCGATTTTACAGCTGCTAAATGGACTTGTGGCCGTTGCGCTCGGTCCCCTAGCCTGTCCAAGCCGCGTTGCTCAGCCCCCTAGCCTGTCCTAGCCGCAGCGCTCGGCCCAGAAATTGTCTTAACCTAACCTGACCCTCAAATGATACGAAAATAAACAGCTGGCGTAGGTTCGATATTGCAGTATGTCGGAAAGTTAGTTGGTCAGAAGTTCAGTAGGGGACATGTTGCGTATAGACGATGTAATATTACCGTAAATTGGTTTGTTCAGGAGAAAGAGTTCTTCTCCGGGGTAAGGAGTATGTTGGGGAAGTTATGAGCTGTGAAAACTCGTCAACGTTACCAAAGGTGGCTGAAATGTTCAGTTTTACACTCAACCCAGACAGTGACGTCATCAGTGTCGACAGTGAGGATAGTGATGATTTAGGTATTATTCATTAAGGCGAACTTGTATTTGAATTTTAGAATTACTTTCCTGAGCTTTATGGGAAAAATAAAAAGAATTGTTTGCATTTCATTTGATTTTTGAAATTGAATTTTAAAATATGCACTCCGCACCTTAGGTTATTTTTAAGTAAAAATATATTGCATTTTCTTGTTGTTTGAAGAAACCCTTAAAAATGGAAAAGACATGGAGTTGTGTTATTGATTCTTTAACATCTTTAAAACAATGATATCACACTATTTGACTCTTGGCCTGTGATAAAAGTTTGAATGGTGCCATTTAAATCTTTAGAAGGACTTTAGTTTGAAGAGTAACGGATAAATATCTTGGTAGCTTTATAAACTTATCTTTATTAGAAATAATCGGTAAAAGTGGTGGAAAAGAGGACACGGCTGACAATGCCCCAGAAACCGTCGACAAATCTGTGTTTGATGAATTAGGTGAGTTGATAGAATAGATTCAAGAAATAGCCTAAATTTTTTCTTCTTTCAAGTTTTTGTCCTGTGAATTAGAATTTGACTAACGTGCAATGAAGCGTGATTTTTCTTTAATTATCTATTTATTATTTATTATCGTAATATTGATACAATTTTAGATGCTGAAACCAGACTAAACATGACAGAGAGCAAAAAGGAGGAGGGTAACATGCTTTTTGCTAAAGCTTGTTACAGTCTTGCCAGTCGTAAATATGGCGAAGCTCTTCTTCTGTGTCCCGAGAATGCTGCGCTTTACGCTAACCGTGCCGCGTGCCATATTGCATTGAAAGATGGGGTCAAGGGTTATGAGGACGCTTTAAAATCCATTGAAATAGATCCTAAATACGCCAAGGGATATTTTCGTGCGGCTAAAGCGTCAATCTTGGAAGGGAATCTATCTCTAGCGAAAGTGTACTTTGACCATGTCTGTGAGTTGGACCCTGAGGGAGTTACAGAGGAGGAATGGAAGAATTTGGAGGCATTGACGAAAACTTCGGAAGATTTAAAAGAATATTTAGCCAATAAAGATCATGCCAGAGCACTAGACACCATTAAGGTAAGCTAAAACTAAAAGATTTTAAAGTTATAAAAAATAAAATGTTATCTAAAGTAGAATATTAAAAGGCCATTGACCAATGTTTCTTAAATATGCCTTTGATCATTTTTATTTCTTCAGGATATGATCTTTCAGTGTCCAAGTAGCCTCAAATTAAGTATTATCAAGGTAAAAAAATATACATTGAACTTCAATTCACACACCTCTGCCCCTGTAGTAAAAAAGTAAATTCAACCTTTGTGAAGCATAAAGTCTGACCGCTTCAACCTTGTTGCACCGGCTAGCCCTGTCCATAGAGCTAAGTACAGTACAAAGAAGGTCCGGAAAGGTTGACCCGGCTCGGAAATTCAAATGCACTACGGCTGCCGTGAATTAAATATAATATTTTATATAAAATAGTTAAATTTTAGTCTTTATGGCGTATTTTTCAGGCTGAAATATTAGCACTGATGGGTACATTTGAAGAAAGTAATCGAATTATCAACGATATCAAAGGATTCAACTCTATTCCAGACTGCCTGTACATCAAGGCACTGTGCTTGTATTATAAGGTGAAACTATTTCTGCTAAAAGTTCAAAAGTTAGTCTTTGTCATACAACTAGAGAAAGTCATTGTTTATGTTTTTATTAATCTCAGGACTCCTAGTTTTTTCTTAATCGTTATTTTTCAATTGTTTTTAGGCGTTTCTGTCAACTTTTTTATAATCTTTTTTGGCTCCCTTTATTAGATACGAATTTTTCACCTAATTATCATATCTAAATACGAATTTCAGTTCTACAAAAATCCAGTCGTAACCCCAAACCATCATTTCTTTGTATAAAGTGTCCTGAAGTATCTCAGATAATACAATTCTGCTAAAGATTGCAAAAATACATTTTACCCAAAATCTTAATCCAATTTATACCTGGTTTCTTGGTTATAATCAGTGCTCAGGATCCATTTAATTTTGATGCGAATCCGTATCCTGGATCCGCACTGGAAAAAATAGATCCGGATCCAAATCCAGAAATGAGTAAATTTTATAATCTCTCTTTTTTCAAAAGTTCAGATTTGGGTTTTAGGAGTAAAAAAGTTTTTTTTGCAGTTTTTGGTTGAAATTTTACCCCTTGGATCCGGATCCGTGGATCTGCATATTTTTGCGGATCCGGATCTGAATCCAGGAAGCCAAAATCTTGCGGATCCAACGGATCCGGATCCCAAGCACTGGTTATAATATTATAATATTAGGATAACGCGGACCTTGCAATTCATTTTCTAAAAGAAGTTTTCCTGCTGGATCCAGAACACAAGAAGGGAAGAGAAATCCAGGTCAGAGTCAAAGACTAATCTCTATATTTTGTTGTCCGTTGGATTAAATCATTTAGAAGATTAGAAGATTAGAAGATTAGAAGATTAGAAGATTAGAAGATTANGCATAATAATTAAAGATTAGTCGATTAGTAAATTAGTAAATTAGTAAATTAGTAAATTAGTAAATTAGTAAATTAGTAGATTGGTAGATTGGTAGATTGGTAGATTGGTAGATTGGTAGATTGGTAGATTGGTAGATTTGTAAATTAGAAGATCGACCAATTAGAGGAAAATTTGCTCTTGACCAAAAAGTGATAGAAGAAATAAAAACCAGCTGTTATTTTCAAGTGTTCACTGTGGACATTGAGTTCAAGCGTTCTAGTAGATTAGAACTTTTTCCTACAAAACTTTAAACCCTGGGAAACATATACTTGCAAGATCGACTCCTCGGATCCAGTCCCTGTTTAGGGGTCCACCAAACTATAAACTATAAAGAGAGGGATTAGGTTGGTTTACAGTTTATTGCGCCGGAGATCTCCGGAACTAGTTTCTATTACACTTAAACAAAAAGAGGATTGGATACAAGTCGCGGTATTTAATGTTGTTTGTTTTTAATAATATTCTTTAGTTCTTCATCTGAAGAAAAAGTACTTAAACCCTACTGTCAAAAATCTTTATTGCGATGTTTAGGAGAAAATAGAGAAATGGAAGGAGTTGAAGGAGCAGGCTCAAGTCAAGATAACGGAGGAAAAGTACCTGGAGGCAAAGAAACTTTATGATGAAGCTTTAGAAGGTAAAACATGCTCCTTCCTCACAACATCCTTATTTGAAAGAATTAAAACTTTATTTCTCTGTAATTTTCTTAAATTTTTCCGAATTTGTTGATTACTCTCCTCCTCCCATAATAATGTTCATCAAAACCAATTCTAGTTGATCCTGAAAATAAGTATATTATAGTTGATCCTGAGAACAAGTATATTCTAGTTGATCCTGAGAACAAGTATATTCTAGTTGATCCTGAGAATAAGTATATTCTAGTTGATCCTGAAAACAAGTATATTATAGTTGATCCTGAGAACAAGTATATGAACAGCAAGATCTATCATCTACGTGGGTATGCCCTGGCTAAAGAAAACAAGCATCTGGAAGCTATTGAAGATTTTACTAAGTCTGTTGAATTAGACAGGCTTTATACTAAAGCATATCATTCAAGGTAAAAGAATAATTTCTCACTCACCTGGGGTGGGGTTTCATTAATCATGTGTTCTGTTAAATCATTCGTGTTTCCATGAAAATCATTAATGTTTCCTTGAAAATCATTCATGTTTCCATGAAAATCATTAATGTTTCCTTGAAAATCGTTCATCCTTGGAAATCATTCATGTTTCCTTGAAAAACATTTATGTTTCCATGAAAATCAATGATGTTTCCTTGAAAATCATTCATGTTTCCTTGAAAATCTGTATGTTCTCCAATATTCCTAATATTATGTGTGGGGGACTGGGGGGAATTATTTTCACCCTAAAATATACACTCCAGCTTTTTCTCATTACAATATTTTACGTTTTTTAAAGGTCTAAATCATACACTGAGCTAGACCTGTTAGAAGATGCTCTTTGGGATGCTGAGATGACCATAAGGAAATAATTCATCATAATTTATAGATATCACTAATAGTTAAACAAATAGAAACTTAGCTAAAAGTTAAGAAAAGTATTTGAATTAAAAATGTTGTTTCGAGAGTGGTTTAATACCTTACTTGGACCTCGCTAAGTATCCAAGTTGGTTTAGCTATTCAAAAACCTTCCAATTCTCTTTCTCTTTATCATCCTAGTTTTTTCTACCTATCCATCTTTCTCCCTTCCCCTTGAATGAACACTTGGGTCTTCTCTCTTTATTCTTGATCCCAATGTAGAGATGCTAAAATAGTTATGATGATATGATATGAAGAATAAGTTACTTCAAATTTTCTTTAAGAAGTAAATAAAAATCTTTCAGTGTGGGTATCAGGTTACAGATACTTATGGGCAATAGATTCTACATTTTGTATTCTGCAACAATTTAGATTTAAAATCAAATCGTTTAGTTTTCTTTCCGCACATTTAACTTAATAGTTTACAGTATTTATAAACATTATTTTATTTAGTATCTCCTAAAGCTTCCTTTCTCCTCCTCCTCAGAACAGTGACATGAAAAATAAGAATACATTTTGAAAGCATAATTTTATGCAGAACAAATGTCAACATATTTTAATATTTTTATTATTAATATTCTGAATGCTGAATATTTGAAGAATGGAGAGTAACAATGCTGTATATAGACAATTTTTTAATGAAACCAAGGTAGGCAAATTTTACACTAATAAAAAGATAAAAAATTAACAAATTTTCTAATGTTAGGCTAAACACGACGAGGCAAAGTCTGCTGACTTCTACAAACTGTTGGGAGTAGAGAAGAAGGCAAGCCAGGAGGAGATCAAGAAGGCCTATAGGAAAGCGGCCATGGTCCATCACCCCGACCGCCACTCAACCGCCGTAGAGAAGATAAAAACATTTCATGAGAAGCGGTTTAAGGAGATCGGCGAGGCCTACGGTGTGCTTAGTGATGAAGCTAAGAAGTTGCTTTACGACAAGGGTTTATTGTATAAGAGTATTCAGGCGCAAACTCCAGCGCACTATTCTAACGTTAACATCTCCAATATGGCAATGCGGAATGCTGCTTTGTGGGCTACTCTTGCTCAGCAGGTACAGAGAAAATAAAGCATAATAATTAAATCTAATAATTCGACAATAAAAAAGAAATGAGCGGTGAAACTAATGAAACAAGTAGTTTTTAATAGTTCTTGTTTTTTTTTTACTTACTGAGCTGCGTCAGTTTGTCGATTGGTACAAACTATTTTTATAGATAAATATTTAAAATTTTAAAATATTTAATTGTGTTCTTTTTTTTACAGCAGCAGGCGCAAGCTGCCCAGGCCAGCAATATGCGGCATGGTGAAGGGATGAGAAATTCACGTGGTACCGGTCTGGCAGGTGCTCAGCCCGGAGCAAGGATGACTGGCCCTGGACTAGCGGGCGCTTCTCCGTTCCTGTTCGTGCCCGGGACTGCTGCAGGTGCACAGCGGTTTCAGAACTATCACCAGATGAATAGACCGGCCTTCAGCAATATGAACAGCTTTCAGCAATTCCAACGATTTCAACAATATGGTTATCAACAGAATCCGTATAGAAAATACTGATTGTCTTAATAGAGTCTTTTCTGAGTTAGAACTAGGCGTGTAAGCTTCTTTAAGACACATACATCAAGAATACTTCCTGCCATTTAAATTTAAAACCCAGTACAGTTTATTTATATATCATTTTACATTTTGTGTCATAAGTCATTTTGTTCAGATATTTTTTTTCTTTCGTGAGGGGGAGGGGGTCGTTTTTGAATTTCTTTTTGTCTTAAAGAATAATAGCGGGAAGTACATCAAACAATGCAATGTTATGCATATGTTAATGTAAAAATATGACATGAAATATGAAGTTGACTAAAAGTTATGTTTATTTCAGAAAGCATGGATTTATCTAGTCCCAAAGTTACAAATGAAGAAAAGTTAAACCTTTGCTCTAAATACTTTAAGGAACACAATATTTATTTAGTCCTGATGATCAACTGTAGACAAGCACTAAAATGCAATTTTTCAAGCTTAAATCAATGATATTAGTTTTAGACTCCAAGTTAGTAAAAACATGTTAGGGTCAGTCCTAGATTCTTTTCAACTTTTTTATTAGAATTTCGCATACTCAGAGATTAAAATTTTACTGGATGGAATGAATTGATATGGTTTAATTTCAACTCATTCAGCAGAGATATTTGCAAATCTTTTGATATTTTGGGTATTATTAATGTGATTAATTTTTCCTCATTTCTTCCATAACAAGTTTTCAGCTCAACTTTGTTAAAATTTGAAAAAAAAATATTTTGAACAGATCGGGTTCGCATTTCTACCCTTCGTCTGGGCAATCAACGCTATCTGGTTCTTTAACGACGGTAAGTGGAAGGTAGCTAGTTTCTAGTGTAGGAGAAAAGTTTATTTTTTTAGAAGAACTTCAAATACATTTATATCCACAGACTACACAAACTGCTAATAAACTCTACACCTGGATAGGCTGAGCAGGCCTATATTGTCCCGGCACGCCATGCTACGGTTCCATGTAATGTTTTTGACTGACATCTCACGACCATTTGTTGCATTCAGGAGTTAAGTTTTACAACTTTCAAGAAATACTCCAATTTAAAAATAAAACATAACGTTTATGAATATTGTCTATTTTTAAAGATTTTGCATTTCCTATTCAAAGGATCCTTAAATATCCCTGAATACAGATGTCTCCTGATTGGTCGTGTACAGTACTTGTACATAATAGAACATGCTCTGTAAAATATCGCATATTTGAGATGATAATCGATCTCTATAACTCTTATTTTTGTTAATATCCAATCGCTGTTGTGACAGTCAGCGAATCTTTATTTAGGATTTCGTAAGGCGGAGTTTGAAGGACAGAAATTGATCAAGAAATATGTTGTTCTCTCAGCAATAGGTTCAACACTCTGTACTATTGGTGAGACTTATTTCTAGTAAATGGAAGACGACCATTACCAGTGGTTTGCCAAATTTTAAAAAAGTTTCCAAAATGTTCTAAGATATGTTTTGGATTAATATTAAATAATTCTGGATTTGTTTTTCTAATTGAACTCTTCCATTTTACTGATAATCCTGTATATTAATCCTTCAATGGAAATCCTATAAATGATATCCTGTAATGATAATCCATCAATGGAAATCCTATAAAGCAAGTCGTGCTGCAATGATAATCCTTTAATATTAATCCTCTAATGATAATACTCAAATGTTAATTCTCTAATGATAATCCTCAAATCATAATCCTCTAATGATAATCCTCTAATATTAATCTTCTAATATTAATCCTTCATTAATCCTCTAGTGATAATCCTCTAATGATAATCCATTAATGTTATTCCTCTAAAGTTAATCCTCTAATGAGATGTATTTAGGTTTTATCTCCTGGATAATTATATTCTACTACAAGAGGGTTGAATGGGGAGCTACAGCAGATTATCTCAGCTTTAATATTATGATCGGAAAACCATAGTTCTACTTGATCATTGATCATAATCTTGAAGTTTAATCTATGATCATGAACCTAAACTTTATCAAAGTAAAGCACACTACATGTAAATGTACACCTTGGTTCAAAACGTTTATTATAACTATACTTTTTTATTTATATATCATACGAAGAACTTAAAATTGTTAAAATTGTGACAAAACTATACAAAGTTGTTTTATTGTACTTAACTATGTATATAGATTCTAATTTTCTTGTTTGAAATTAAATGCATACTTGCATTTGCTAACATGATGATTCATACAGCTGATAATACCGCATTTAACCAAACTAATTGTAATTATATTTAACTCGTGAATGAAATTAATTTATTTAGTTGAGTAGAACCCCCCCCCCCCTTACTGAGCTGCGTCAGTTTGTCGATTGGTA